TGATTGAATTTTACCATTACATTTTTTCTTCTGAATGTTTATGTTTTTTATAGATTGGGGAGTATATCATTTTCTAGGGGATTTTAAAGGGAAAAGGTCTATTCCATCAAATTCCAAACGATCATCGGACGAATGGATTCATAATTTTCCAGATTCAGAAGCAAACATTGCAAAACTCGGATTCCCAAAGTTTTCCGATATCTGCAATGTCATAATAACCTCACTACACTTTGTGTGCATCTCAGTGCATTCGCGTGGATCATCGTCTCACGCATAAACAATTATAAATTATAAAAAGTGTTTAACAATGTTCCCCTAAGTCCCCCACATATCGCGTCGGTCGCGTTTCCCGAACATCTCAATGCAGTATCTACCTACCACTTCTATGTGGGAAGGCCTTTCTTCATTTCTCTTGCAGTTCTTTCTTCAACTGATGCATTGTGGGTTGAAGGCGATACTCAAGGATCTTGCTTCCTCGACAACCAGAAGACCTTTGTTAAACTCTGTTCAAGTGCAAAGTGCAATCCCACGTAGACAAGACCTTCCTGATTTGATCGCTCCTGTCGGGAAATTTGACGTTTATCAAGGAAGTCGATGCGAGATAGTGTGGGAGGCATTTCAAATCGGTTCTGGGGAAACGCCTTTTTGTGCTATTCATACTGGAAGAGTGGAATAATACAAAAAGGAAGTATGAACTTGGATACTGGAGTAGACTTGCCATCGTAAATGAAAAATAGTTTCAATGTTTTAAACAATGAAAAATATAATTACATTATAGTAGTAATTTTGAAATATATTCAGGCAATGTGCATACTTCGATGATTAGTTTGAATAAAATTGTAATACATAAATGGTGAAAATTATCCTATATACGATTACTTTAAGAATATTTCAACTATTGTTGATTTTGTTTGCGCGGGAATAGTTTGTGGTAATTATCTTGTATTCCATAATAGCTTTGTGTGTTTTAACAATGCATAACTCATAAATCATAAGTTTTAGACCTCATAGCACACCTTTATGAATGCAAGATAGTACATATCTGCAATGTAGAATTAAGATTATCTGTGTAGCTTTGTCAATGATCAAATTGTTCTTAAACTTAAACCATTTACTAATGGTTTAGTAATCTAACCAAAGAAACACCAGAATGGTACTGATTTTCCTCTGATTAGAGCCGGTAATCTTTTATTTGTCACTAACCATTTAGTATGACCACTTATACCCAGCCTTATACTAAGCTGCCTACATTTAACCTTTGTTATATACTTTCGATAAAATATCAACGTAGAGCGCAGTCACAGAATTAAGACAAGCAGATGGTAAATAGATGGCTCCTCTCTTTCGTTATTCTATAGTTTTAGGACTATAACTGTGATTTAGATAGATTTTATCAGAGTAGTCCACATAATGTACAGTATAGTGTTCTCGTCTCGCCAGTCAGCACGGTAACGGTTGGTTATTATAACGGCGTCCTTCTCCTCAACACGCGCTGTAAAAAACAACAAATTCTCACCGATATAAATCAATTTCTTTCAAAACTAATTCAACTGATTTAGCTTAGGTTAATGTACATCGAATTCGTGCCCCTTTGTAATACTTCAACATTTGATTTAGTGACTACATTTTTAAAACATGGTTCAAGGTTTTATTATTCGTATTATGTTTTTCTTGTTATTATGCCAATGTTTAGGCTGTTTTAACTTCATCAGTTGTTAAACTATTCATTGTCGTGTAGTGTAACAGAAGAAAAAAACGTAATATGTACTTTACGTACGAGATAAACAAACGTACCTATATTAAAGATTAGCGCACTTAATTATCACCCGGGCAATATTCACACGTAATAAAATCCAACTTTTATATAGTATAGGGTAAAACGTTTACTTACGCTACTTACAGTAAAGTTAATGTTTGTAGTCGAAGTCGGTTATTTAATTAATAGGACTTGGTTCATATTTGTACATTTTGAAGTTTTGTCCGTTTCTTTACTCGCTCTGGACATTGCTCTGAGATTAACTCCCTCCTAAATGAACATTGTCACCGCCAAAAGTTGCAGCCACTAAAACACCGTACTACCAGCAGACATTCGGTCTGTCGTGTTGACCTTGACCAGCTGCTGTGTGACCTTGACAACTCTGCAGACGCGGCTGGGTCCGCTCCCGTGCTGCCGCTAATTGCACTTGAAGTCGCAAACATTGGTAGAGCCTCTGCCCAGTCTGCCCTCCCACTTTTATAAGGATATAACGACAAATTAATACGCTTATACATAATATAACTCCATGTCGTCCGGGTGGTTTTCACCCCCTCCCAATGCTGCTCAATATATTGGAATCTGTGTGAATAACAAATGGAGCGATTTCTAATGGTCAATTGCAACCACTTAGAAAAAAATCAAGTAGCTAGAGCGTTTTTACGCCCCGCATTTTATGCAAGCACAGTTAAATCAGGTTTGTTCAGTCAGCTGTTTCTGTAGTCAGGACATGTATAAAATTCCCAATTAAGTACCGGGTCCAGTTTCTAATCATCGCAAATCTTATGTTCTGAGGATCAAGACTATAATCACCCGGCTACCCTGCTTTATGGTGTAAATCTATAAAGTATATAGATACCCAAATAAAGTTTCACACAAATTAAATTTTGCAAAACCAATTTGTCACAGACAACAATAAGATGATTACCAACATTCATTTCCAACCCAATTCCAGACATAATTTAAATTTTCCATTTCAATTACGTAAACAGTTTTACTACCTCAGACTTCTGTAAAATATATTCATATGGGCTACTATTTACTGGTCTGAATGCTGTTTTAGAGCGTTGTTATATGTTTGGGTCTGTTGAGCCTTGGTGTGGTTGTAGGACTGTAGGCTATTGCTGTGTGTGCAGAGGAGGTGCGAAGGATGAGGGAATTGGCTAAAGTGGATAATGTTGTGTGACCCTACTACACACTGCACTGGAGCCCGAGTGACTGTGTCTACTGTCTATACTGACTACATGATGAATTTTTCAATCGTACTTGTTATTCAGTAGTAAATCAAACTTTTAAAAGATTAGCACTTAAATACAATAATATTAGATGTAGAGATCATAACTTCTGTCATAACTTCAGTGTCCATCTGTAAGTACAATATTGACTGAGCTCTGGAAAAAAAAATTGTGCACTGGTTGAAACAAAGTTTTGTTTTTATGGGTTTAATGATCTTTATTCATATAGTTTTAATTGATTTTTTACCTACCGAAAATTGTTGATTTCCAAACCAGCCTTTATTGAATTTGTATACAGTATTTTCTTAGTAGATATTAGTTGGGTAGCCTACACTTACCATGTTACCAAGATGTAAACTTACACATGTCTTTAGTTATGACATTGAAATGACAAGCTGTGAAATCACAATACAGTACAGTGGTAACGAATGAAATCAAATATATTTGGTTGATATTCTTAACACATTAGTCTGAGAAGCACCAGTACATTCTATAGATGAAAATTATTTTGGTAAAACTTGTTGCCGATCTGTGAATAATAATTTTAAACTGGTATTCGCACAATTGTCAACAGTTGGTAATCCAAATCCCATAACACCCCCACTTTTTCTCCAAAATAAAATCATCCATCAGCTTTTATGATTCAGTCGGCTCAATGGACTTTCATCAATTGAAGGTGTTTGGCGCTTGTGACAATGACAGGGGAGCAACAATAGCCCATCGGCATCATTCTGAAATAGACATATATTGGACTTGAATCAACTGGATTTATTTTAACACAAGAATAGGCCAAAACGAATAAGCCAATTGTGAATAGGTTTACTTATTAATACATCCTAATCTGATATATTGCACATTTGTTTGTTAACAATTACTGGTAGTAATGCAAAAATTGATGACTTTACTTCTGTCGATTAGACAATACTCTATTTACTGTAATCACTGTATTCGACTGTGTAAAAATAGGTCTTGTAAAGAATAGCAACTGTTACTTGATCCTTTGTTGCCACCCGGAATCTAAGAGTTGTGTGCAAAAACAGTTGACATGTTATTGATATCTGATATGAGATTAGGTGATATAATGTCTTCTGTTCACTATCCTACTTGTAAATGCAGAGGAAACACGTTGATGTTTTAGCCATGTTTGTAAGGGTATTGTTAAGTATTATGCATTAAATTATTCTGTTCATTACCTCTTAGATACACAGTCGCAGGCTAGGCATTTATACATTCCATTACCATGTTGAACTTGTTGCGTGGATTTGATTAAAAATTAAGAGTAATTTATGAAAAATCAATTAGGCTAGATGAATATAATTTAAATTTTAGAACCACTGTTTATATTTTTATTGAGTAAAAAAACTGGCCCCAGCCGATCCAAGTGGAATGGATATCTAGTTAGCTATTAAAGTTTTGTGGAATTTTTGTATGTACCAACTTCTTATTTTAGAACAGAAGGCTCTAGCGCAGACCTCTAAACCAACAAAGTATTGTGAAATTAATAAAAGAATTTAAAAAAAAATCCTCTGTAAACAATTTATTTTTAACTAACTATGCTAAAAAAAACTACTCTAAGTAGGCCAATTTTAAACATCTAAACAAATATGAATACAATATAATAACAATATAATAAATAGCAAATATGAATAACTCCACTTATTATGAAAATGGCAGTGACTGGCTGTGTTTAATGAGATACGGTTGTTAATTATATTTGTTAGCAATGCTATATTTTCCTAACTTTACTCTATTAAAAATAATAATATGCTGTCACTTTGAACTATTTTTAGTAATTTTTTTACAAGCAAGGATTTTGCCGCATACTTCATCAAACATACTTAGTCAACAAATCAACAATACTGTATAATCATGCAATAGTTACTTTATATTTATCTGAGGATGTAGGTTGAGCCTCTGATATGTGTAGGGGAGGTAAAATCTTGGTTGATTAACATAAGTGTAATTCAAGTATAAATAGATTGATGAGTAACATGATGTGTGTTATGTTGCAGAGAGGATGCTATGGAGTGTGCGGAAGCTGTGTCCGTGTTCCGAGGGAAGGAGTGTGAGGTGCCGGAGGGCAGTGACAGTGGCGTGGAGGTGAACGGAGGTACTGTTGGGGGCCCAGGTGGGGACGTTACCCCCGTAGCATCTTGTGACTCTAGTCTAGTCAGCTGCTGTTACTCCTCAGAGGACCTGGTCAGTAACACACTGCAGCTGCCAGAGGACCTGTCATTGTCCGGGGGAGGTGACGGGACCAGCGAGGGGGGCAGCGAAAGCTCCTCGGTCACTGGCTACCACAACCCCAGAGTTACCTCAGGCAGCGCGCGGAAAAAATGTCCTCCCCCTAGAACCCCTTCAACTACCCGTCCGTCTCCGTCCGGCCTGTCCTCCAGGTCTCGAACTCCTTTGAGTCGGGATCGAAGTACGAGTAAAACAACTCCCAAAACGGTTCATCCGAGTAGAGCACCAACTCCTAGTTCTTCCACACCAAAAACTCACAGAGACAGTTCGGAAAGTAGAAAGACTTTGAATAGAGTTCCTTCGGTGAAGGGTAAAGTGAGTTCTCCGAGCAGTGACTGTAATGATGGCAGATGGCCATCGACAATAAGTAAGATTGCGCAAAAATTCCGTCCTGAGAAGAAAACTGTTATGAACACGTCCACCACTTCTGTAACGGAGAGTAAAGCGACTGCATTGGAAAAGTATGCTACATTACCGAGGAGAAGGAGAAAATCTGCGGAAAACCTTACCCTGAGTGAACCTCTGTCTAGCAGAGAACCTAGTCTGAACCGTTCTGCTAGTCTACGGAGGAAACAGAATCCCATGGTGTCTTCAGCGACTTCGGCCACTTTACAGGGCAGCACCAACAAGACGATGCCTCCATATCCAAGGAAGAACAAGACAAAGACACGGATCTTCCATGAGATCAGCATACAAACTGCCTTGACTGGTGCGGACCTGGAGAACGGCTTAGGAAGTCCTCTACTGAAAGATGTTCACTCCAGGGTGGAGACAAGGAATTGCGGGGTTCAGGTAATTTTACCTTGCTGTTGTCTTTACATAGTACCATTAGCTACAACCTACAACTGAGAAGCTGAGCTGTTTAAAAAATATAACCTCTTAATGTTTTAGAAAGTAATTATGCACAATAAGCCTAAAAACGTACATTAGCACTCATAATAGCCTCCTTTGTGTATAATAATAACATATGTTAACCTTTTGATCTTTGTGGGCTAGTATTCACGTAAACCCTGCAGAACTGTATATCAGCACAGCGGAGATTATTTTGCTTCTTCCCACCAGTTAAAATCATTTTAGTATCAAAGCTGCTCACTAAGTATCAATATTCATTGACTTTACGAGTATTTAATTTTCATTATGTTGGGTAGTACCACTGGACATCAAAGAAACCGAGAGAAACAAAGTAAAATTAAGCCAAACTACTCTGCAAACTAAAAAATAAATTCAAATTCTATTCATAAAGATGACTTGATGATTCTGCCTTTATTGATAAAACCAAAAATCGATGGCCTAACTTTTAAGCACTTTTTTAAATTTTTATATTCAGCATTTTTACTGCAAATTCAAGTAAAATTGTGTACTTCCTCTCACTACATTGTTTACATTGTTTTGTGTTTGCTTGACAGGTGGAGAGAGGTATGAGGCGTATAGAACAGCTGGAGGCTCAGCTGAAGGAGTACAAGAGTCAACTGAGCAGACTGGCCGAGGAGAGAGAGGAGATGAGCAAGACTTGTGATCAGCTGAGGACACAACAGCTGACCAGGGACGCTGAGAACATACGTCTCAAAAGTCTCATTATAGGCAACTGTGAGTATCGTAGAATGTACTACTGTTGAAGTTCCATTTTCTCATTCTATTGTTTCTACTAGAATAGTTAAGAGGACTTATTACATATTACAGCTTAAAATAAGTTCTCACTTCAGTTCGGCATGGTTAATATTTAAAAATGTTTGTGTGAGAAAGAAAACATAATTCTACAACAGCCCTACACTCTACCATTGCTTTAGTTTAAGAAGGTTTTACCATTGAAAAATTTAGTATAACTTCTACAACTAAAGCTGAATCACACTAGAAGTAAGGTATGGTGTGGTGGAAGAATTTCCACTGCTCCGGTAAAAATGAATTGAACTACGAAAGCACAGTTGAAAACTTCTTCTCGAATCTGCCGGGTGGGATACGGAGAGGAAGTTATTTTGTTTGGGTGCGTCAAGCCTCTTTTGGGATACTAGGTATGCGCAGGGTTGCATCATCAGAAGTGGCTAAAATTATTGGACGAAGCTCTTAGTGCATTTTTAGAACCAAATTTTTGCAAGAATTGTCCCACAGTTGCTCTGGGGAAGAGGGATAAAAAGCTTTGTTGTGTTTCTGTGACAGTTGCCAAGTGTGCTACAACTTTTTATGTTGCTACTAAAACGTATCTTCTATTGCAGCTAAAAAATCAGAACTGCTTTCTATTTTGTGATTTAGACACATTCCAATGCACTAGTGCAATAATTTGTGTTGTTACAGATGATGCTGATGACACAGTTGGACAGCTGGAGCAGCAAGTGCTGAGTACCAACAGTCTGATAAATCAGCAGCAACAGGAGATCTCTCAGCTACACAGCATATGTCATCGACTACAGAAGGTCAGTATCAATCACTATGCTCCGTTCACAAAATTTAGGCTGTTCTAGGGGAAGAAATCCATCCCCTTCAACTTGATCCTTCTTTTAAAACAATAGCTCAATGGCTGAGGTTTGCCAAATTGTCATTAGGTGCAACATATACATTAAGCAAAAATAAGTGGTGGGGGGAAGTTCCTCAAACCGCCTAAAGTTTGTAAATGGAGTATAGAAGCTAAGAGAAATATAAACCCTCAATAAATTAGTCTAATCAGAGTTCCAGGAGGTGGGTATTAAAAAGAATCTTAACACGAAAAAGGGTAGTAATATTCTGGGATTGTCATGACTGTACTCGTAATTAATTACTAAGTGACGCCATTGAATTCACATCCCTATGTTGTACAATGGGTATAGTTTTACTGTCCCTACCATCTATAATTGAACCATCTTTAAATGGCTTACCACCATAAATGTAGCTCTGTAAATAGAAATATTTTTGCTCATTTGTTATTAAATTTTTGTTATTCATAATCATTTATAGTTTTGATCATTTGTTGCTGTTATACTGACCCCTTTTTGTCTCCAGTCTTTTCATTAATTCATATTGGCCGCTGAGTAAGAATGTTGTGGTAATACATATCTTTATAGTTTAACCTTCTTGTGTTTGACCGATAACAAAAATGAAAACTCTTGATGACCAAGGTTGAATGGTCGGTAACCATCGATAAAAGAGTATGAACCAAACATTCATAGTTTTTTTTTTTTTTTTTCTGAAAGTTTCATATCTGTAAGAAGAGGAGAACACTAAAGAGCAAGGATGTTTGGAATGCGGGTCTAGATATCTGAGTTTTTTTTATCAGAAACGCTTGTAGTTCTTGGCGACAGTTCAAAATAGTTGACATTTCAAATACACCAACTGAACAGTTCACTCCTTTACTTGGATGCTATTTTGAAATGCTAGTTAACTGTTGCTAAGTTGGCTGATCATTCTTCATTTGCTTACTAACTGATGTCTGATCTTGTATTTCCGTTTTGTTGTAATGTCTTAAGACACAGGATTAACAAAAATCCCAGAATAGAAAAGAATCCATCTTGTCCCAAAAACGTAATAAGTAATTAGAATATTTTACTGTCACTGAAAGAATTTCCAACAAAGAAAGGTTTCTTCACGAAAAATCGAAATAGTAAAAAAGTTTACGAAGTATTTCACCTATAGTTTTATGTGTTAACATGTTATGTTTTTTTTTGTGCCAGGTGGACTCTTTATCATTATGGTAAGCCTGATTTCCTCACAAAAAATTTATCACAAATAAGACACAGTTTTAACATATTAAAGTTTGGGCTGTTAATACAATATTCATGAAAATTCCTCAAAAGCTGGGACAGAAGTGGGTGTCATAGTTTAAAGGGTGCGAGGCTATTATTTAAAAAATAACTAGTGGAGGAAACTAATCCATAATATTACCAATTTTGTGTAACTTTGAACCAAATTGTGACCTCCATACCGATAAAACAGCCATACCACTCAATATTTACCAAACGGGCCATTAATGAAGGATTGTTTGATCACAGGATCTGGACAAGAGTTATTCTGCACAAAAGGCTTTGCTAAAGCAGCAAGAAGAGATGGAGTTGGAGTCGGCAGAGTTGCAGGAGTTCCTACAAGCTGAGAAAGCTGCATTGGCTGACACTCTGCGAGACCTGGAGACTGAGGTAGGATTGACAACATCTCATGATGCTAAATGACTGGCTAATGGTTGATTATAGACCTCGATAACAAGACTTGTTTTCAAGGTCGACTTCTTATTGAGGTTTGCAATGACATGTGGTTAGAGATAAAATAAATTCAATTGGATTTGAAAATTACACTTGTTATCAAGGATGACTGGTTTTCGTTTGTCTTGTTATCGAGGTTCCACTGTAACAATAATAATATTTACTATCATTAATAACTTAATAACAGACAACGTCAAACAAAAGAATGACATTGATCTAAGTGGATCTACTATGAAAACCCCATACAGTGAACAGCACACAAGTAAATCAAATTTAAAAAAATAATAAATTTAAAGTAATTATAATTAAGAAACTTAATTGGTACAAATATGTTAACAAAAAAAGCTATCCAAAATCTACTACTTTTATAAACCATGCAATTCCACTTAAATTTAGAAAACCACTTTTTTGTTGATTTCTTTAAATTAGTTTAAGTTGTTGGTCATTTATTGTCTTATGTTTCAGCTGGCAGCAACCAGAGAGACAGTGGCCAGCAAAGAGGCAGAACTACAAAGACAACAAGAAGAATGTTCCCATCTAGTAAGGATCAGCGAACAGAGGAGGTGAGTAATGCACTTATGTTAACATATATTATTTCTTTAAGAACTACTTTATTATTTAAAACTTTCTGACATCAAATACATAACCAATCAATAATCACTATCAGCTTTTAAGTACACCAGGAATAGATGGTGATGAAAGAGGAAAGGGACTGGTGGGTCCAAGACTGCTAATTTCACTGATTTGAGTGCATTAAACACTCATTAACCTAGACTAATTGAGTTTTCCAGTTGATTCCTTACTCCGGTTAAGTAAAATAAACTTAAGTTAAGAAAGGCAGTGCAATTCATGATCGTACTTAATCATAGCTGAGTGATAGAATATAACAAGCTAAAATGGAACATGAATGTCATAAATTGTTAACCAAATTGGGATCATTGAGTCTTTAGTGCATTGAGTTTTCTTGCAGAATTTGACTACTAGGAAAACGTTTATACTTGACCCTTTCAGTTGGTATGTTCAGTTGGTGCCAAAATTGCTACCAAAATCGGCAGCTATAGTCCTCGCTACCCTAACTTGAGGCAGCCCAAGGCCGCACGCCGTATGTGTAGTGAGGCCTTGGGCTGCTTCAAGTTAGGGTGGCGAGGACTATAGGAAACCCTTCTATCATGTGACAACTTAAAACATGTAAACTGTATGGTGTTGCGTTTCATATAGCCCATGTACTCTATTAAACAACATGCTTCAACCATTGGTTCTGTACACTTTAAGTGTTTTATCAATGACATAACAAATAAAAACGGTACAGTGGAGCAACCCTAACTTTGCTGAAAAAAGTTTTTATTAACTGCCAATGAAATGGCTGTCCATATTATTGAGGGTTTGTAAGTGAGAATCCCATTTCAGACAAGAGCAGTTGTCACTGGAGGCTCGCTTGGCTGGGATGGAACTGCACAGTAGAGAGTCCCTGCTACAGCAAGGAGCTGCAGTGTCCGGTGCCTCTGTTGCATTGTCCAGGCTTGGCTCTAGACTAGACAATCTCGTGGATGCTCTAGTCAACACCTACAACATCTCCGAGACCGATCTCGAGGTAAATAGAACAGCTAGTTACATTACGTAACAAAAACACATTTATCAGTTCGTTTGATTTGGATTTTTTCTTGAGTAAAATTTAAAAAATTATGTATCTTTTTCATCAGCATTTTTCACTTATCATTTTTCACTTATTACACAGGGTGTATACCAACCGGGAAAACCGGGAGAACCGGGAAATAACCTTGAATTTGAAGGGACCTGGAAAAAACCGGGAAAAAGCCAGGATTTTTGGTCCGATTCCGGGATTTTTATTTTAGCCCCGGTAGAAGATTGTAGTCGTAAAATGCGTCTTGCCGCAATTGCGGGCGACGTCGATGACGTTTTCGTGACCGCGGGAGACGACGATGACGTTTCCGTGACCGCGGGAGACGACGATGACTTTTCCGTGACCGCGGGAGACGACGATGACGTTTCCGTGACCGCGGGAGACGACGGTGATGATTTCTACACGGCCGCGTGAAATGCTCAAGATTTTGCCGCGATAGTGGCCGATGACGATGACGTTTCCGCGACCGCGGGAGACGACGATGACGTTTCCGTGACCGCGGGAGATGACGATGACGTTTCCGTGACCGCGGGAGACGACGATGTCGTTTCCGTGACCGCAGGAGACGACGATGTCGTTTCCGTGACCGCGGGAGACGACGATGACGTTTTCGTGACCGCGGACGACGGCGATGACGTTTCCATACCTGCGAGAGGCAATAATGATGTCTACACGGCCGCGGAAGATTTTCGTGATTTGCCGTGACCGCGAAAGACGACGATGATGATTTCTACACGGCCGCGTGATATGCTCATGATTTTGCCGTGATTGCGGCCGACGACGCTGACGTTTCCGTGACCGCGGGAAACGACGTTGACGTTTCCGTGACCGCGGGAGACGACGATGATGTAGACACGGCCACGGGAAATATTTATGATTTAGCCGCGATCGCGGACGACGACGATGACGTTTACGTGACCGCGGGATCAACGATGATGTTTACACGGCCACGGGAAATATTCATGATTTTGCCGCGATCGTGGATGACGATGATTACGTTTCCGTGATCGCGAGAGACGGCGATAATGTATACATACCACGGGAGATGTCCAGGATTTTTCCATGATAACGTAAGACTGTGATGACGTTTACGTCACTGTGGGAAGCGACCACACGACCGCAGGAAATATTCAGGATTTTGCCGCCGTTGATAATGTGTTCATAAAAAATTAAGATAATATTCAGGATTTTGCTGCTATCGAGAGAGATGTTTCCGTGGCCTTAAGTAATGATGATAATGAAAATTATTACTATAAAAAGGATTATTACTTTTTCAACACTAGCTCACTATGGACTTTGAAACAAATTTCAAACAAAAGTTTATATTGAATACTTAAGCTGCAAGTCTTAAATTGATTATAGTTTAAGTGGAACCAAAGAAATAAGCGGGAACCTGGAAAAACTTTGAAAAACCAGGAAAAACCTGGAAAAAACCTGGAATTTCACTTTAATAAAATAGTATACACCCTGCTTATTACAGTTAAATTGGTCAATTTGTCAAGCTCTCTCAGAAACACTATTTTGCAAAACAATCTTTGATGAAGTGTGAAAGAATGGATAAGAGTGCTCTTCAGTCAATTTCCCCCTTGTGGAACTTAAATAAATTAATATCCGCCTGTGTCTTGAAATCAAGATCAGTTTGTGAGCATGATACAATAGTATTTTATTTTCAATATGAAGTTAATGAATCACGATAAAACACTAATAACACTAAGACACAATATTTAAAGCAATATTTTTTCTGTAAATATGTATATGAAATGTACAACTTCAAATTTATCAACAATTCTGTACTGTACTTCACTGCACTAAATCCAAGTTGTGTGTTTTTGCTGTAAAGAGGTGTATTAGGTAAGTGTGATCGCTTCTGCCGTGTGACGATCAAGCATAGCTTTTGTCTGGTGATTCTTCTTCACATCTGTCCTGTTTTCTTATTTGTAAACAAATTTTCAGTAACAACTGAAACAAAACACTTGTTTTAACTGTTCACCACTCTTTCAATTTCCCTGTCAGCTTAATGCTTTGTAAACAGTATCATAAAATAATTCTCATTCCAGAATTGTCTATTACATAGAGTTTAGGTTTATCAATAAACCTCAAAAACCTATTTTACAATTAGGAGCAGTTTAGTGTTTAACACTATTCGTGCTATCGACATGTTTGAACATAAAAGTTGCATTTATTTCAATGTTAAGCAATTGCGGGAATTCCCGTCATCAGCACCCAACGTGTTAAAACAAAGAATTAAGGTACAGAGTAAACACTCTACAACTACCTACTGCACTGCACAACTACCTTACGCTAGTCACTAGCGTCTAGCGCAAAGTCCAAAACTTCACCCTACAACACTCACATTGGAGCATATTACCTTATACAATAAGAATTTCCGAACAGTCCTCCTCACTCAACTCTTGATCGCTTGTCACAAGTATATTTCCAACACTCCATACCAGAGCTGAAAATACACGGTTGTCCCATAAACGAGTTTAACTTACTTTTCTGTGTGTGTAAACAACAACAGTTTAATACCACATTATTACGTATAAACATTCTGTGACCATTTAATGAATCTGCTTTACAATGAAAAGAGTGTTTAGTGTCACAATACTATACAAATTTAATCTACAGTAGACTCCTTATCCGGACACCTTTTAACCGGACATCGGTTTAACCAGACTACACTCGGCTGGAATGACATCTCTTTAACCGGAAAAGTTTTATCACCACATCGGCAGGAAGTGGGCGGTACTGAAATGACTGTTCTCGTGGGAAAGATCTGAGACCAGTGATCACGTGTCTGAATACAATGCTCTCCTAAATTTAAGTCAAATACTGTAGGTATACAGTATGCATTTAAACGGTCCGTTTTAACGAGTTTACGGGGACTTAGGTTTAACTGGAAAAACCATTATCCGGACTGGCCTCGGTCCCGAGGAGTCCGAATAAGACGGAGTGTACTGTAATATACAATACTTTATCTGTATGATTTCTTACTCTGTATGAATCACTGCCCAGTTAGTTTATCTAACGCCATATTAAACCCCTGTGTATCTGATTCCTGATAAACCACTGTTTGGTTTATGTTATTCTTGCTAAACCGCTGCCGGGTTGATCTGATTCCAAATAATTGAGGTTGCCCTTTTTGTATGCAAGGTAATCTTCTTTTTGAATAAACTGGTTGCAAAAGTGAATAAAACACAAACTTATAAACCAAATTACAATAAATTATAAAAATATATTTAATTTTTCCAACTCAAATTTGAAATTCTTGGATGATTTAAAAATCCCATATCTGGGAGAACTGGAAGCTCAACAGGCTTATGAAAGTGAAATGAGTGTAATTCATATAATTTTGAATGATCCAAAATATGCTACTAAGTAAAAGATTAACTATAAAGTTAACTAATTCTTACAGCGTTGTGTTACTCAACTATTTCAGGTCTTGTACATAGATATTAGATTATAACAAAACAATACAGTATACAATATTTGTCTGCTCAAGAGTGTATTATCATAGTTTGGTGTGGCTTTGTGTTGTTGTGTGTGACTGTATCAACTATATGTACAGTGTATAGCATGGGTATAAATGTAAAAAGTGCTGGAAACACTTTACTTTTGAATTATGTAAACAAAATACAATTTATAAGTGTAATTTATAGATACAGGTTCAAAAAACTAGTGAAATACTAACAATATTCTGTGAGAGCTACAAAAAAGTCTCCCTCCTCTACAGTGTGCTTCTGTGTTACTCTGCTTACTATTCAGAATATTGTTTTTAACATTTTAACAAATCATTTTGTTTGTGTAAAATATAGTTTTTAGCAAAAGTAAAAACACAACGGTTTGGACAGCTTTCCTGCTACAACAAAACCTTGAACCTTACCTAACTAAAAAATCCTAACCATCAAAAGTTAACTCAAAAATAAAGAAATATCAAAATTAGTAAACTACATTAATATACTAAAGAAGGATTATAACAGTAGAATGACGTAATACCCAGCACAATACAAACATTTTGTGACTTTTTTCTGTTGTTAATAGAAAACGTGGTAATTTTATGATTGTTTGAAATGAAATTAAATGAAAAATTCTTTATTTTACCAGGCAAAGTTAGGGACAAACGTAAATATAAAAATAAAAATAAACATACAATGAGATTTCTCAATCTAATATAAATCTACATATTTAACAAATCAAGAACAGATTAAACAAAAATGCAATTTAACGAAATAATAATATAACTTATAAACTAAAAAAAAAGAAAGTGTTTTATGTGTTTGAGCACGCCTAAAGGCCTACAAGAGACTGTTCTACCCATCCAAAATCCAAAGTACCTGAAGTACAAACAAAACAGACTTGAACAAAAGGATGTTTACTTTATCTCACACATTTTGGTTCCTAGATCCTCGTTTGCTAAAAACTACTCATAAAAATGTTGAAGAAATAAATAAGGAATAAAAATATAAAATACCTTTTTTTAATGCTGAACTGTGTTTCTGAGAGAGTATTTCAATGGTGGTTTTAAGTTACTAAACAAATCATGATTCCATTTACGTCGAGCAAGCTTATTCCTACAGCTATATTTGTCATTGTGGAACCTATTTGAAAGTTGTTCTAATCCTGAGATTTCTGCAGTGTATTTTTGTAAGCAAAAGTTAGTTCCATGTATGTTTAATTACCTTGTTTTTAACTGGTAAAGCTTATCCTAAAATAAATTGTATTTGATTGTAAACTAATTAATAACTACCCTCCATAAAACAGTAGACTCCTGACTGTCCATAAGTGGATTAACAATGCTGCGGAATAACCATGATGTGGATTAACCACAGAAAAAAAGTTGAAAAATTCTAGTTAAATGTAATTAAGTAAAACGACGACCAAGATTTTTAATGTGAGGAGGCCCATCATCTTGCGGGTAGACCTAGAGTTGTCATTGTTTACTTCACTACCAATGAGTGACCCTTTTAGAGAATCAATTAGTTGATTAGTTGTATTTTCTGTGTGTTTTAATTTTGTTATTCAGTGTAAATGGCTCTCCAATTATTTTGTTTTGTAAATTGAAGTATGTGAAACAAAGCTTTAAGGTATCTGCTCTGTATTTCAAATGTACCTAAACCTGTATTACAGCCTAACTACGTTTTGATGGCCAATGTTAGTTAATTCTCAGGCATTTCCAGATTAGGTTTACATTATCATTATCCAGGATCACTGAGCCACTTATTATTGTGGATAATTGGGAGTCCACTGTATATTTAAATCCTAAATTGTTGCGGTTTTTTGGACCCTTTCCTGCTACATATTCTTAAATTTTGTGTATTGTTTGTCCAGGATGTGATATTCCACAATGAGGTGTACAGTCAGAGCAGCAGCAGTGCTGAGAGTGCTGACAGTAGTCCTCAGCATCAAGGCAGCTCTCTGGGCAGCAGCAATATGGCGTCAGGCTTCATGTCAGCTGTACTCACTGCCATCCGTAGCGCTACAGCCTACCACAGACACACCAACACCAATACCAACACTGGTAAAGCTAAAAACAAAAACAAATATATCATCATACACATAAGAATTAAATATCGACTGACAAAGTAAGGTTAGAGCGTGCACAGTGTTTGTCGATTCGCTGCCGTCGATGACTTGTTGTCTGCTACTAGCACTACCACCCTTGCAAACGAAATGCTACCAACATATCAGACACACATTTCAATATGGGTAAAGTACAAAATTCTAAAATCTTGTTAATTTTTATGGAAAAGCCTATTTTTTTTAACTCTGGATATTTGTAAAACACGGAAAAATAACAGAACAAACTCCTACTCTCTGGATTCCAACAAAAATCTCCAGAAATTGACAACCCTGCCTCCAACTACCAACTTGTTATGGAAACGCTCACTAGCGCTTGATGCTGCAGCGGAGTGCACCGAAACTACACGACACTCCTAACGGTGCACGCCAGAATATATGCTAACCGCAGCACTGCTTTTGGTCTATATTTAATTCTTTTGTCTATGATGTCACCTTGTTCTTGAACACTTCATTCTTGAAAGTGTTGCTACTTTCTATACATTCAAATGTTTCATTGATGGTTGTTGTCACAGAACCATCATCAGAAGGTGAGCAGATGCTGTCACTGGAGCCCGAGCCTTCAGCCTTCACCATCAGAGACGTCACTACTTCCTCCTCACCTCAGGACATGGAGAAGCGGCTGTCTGTGGCGTCTCTCGGCTCATACGAGGTAAACTGGCCATCTACTATATATTAATCAAACCTCAATATCCCTCCTTTTCACAAGCCAGAGAGATTTGCTCAGCACTTGAGTGGGCTGCAATTAATGGAATAGTTCAATGAAACCCTATGCAAAGTTGAATCTACTAAGCAGACTACTTGATACCGGTTACACTTTGTGTGTTGTTGTAGGTGTCTCCTGGTAGTGAGAGTTTACATAACCTATCACAAGCCATCCTACGTCGTCAGCAGCTGGAGTCTGAGGATCCGTCCACCAGTCTGCCTCCATTGCCTGTCTGCTCACTGGTTGATCAGGTAAGCAGGTTGACTTTGAACAGTTACAAATAATTTAAACTTTCCTGGGTTTTTAACCTGTCCAAAATCTTAACGCTGTAATCTTTTACACAATAATTATCAGACCTTTTTTGTCTTCAGTGTGCTAATACATTTTCAAACTTCTCCTAAAGAAGGTAGTAAAGAGGTCTTTGGATGGTTAAAGTAATACTTCATCTACTTTGATAGAGATGGTAACGTCTAGGAGGGGTCTAATCTCAGCAAACACAGCAACCTTGTAACATTGAGATAATTGTTTGCGATCGCATCAAAATTTGACTTCGTCTCCACACTCACAGCAACATTGCAACCATCTCTTGCTATCATGGCTACATTCCACATTGTGTTCACTTCCTGTGATCACAGGGCCCTTTGTTTCTCCTACTATACATTACCATCTCTATTGGTCATGTTGTCTTAGTGACTATCTCTTAGTATCATGGCAACATCATTCTTTACCTCCTGTTCCCCCGGTGGCATCGAGATCATCTCCCTCAATTACGGTAACATGGGGATCATATTTTGTAACTTTTGGCGACATCTTGATAATCTCTCAAAGTCAAGTTGATATCTTAATCATATCCTGCTATCATGGCAACTTTATAATGATATTTTGCGACCACGTCAACATCCGTATTCATTTTCCAGCATTATGACAATGCAGGATTGTGGGAAAACATGGTAAAATAATTATTAGATAATTACTCCCAACCGATTAAATCTCAAATTTGAATCTCTTCATTAGATTTTGAGAATTAAAGAAATTAAGATTTTGTTACATAACCTCTTTCATACCTTACTAGATATAAGTGAGTATTATACATTTTGTGATAAAAATATGTATACATATTTTTAAAAAGTGATTTATTTCCCTAGGTGATAGAAGTGGACAACCTAGTCACCCGACTGTTAAAAGTCATCAGGATAATCCAGCAAACCAATGACAATTCTGCTCTGCTAGAGAGGTAAAATTTTGCTTAATTTGCTTTTAATTTTTTTTAGTTAACTAATTGTAGCTTTACAATTTAACAAAACTAAAAAAAAGACTGTAAGCCTTGTTAATTTAGGCTACTGTAGAAATATTTGCTGTTGTAGATAAATACTGATTACTTTACCACCATTGATCGTACAGCGTCAATTTCAAACCTTGTTGTGGGGGGGGGGGGCTTGCAGACTTAAGCTCTGCTTGTAAACTACTTAATTACTGACTTAATTTGTTGAGCATATTTTTCTAGCCCCAGGGGTAAATGTGACAAACCATTATCCATACTCCTGGCACTTTGTTAGGAATAAGTGCTCGGAATAAATCCTCAGTTTATGAAATGTTTGTAAACATATTTCTGTAAACATGTACAGAACAACATGTTCGTGTAAACATGTTTGTGGTTTTTTATATTTTCAACAAACTATATTTGATACTTCATTTTCCTCTTTTGGTGTAATTTACTAGCTTTTACTCAGTACTTTTACTCAGTCTATATTTAAAAACAATTCTGATTCTTATATTTTGCCTTACCAGAGTTACCAAGCCTCAAGATTTGGAAAATTACAATACAGTCCATTTTACAAATTTGTAGGTAATTGAGGGAAACACAGTTAAAATATTGATTCCTGTATGTTATTCTTTCATAAAAGTTTTCAGCCCTAAACAGTTGACTTCAAAATGGATCAAGAACTTTGGCTGTTTTATGTGTGTAAGGATATAAATTCTCAGCATACTGTTTTAATAGTATAGATTGCATGGCTCTATATTAAAATGATATGAAATAATAACAATCCTTTTTCGAAGGGCAAGAACAACTTAAAAGATAATATTGAAACTGGTAAAGCAACGGTGAATCGTTTATTGTTTTTTTACCGGCTTTTATGCAAACGTTGTTATTTTCCAGAAAAAGGTTGTCAGACTCGTTGACAGAGACGGAGGCGCAGGTGGTCAGTGGAGAACAGCTGATTGCTCAGTTGCAGCTGCAGGTGCAACAACTCAGGGAACAGGTGCAGAATGACAACTCACCTGAGGTAACTATGGACATCAGTGTTTATAATGCTTCTATTTCAGGGCTGTGCATATAAATACAGGATTAACCTTAGTATAAAATTCCAAACATGTAGCAGGGAACCTCCGGTAAGTACATTAATAACGTACATCTTCTATATACTTATAAAAATGTGGCTTTTCTCTACTTAACCAATTTTCACGATTTATGTTTCATTTTAAACCTTTTTTCATTCTAACGTAGTGATGAAGAATAACTAGAAAGGTAATTAATTACCTTGAGGGCTTTGCCCCCAAGTATTTGATTTATGTCTACAGTTTGTTTTTAAAGACCCAATGATGCTGACAACATTCCGTATTACGGTTTTAATCGTGAATTTTAAACAGCTAATTGCCTTCAGTTGAATGATTAACCACAGTCAACAAAAAACAGATTATAACAAAACATTATATGAAAACGTAGATTTTAAATAGGATACCTGTATTGTTAAATTGTAACCTAATTGAGGTAGGTACATCACTTTATTACGGTATAGATGTATATTCAAAAATTTTAATTTGTTGTAAATTAGTAGTTTTGTTATCCTAATAATCTGAAAGGTAGAATGGCAAGAGTTTACTCGAAAGGCTTTACAAGAGTTAGAAGGCTCGTTTAGCCTTCAAATCCAGTTTTGTGCCCTATTAAAATTTGCAATTTGCCCAAGGAACCCCTCGTGTTCTACTTTTCAAAAATATTATAAGTTTATGTTTTTAGACAAAAACATTTTGGTGAGTTAGCTATGTCTTCTCCGTCCTATATTTGTAATTTAAAAAAATACATAGTAATTGATTAGAACCCAAAACAAAAATTACTTTTTACTCCTAATAAAATACAAATTGGTTAACATTTTAAAGACATAATTATTATGTTAGAACTTAGGAAATAGTGTTACAGCTTCTTATCAGTTAAGTTACATTTTACAAAAGTCTTCACATTTGTGTAGATTCACTAAGCTTTCCCCTAAATTATGCTTGTAATTTCCATTGTAATGTCTTGCTAAAAAGGTAATTCTTTGAACAAACGTTATGTAATTCATCCAGTAACAGCAGTGTTGCGTTGAATCAGGTTCTGTCCATGGATGAAAGACACTTTGATTGAAGCGAAGCTGTATTTGAGGTGAAAGTGAGTTTTGTTCCGCAACATCTATTGACATGTTTTATCTTGGATTGACGCCTGTCAAAGCTTGGGCGCTTATAGACGGCCTGGCACTAACTAGAAGAGTCGCATAGACGAGCGCAAAGCATGGTTTTGTCGTTACGCTAGCTAGCATCTGTTTTTATCCTTGTCTGATAAATATTGTTCCACTGTAGGTGTAGTTTTATAATAGTTTTGTTCAAACATTGATCAATAGGAAATCTGTTGCTGTAAAAGTTTATATCATGTTAACTGTTGGTTCTTTATTTGCTGATTTCACGTGTTTTTTATTGGTACACAGATTGATTCTTTGCAAATATATACAACACCACGGGTAGAGTTAAGTTTGAGTCCAGGGGCTGATAGATGTCCAATAAAAGATCCGGAAACATAACACTTATATTTTGTCTAAATAAAGGACTTGTTTGATAAATAAATATTTCTTTATTGTCACATACACAAGAATACATTCCAAGTTTCTAGCGCAGCTAGAGGAACAGGTGACATTGTCAAATTGTTGTCTTGTTGTTGCTGGAAGAAAAATGGAAGATTTTAAGAGAAATAAACTTAAATCTATTCCTTTTAAAAAATAGTCCTAATCAGCCTCTTTGATTCCCTCTAACTGAAACATAACTGATAGCTAATAAATAATAATTTTCAGACAAAAAAAGATTGATTATTAATTCCACAGATTTTTCATTGCTCAACGTTTAACAATAATCTTCTTTTGCATTTTAAGAAACTGAATTCGCTATGTAAGACATTAGTTTATAAAAACAATCATAACTGACAAAATGTTCCTTATGGTGAAATTTAAGACAACTGTTTATGATGTATAGAAAATTTTAAAAGTCTGTGATGAAAAATAAGCTTTAATGTAGAAGTCAGGAAACACAAAAAAATGATTACTTTGGCTGTATAGGACTTGTAAATTGTCAGGTTTTGGTTACGTCAAATTTCAATTCCGGCCCTTAAACATGTGTTTTTATAAATGCAACCAAGCACCAGAAAACAACCAAAACATTTATACAGGGTGAATTTTAAATGAGTTACCCCCCTACTTTTTTCTACATTTCTTAAGATATAAACTTCGGACCACGTCAGATCATTGTAGTGTAGTAAGTACTTCATTTTGACTTAATAAACATTTTTGGCCGCCATCTTGGATCCGCCATATTGGATACAAATTTTTTTTTTCAAATGTAAAGGTAGGGTTGTGACCCATTGATTCAAACTAGAATTTCACGCTGATTACTATGCCGCAATTAGTTTTAAAAAATCTTGATCCGTTCTAAAGTTATGAGGACTTTTTATAACTTTATTTTTAGCCCATTTTAACATTGTGCATTTACAAACTAAGACCATAATCTCAAAATAGTGCTAGATAAAGATAAGTATACACCACCATTCATTGTTGACCTATTATCACTTGGTTATGACGGATGTATTTTTTTGGCCGCCATCTTGGATCTGCCATTTTGAAATGTGATAAATTAATTTAAATATGAAGGTGGTGTTGTGACCCATCATTTCAGACTACTTTTTATGCTGAATTTAATGCCGCAATCTGTTTTGCATTTTCATATTTGTTTTTTGAAATATTGGAAATATAAGTAAGATAATTTTAATATTTCATCAAGAAAGCCTAAGAAACAAAAACGGATTGCGGCATTGAGTTCAGCATAAAAAAGTAGTTCAAAATGATGGGTCACAACACCACCTTCATATTTAAATTAATTTATCACATCTCAAAATGGCAGATCCAAGATGGCGGCCGAAAAAAATTAATCCGTCATAACTAAGTAATAATAGGTTGACAATGAATGGTGGTGTATACTTATCTTTATCTAGCACTATTTTGAGATTATGGTCTTAGTTTGTAAATGCACAATGTTAAAATGGGCTAAAAATAAAGTTATAAAAAGTCCTCATAACTTTAGAACGGATCAAGATTTTTTAAAACTAATTGCGGCAGTGTAATCAACGTAAAATTCTAATTTGAAACAATGGGTCACAACCCTACCTTTACATTTGAAAAAAGAATTTTGTATCCAATATGGCGGATCCAAGATGGCGGCCAAAAATGTTTATCCAGTAAAAATGAAGTACTTACTACACTACAATAATCTGACGTGGTCCGAAGTTGATATCTTAAGAAATGTAGAAAAAAGTAGGGGGGGAACTCATTTAAAATTCACCCTGTACATACATATGCCCTCCCATTCCGGTAACCTCCAGGTCCAGGTTAATTACACAATAACCCTAAGTTAGATAAGCAGGTTGTAATATAATAAGAGATTAGAGATAAGAGAATAATATGCAAGGGATTAAAAATGTAATCAATAATAACCATTGTAATACAGTTTTTAATTAATTTTTTTTTTAAAAGAGGTTGGCGGCCTCTTTTAACCTTGCATTTGCCCGTCCACATAGACTACAGATCTGTGCGTGGAACGTATCCAGCAAAGCAAGGGGTGAGCCGGTACAGTACAAAGGTGAACTGTACTGATAAAAGTTAGTGGCAGTGACCAGGATCCGAACCCAGGACACTTAACTCACACATTCTTTTCTTTGTTTAAAATAAAAGTTATGTATAGTACACTTTTAATATTTTTTAATTTTATTTTTCTAATTTCTTAGCAAATTTGCACTGAATGAAGTCACAGAATTCCCAAGACCATATTGTTTTTTATGCACATATCTTACCTTTTCAACTACACGTAACAAATTTACATATATAATAGTTCTTTATTTATGTCTTCTAAGTTTGTGGTTGTACATTTTTTTACAACTCACAAAACAACCTTGTATTTCTGTTTATTCATTGGATTTAATTCACTGTGATCTTAAGAGATCAGTATCAAGAAGAAAAAAAAAAGAAAAAAAGAGCAGTACTAAACCTTTTTGTAATATTTTTAAAGTAGTTACCACAACAGTTTTTTAAACTACCTACCATTTTTATTTCCCGTATTCAAATTATGCATATAGTTAAAATATTGTCTGTAAATAGGTTTTGGAAGAATTTTGGGCTTGCAGACTGATGTTCGAGAGACTGCCTAATTGTTTGGGGACGTTTATAAGACTACCAAGGGTCTATTACTGTCCAAATATGTACAGCATTCTGCCATTTCTGTAATAAAAAAAAAACTACTCTACACCCACACACTCTTCTCAGAACACAAATCACACTTTTTGTGGATTTTCCCTCCCATCTTAAATAGTTATTTTTCTCCCAAATTGAGTGGCACAGAGATTAAGGTGGGGTCCATTAAGAATAGTGGTAAGAAAAACAAAGAACGTTACGCTGTTGTCAGATTTAAACAAGCTGACTCTGATCTTACAAGCCAATCGTTTTGAAACAGTTGGGCTTTTTTATATTTTGGTGTCTACAATGGAAAAGCACTGTCGCTTATTTAGTCTCTTTGGTCTATTTTTGGAGATTGTATTAGGGAGAATCAGTAGTTATTAGTTAATGTGATGTTGTGTGTTTTACAGAAGACATGTCTACTGCAAGACAAAGAGAGACAGCTGGGCAAGGCTTGTCTGTCCAAGCAACTAATCACTGACAACTGGGGTCTGGCAGTGAGCGAGGTGCAACGTCAGTACCATGCTATAGACTCTGCACTGGAGGTAATGCAACAACTAGCTACCAAAAATCAGCCTACAACATTATAGGCCACTTGTTGACATCAAATGTACAAGATGTTTATGACTTGTGATTGATTCTTGTTGTATTGTCTAGGTGTTGGCCAGCATACAAGGGGTGGTACAACAGACACCAGCCCTAGCCCAGCTACAGAAGGACCTGGAGGAAGCCAACTTCCAGTGTGCCTCCAACCTTCCCCTCGCCCCCTCCCCTGACCTCAACGCCAACAGACCGTCCGTAACTACGTAACAATTGACATTCGTCGTTATCTGTTATCTCCTCAGCAAGACTGCTACTGTTGTTTATTCCTACGTCCTTTTAATAATCCTAGAGTACTTACTCGACCTAATAAGAACCTAGTATCATTAAGTTTATGTTCTATACTAGAAATCAGTGTTTTACTTTTAATAATTTTTAAAAGCTCCAATCTGTGGAATCAACTAGTTTTGTAAATGTATCGAAAGCATGACGTTTTTAAGTGTAGTTTTGGTTGGCATTGATTATAGAAACTTAAGTTGACGTGATACATTGGTTTTGCTGATATTGAAGTATCAATCTATAGTTGAGGATGTGTAAAATTAAACTATTGAGTATTGACTTATATTTAAACTAAACAAATTTTTTAATTTCAGTTAAAATCAAGTTCAAATTGATTCTAAGCGTTTTTATTTTTTTAAGTTTTAATTTCAATAGCTATCCTATTTACAAATAATTGTTAGTTGATATTTAATTAATCAAATTAGTTGTATAGTAGGAGTTTCTGTGCTATCAAAGGTATTGAAAAGTTAATTAAATATAATGAGGGTTTGAAACCCAACATAATTTGGTAATATTTAGTTAAATTATTTGTATAGCTTTATCGTGAATAAGTAATTATTTTCAGAAAATAATTTTACTCTGGTAATACTTTTGTATCTATTTTTCTCATAAATCTAATTTAAATTTTGCAATAATTGTGTTGGTCTTAATAAGAATCATAATGTTATTGCTGCAATATGTTTACTAGTTTGAACCGTTCCCTTTCAAAATGTAAAAAATACCACTGGCGTAAAAACACACAAAATCTTTGGCCTATCAAGAATAGAGCTGAGCAATAAAACAAACCCTATAAGTTTGCAGGCCCAATCTGAGTACAGTAGACCCTCTCTAATCCGGCACTCAATTAATCCGGCGCCTTTTGACGGGGGAGGTCTTCCGCAATCGTGGCAAAATTCAGATTATATCCCACGGCTGAGTTGGCATCATCATCCACTCCCACGGTCATGGAAACATCATGGTCGTCTTGCATGATTGCGGCAAAATCATGAACATTTGCTGAAGTCACGGTAATGTCATCGTCATCTTGCGCGGTTGAGGCAAAATTATGACCATCTCCCATGGCCGTTTAGACATTATCATTGCCTCCCGTGGTTACGGAAGCAACATCTTCGTCTTTGCGCGATGGGGGAAAATCATTAACATCTCCCGCGGTCATGTAGATATTATCGTTGTCTTCCGCGATCACAGCAAAAATCTGATCATCTCCCGCGGCTGTGTTAACATCATCATTTACTCCCGCAGTCACGGAAATGTCATCGTCGTCATGCCCGATTGTGGCAAAATCATGAACATCTCCCGCGGTCGTGTAGACATCATCGTTGTCCTCCGTGACTTCGGCAAAATTCTAAACATCACGTGGAGACGTTATCATCGCCTCACGGAAACATCATCGTCATCATGCCCGATCGCGGCAATAGCGGTTTCCGTTCACGCGATCCTCCAAGACGTGTTTAAGTGCTAAAATGCACTTGATTCAGCGTTTTTATTGATAACATTCCTGTAATCCGGCATTTTCACTAATTCGGCAGTATCACAGTCCGATATCTGCCGAATTACTGAGAGTCTAAGTTTTTCTACAACAAACAAATTTAACTGTGGAAATATTTGTAGACGATAACTTCCACTGATACCGCAAGGGCATACAGTTTTTATAAAGTAAAAACAATAATTTTATTTTGCTGTTTAAGTAAGAGTAATTTTCTAGACCTTTTTCTTGTTCACAGAATACAAACTCCTCAAAATTTAAGTGGTGGTCCCAAATCAAGCCTGTGACTGTGGGGTTGAAAATCTGACAAGTCATATTTTGAACAACTCATTTCTCCTCATGTGTATTTTAAGTAGGATTACTCAAATCCATCAACCAATTAAATCTGTACTAACTTGGATTACTTAGATAGATTTGGCTTTATAACCCGTTTCTGCAAAAGGTTTGGTTTTAAATAATTGACAAAGATTACTTGGTCACCAATAGGTTATATTACATAATTTACAACCAGTCCCATGTGCTTTTCTTGTACCACTACTAATCTGGTACAAATATATTTTGTTACAGAACATTTGACACTTTTTAATCCAGCACATTCGGGTCTTAGGCAGTATCAGATAAACGAAAAGACGAGCTTTTGAACACCGTTGTAGTCATGTAAAAATGGCTATTATTTAAAGTACAGCAGAAATACTGATGAAGTGGACAGTAAAGAAAAAATATAGTAGAATACTACACAAGATTGATGGGATAAATATTGAGGACATTCTGGTTTTAAACATTTAAGGTCTTTCTTAGAATTTTGCTCCCATTTGTCATGTTGGGACTTGAAGATCCTTGCAGCTTAATTGGCATGAAGAAATTTTAGAACAAGAGTTTAGAGCATATTTTCATCTACAACAATTGTTCAAGACTTGAAAAATGTGAATTTAATTTCTAACATCACAATGTTTAATGCAGCTATAGTATAAGACCTCAGTAACAGTATTGGTAAGAGTTTTAATTCTTGAAAACAATTAATTTATAATTAAATTAAGATACTGTATTGATGTTTTGTACAAGCCTTAAGTTATAGATTGATTTAATTTTGTATAGTAAGTAATATGGTGTAACAATTTGTTTTACTATCTTATTTATAATTTTACAGTTCCGTGATATTTAATAGTGGCCTCTTTTAATTAAAAGGGAACATAATACCGTCCCAGTATATATTTTAAAGTAGAGTAACAAAAAGAAAAAAAAAAACAGGTATTTTATACTATATATTGGTTAATATTTTATTGCATTATTTTTAGGCAGGCTTTTAAACGTAAGCAGATCACATTAATTTGCTCTTTAAGACTAGAGATGTTTTGATAACTTTCCTGTGGAAGCTATTTAAATTTAATCTAAACCTCACACATTCTTTACTAAAGTACCTAATTTTCATCGTGCTTTTTTGTTTGGACACAGGTATTTTTACCTGGTGATCATGACAAGTTAGTCTGTGGTTCAGTGATAGCACTATAGACTGTTCACCAAAGCAGGTATGTCGTTGGTTTGTGGCCTGGTGTCGCTGCTTTTCTTCTATACGAGCTTATTTCTTGCGTTGCTTGATACGTTCCATGGACATGCCTAATGCCTGCTCAAAGGCAAGGATAAAAGAGAACATCAACCTCTTAAACAAATGTTTAATCTCTTAATGCATTGAGAACTATAAAAGTGATTTAATTCAAAAAACTCATATTGCCATCCTGTTAAAGTACCCAAATTATCTGTGTGATTAAATTACTGTAAGCCAAAATTATAAATGTTAATTATTACAAGGCTGTTAAAACTTTATTTTTTATAGAGACCCAGTGTAATCTTCTGTGATTGGGACCTTTGGTTCTCTTGTATGATGGTGTAAATATTGAACCAAACATGACTGAGTTTTTGAATGTTGTGCCAAGATATTCTTCGTTTTGTGTCTGTGTCGTAGTGTTTTAACTTAATTTTTTAGTCATAAATTATCAGTCTAGTTTTAACTCTAGTGAAAGTCATTACTGTTTAAAATAAAGTGAATATTTAACAGTATTTCGTTTGCTTTTCTTTACCAAGTCAACTGTTAATTTATTTTTAAGGGAAGCCAACTGGCTGATTTATAGCGAATGATTTCAGCTCACTTACCTGAAAAAAAAAAAAATCAAGGGGAAAGATGTACGGTCAAAAAGGCTTTGTAAAACTTCACTGACACTTAATTCTAGTATAGGATTTCTTCTCTGAGATCTTGTTTGTTTATCTAAAACCCCATGTTAATTTTCTCAAGCCTACTGTGACAGTGTCTTTAAAAAAATGCCCATTGTACATTTCAGAAATTTTGTATGTTTAAATTACTTTTGATAACCATCACACTAATTTTGACTATGTTGATAGCTAGCGTGCACTTATGAGAGCTTAACAATGCACCGTGATTTAGTTATGGTCTATTTTTGTTATGTTGTTTTCCTCTAAGCTATGTCACACACTGCTGAACTTGCGCACAAGACCTGGTGGAGACGGGATTCAAACCAATGATCCACAAGGCTGTCTCCTGCACATGTTCGACCATTCTAAGATCAGAAATACCTGTGTACCACAACAACAACATTGGAGAAAAGCCCATGTGTTAGTCTAAACTCAACCCTGGATAGTAGCACGTGTAAGGCACACTTTCCTTCGTTTTGTTGAGTTATACTTGCATAGATAGTTCACAAATACTGTCCCTGATGAAGTAATTTAGGCCCCTTTTACGCAGTTTTTCTGCCGAGCGGAATCCACCGTTATTTTTATAATATCAGTGGTGGGGGGTGCCAGTGCTACCAACTTTGTTTATTTGGCCATCATCAGTCACACAAGAAAGACCATTGTGTATCGGTTTTGAACTATTTATGTGTGAAGAAAAATAGACTACGAGGGAGGAGGTGGGCTGCACACCCGGTGAATCAAAGTTATAGACTGGATGGAGCTTTTGCAAACTTGTATGTTGTGCTGCAAAATGATTATATTTTTCCGAGGATTTTTAAACAAAAATGTAAACTTTATTATACTTTCCGTGAAAGTTTTTTTGCAATTATATCACTTCTTTAGCTGATTCCTTGATCTATTACATTGATCATCTGTTTACAATTTGGTTGAACGATTTCTATTCTATACTGTGGATGACAGAGCACGGGATACATTGGCAGCGCTGTATTCCGCCCGACGGAAAATGCTGTTGCATAATAGGGTTCCATTTGATCCTATGTAAAAAATGGCCCCGACAGAACGCCGAAACTCGGTGGAGCGCAAGTCCTCCCCCCACCGCGGACGGAACGCTGAAACGCGACAGAGATTCCGTTGTGCATAAAAGGGTCCCATGTTAAAAAACTTCCTGACGGATCGCCCAATAGATTCCGCCCGACGGAAAACGTGCATAAAAGAGGCCTTAACCCATTGGCGCCGACTTACGAGCGTTACTCGTACGGCCGCTGCAGGCCCGGCGGCCGACTTACGAGAGCCACTCGTGTCACCGCTAGGCAGCGCCATTTTTTATTTAGTTATTATTATTTTTCGCCCTTTTTGTTTCTTCTTACTATTATAATGTTTATAAATATCTTGCTTCTTAAATTGTGTATTTACTCATTTATTTTAGCGAATAACAAACAATTTTGTGTTGCCATGGGAACCACATATCACCAAAAATCAGCTGCGGTAAGGTAAACAAACAATTTTTTTAAAATGTTATTACTTATAAAAGTATACAACTTTTGATTTTTCTACGTAGGGAATCGATTGACCTTTATAATAGTAGTGTTAATTGGTGTCTGGATTAATCTTGGAATTTGTATATCAAGTTTACTTTCAAAAAATTGTTTTTAAAATTTTTATTTTTATAATCTTTATATACCGTATATATACGGTATACGGGTTTATATACGGTATATATTTTATTTTAGTTTAGAACTTTGACTATCCAATTACCACTTTTCTGTAGACAATTTTACTGTGAACAAAATGGTGAAAGAATTAACAATTTATTACCTAAGGTTTTCTTTCTATAGCAGTTAGAGTAAAAGTCTACAAACTCGGTAAAATTAATTGCCACCAGAGGGTGCTGTAGTTAGCGCATTAATTCCTTCCCCAATGGGTTAAGGTAGTTGTTTCTCAGTGGTTTAAAAATAATGACTTACTTGGGCCTACTTACTTACTTCAGTAGTTATTAGTTAATATCAAAGAAAAATAGTATGATAAAATATTTATTTTTTGTATAACTTACAAGGAAAATATTTCTTAACATGTTTAGCCTCTGGAGGACATTTACCTTGCAGGGTTCCAACCTTGGTCGCAGACTGAAATAACAGATCATAGACAGTACAACAGAGTTATTTAATCTTTTATTTGTAAAATATTTCTGTTTGATATATCTAAAATAAATCGCACCAAGGTTAGTTTTTCATTATTACGAGTACATTCTACATTTTTCAAGACAGTAGACTACCTCTTATCCGGACACCTTTTAACTGGACATCGGATTAACCGGACTACACTCGGCGGAAATGACATCTGTTTAACCAGACAATTTTTATCAGCACATTGGACATTGGTTTAACCGGACTAGATCGGCAGGAAGTGGGCAGTACTGAAACAACTGTTCTCGTGGGAAAGATTTGAGACCAGTGATCACGTGTCTAAATACAATGCTCTCCTAAATTTAAGTTGAATATCACAGGAAACAGTCCATTTTAATGAGTTTTTCTGGGGACGTCGGTTTAACCGGAAAACCCGTTATCCAGACTGGCCTCGGTCCCGAGGAGTCTGGATAAGAGGGAGTCTACTGTAATGGGTTAGCTTATATACAGATTCTAACTAGTCTGCTGGTTAGTGTTTGTTGGAACAAAAGAAGGGAATGAAAATTGTTAAGGCAGTACCGGTATTGTTCTTAATTGCAATATTTTATCTTATCTAACTCCTTATTCATCATGTTCTTCTTCATTTTTTTCTGGTGTCTCTTTTGAGGATTCTATTCAGATGCCCAATTCAAATTTAGCTGCTCTCAATTTGGAAAAGAGTCTAACAACTTGTGGACCCACACTTGGGAATTTATCTTATAAATTGTCTCATCGTTTTACCATGTTCATTTATCTAACAAAAAAGTTGCTGTGAAGTATGCTTGGTTCTTTTTAAAACAATTGGATCTGAGGTTTTCATTTGTCAAACACAAATATTAAACTTTGATACATTTGACAGTATTTGTTACACGTATCTAGGGATTTTACGTGTGTCTGTTGCATAATCTAGAACTACTAATCTGGCTGAACACAACTAAAACAATGGTATGAGATGAGGTATTCTCTTTGGTTTATGATGAGTAAACGTTGTGTTACAGGAAGAGTTTATTTTATAGGATCCAAATATTTGTTAGGAACATTGATATTAGGGTACCGTACCAATACAATAAGTAGGCCTAGGCCTATATGTAGTTGCCGAGGCACCTTTTGTAAACAATTAGCTAATTTACTGTGTATAGTGGGTAACAGTACTTTTTTTTCAAAAGTGACAGCCTAAATACAGTAATTATCAAATTTTATTTTTGATATAAAAAACAGATGAAGGTATTAGGTTGAAAAAGACTAGAATAGTCTATATGCAAATGTTTATTAATATACAAGAAATAAATTTTGCAAATACATATACATACAGTCTACTTACAAACCCAAATCGGATTTTAAAATTAATATTTGTGTAGGCGTTGTTGCAAATAAAACCAATAGCCTTTCAATAGGCACACATGTTGGTATATTTTAATAGTTACCATTACAAGGTTTTCTTAGAAAATACAATAATAGATATACCGTAACAAACATTTTCAAATCCCATAGCAGTTTCTATTTAGTTAGTGGGCCTATTTAGGTTATATTGAGGGCTTGCATAAACAGATCCAGAAGCTATTAATCAAACTCCAGTAGTAATAATAAGTTTATAGTTGCCAAGGATTTAAAATTTCAGAACTTTATCATAAAGACTCGTTTAGCGTAAGTGTCGAGTGTAGATTATTATAAAAATAAGACAAATACCTAACATATTGAACATACCATACAAAACAAATTGTAGCTACACTGGAGCATTACTTATACCCAATCAAATAAAGAGTTAGAGAAGTTCATGTAGGTCTAATGCAATCAAAATAAGCACTAACTTAGGCTACATGAAGCAAACACTTTGAATATGTCCTAGCGTTTTAAGAATGCATTGGTGGGCTGCACTTTACTTTAGGTCCTACACTCATTCGAGTTAAAATATCGATCGATATATCGATTAATCGATCGTTTTATTCAATATATCGTTTGGTTAGTTAACCAAACGATAGGATCGAATGAAACAATCCAATATTCAATATTTTATTCGAATGAGTGTAGGACCTAAAGGAAAGTGCAGCTATAATAAGTAGTAATAATAAGTTTATAGTTGCCAAGGATTTAAAATTTCAGAACTTTATCATAAAGACTCGTTTAGCGTAAGTGTCGAGTGTAGATTATTATAAAAATAAGACAAATACCTAACATATTGAACATACCATACAAAACAAATTGTAGCTACACTGGAGCATTACTTATACCCAATCAAATAAAGAGTTAGAGAAGTTCATGTAGGTCTAATGCAATCAAAATAAGCACTAACTTAGGCTACATGAAGCAAACACTTTGAATATGTCCTAGCGTTTTAAGAATGCATTGGTGGGCTGCACTTTACTTTAGGTCCTACACTCATTCGAGTTAAAATATCGATCGATATATCGATTAATCGATCGTTTTATTCAATATATCGTTTGGTTAGTTAACCAAACGATAGGATCGAATGAAACAATCCAATATTCAATATTTTATTCGAATGAGTGTAGGACCTAAAGGAAAGTGCAGCCCATTGGTGTATCAAACTGGGTCTCAGTCCCAAGATTTAAGGTTAGGGGCCTAAGTGACTACCTTCTAAAAAATAAATAAATTATGGACCTTGGTTTCCATGAGCTTGAACTGTTGTCTAAAATATTATTTAACTGCATCCAAAATATTAAACATTAAAGGACATGAACATCACACAAGTTAATTAACGTGATTATCCATGAACCTTGGTTTGTAAATTAACTACAGGCATCCCTGAGATAAGAAGGAAATATTACACCCTAAGTAGTATTACATCTTAATGTGTTTGGTTAGGGTACATATGGACTGATGAAAATTTATATTGCAGACGTAGCGAAGTTCCAATAGGTAAAGGATCAAAAGTTCCACGCAGTGTCAAGGACACGTTGATATGGATGAGCCAATAGTTTCATTGTGTTGTTAAAAACTTTAGTTACGTCTCTTGAACTCTCCAACAAATATGAAGTTGGAGACACAATTTTTCCAAGTTCTTTATATATTCTGTCGACCACATTAAAGTCTGACTGTTTTTCATGCAGATAAAACACATCAAGGAAGAAGAAAGGAGATAACAGCAACTTTGAATATGAAGGGTCATTGGTGTTTACTTGTGGTGCTCTATACGAATTACTGTAAACAAAGATTACTCTTACAATGTGGTTTGGGGGGATCAGAGTCACATTATTAGAACTTTCGGGAATGTCAAACAACTTTGGAAGATCACTGAAAATGGGCGAGATATCAAGAATATTGTTAGTTTCTTCATTGGAAATATATCTGTACTCTCTTAGTGATTTTGATAGAATACCTATGTTGGAAGTGAGAGGAGAGAGGCGATTGAGTTTTCCAGACTCCAGCGATACAATTGAAAATTCTGTATCTTTGGCTATTGCAAGTTTGTTTACCATAAACATCCTCAAAGCTTCGTTTCTGATTGAAAGAGGATGAGGTTCTTTTGTGTTCTTATCTAAGTCAGAGAATGTGTATCCCAAACCTTTGTCTTGTGAGTTTTCAATGCATAAAATGATATTTTCCTTTACTGCAACTTTGGGTAATCTGAAAATAGGGAAGTTTACTTTCCATGGACTATTTGTTTCTTCATCCTCACTCTTATTGCTGACAACAGGGGAATTTCCAACGGAACTTGACAATCCTTCTCTAACCTGGCCGTTGTTAGGAATAGTCTGCCTAGGCCTATTAAGAATAGTATCAAACATGTCTGGAGAATTCGCATCATCACTTGAATCCATCCTTTGATAGATTTGATTATTCACACCAGCAATAATCTATTTCTTTACCATCTGCTTGAACTAAAAATTTTGAGTGAACCTAACCTGTTAAACATCAAACAACTTAAACATTTGCACTTGCACAGACATACATAAACATAACTCCTGGATTGAAACTGAAAAGAAAACTGAAACGAAACTGACAATGACAATGACAATAGTGACAATCGAAGTTTGTTTTTGACTATATTTTGACAACTTAACTGGAACTGACTGACTGAGTGAGTACTCGTACTGAATGAATACAGTCTCAATGGTACTGAGTAGAACTAAAGATTGGAGTCAGTCCGTGGACTGGACACTCGCGCCTTGGGACACTCTAACCAACTCTATATAGTAAGAGTAAAGTTGCATGCTGTAAAATTGGCCTAGCAAAAGAGATAAGTCCGGATAAGTCATAATAAGAAAATAACAACTTTATTTTTAGGTAAAAAAAAGTAAAAGTTCGTTGTTTTGTTTGGGTGTGTTGGTTAAGTAAGTTGTTTGTTGTACTGTTTTTGTACTGGTACTCGACACTCACGTCACTGTAGCATAAAATATATAAACACCATATTATATAGTAATATAATACCATATATTTATATTACTTCATCTGTTTGGAGTTGAGTGGTTGAGTGAGGCTGAGGCTAGAAGGCTAGGCCTAGGCCTATTTTTTGATCAGCGTGAAACTGGCAATAGGACAGCAATAACCCATTCCACTTCTCCTACCGCCCCTCCGACGAATATACGTCACAGTAAAACGTCACAACAATGATGGCGTCACAGTAGGATTCGTCACAAAGCAGCTGACATAACCTCCAAAATATCAAGTGGCGGGAATTTTTTTTTTGCGAAACACGGCCAAGATGGCGTTTGGCGGTACACGCACAGCGTTGATTATGAAGGTTAAGTAATATATATGTATAAAACTGTACAATACGTTGAATGTTAAACTAGTATTTCATTATTTGGAGAATAAAGAACAATATTAAACACGTTTGAGGTTATTTTAAGTAGTAACCACCTTCAATTTTTTCCAAATGATAAAATTATTAGCTGACTACCATAAAAACCTATTGCTGGCATCTCCCCTTAAGTTTTTCTCTCGTTTTTCTTTTGATATATGTTAAACACATGGTTATGAACAAAAAATTACCTCTTCTAGGTTAGCCCACTCTTTAATAGTGCAGCTATGTATCCTGGAATGCACTTCGTGTGACCTCGGTTGGACGCCGATGCTATTACAAAAATGTATGTTCTAAATGTCTATTTACATTATTTATCTGGTATTGAACAATACTGGGCACTTTTAAGCTTATTAATGTAGAAATCACCTTGATATTAATACAAACTAATAAACTACCTAAAATTACTAACTAAATATAGTAAAAAACCTATTGCTGGCATCTCCTCTTAAATTTTTTTCTCGTTTTTCTTTTGATATGTGTTAAACACATTGTTATGAACATAAAATGACGTAGTATAGGTTAGCCCACTTTTTAGTAGTGTAGCTATGCAGCCTGGAATGGACCTCATAATAGAATAATAAATTACCATAAATTTCTATTGCTGGCCTATCCCTTTGGTACGATTTTCTTTATTCTTTCAAAATATGTTTATTACATCATTACGAACTAGAAAACACGTCGCCTAGGTTAGCCCACTCCTTTACAGTTGAGATAGGTAACTTTGAATTAAACTGGTGTGACCTCGGTTCCATAAGAACCTAATTTACTAAAACTCAACTTTTTTCGTTTATACATGTTAGTTACACCTTAATAAACAATACCTAACGCTATTTCGATAAAAAATATTACTATTTATCAATTTAATGCATTATTTAAAATCTGCCTCAATATAACAATAAATTACCATAAATTTCTATTGCTGGCCTATCCCTTTGGCACGATTTTCTTTATTCTTTCAAAATATGTTTATTACATCATTACGAACTAGAAAACACGTCGCTTATGTTAGCCCACTCCTTTATAGTTGAGATAGGCCATTTTGATTGTAGCTGGTGTGACCTCGGTTCCATAAGAACCTAATGTACTGAAAACCAACTTTTTCGTTTATACATGATAGTTACACCTAAATAAACAATCCCTAACACCATTTCAATAAAAAATATTATTATTTATCAATTTAATGCATTATTAAAAATCTGCCTCAATAGAACAATAAATTACCATAAATTTCTATTGCTGGCCTATCCCTTTGGCACGATTTTCTTTATTCTTTCAAAATATGTTTATTACATCATTACGAACTAGAAAACACGTCGCCTAGGTTCGTACACTCATTTATAGTTGAGATAGGTAACTTTGAATTAAACTGGTGTGACCTCGGTTCCATATGAGCCTAACTTACTAAAAATCAACTTTTTTCGTTTATACATGTTAGTTACACCTTAATAAACAATACCTAACACCATTTCGATAAAAAATATTATTATTTATCAATTTAATGCATTATTTAAAATCTGTCTCAATAGAACAATAAATTACCATAAATTTCTATTGCTGGCCTATCCCTTTGGCACGATTTTCTTTATTCTTTCAAAATATGTTTATTACATCATTACGAACTAGAAAACACGTCGCCTAGGTTAGCCCACTCCTTTATAGCTGAGATAGGCCATTTTGATTGTAGCTGGTGTGACCTCGGTTCCATAAGAACCTAATTTACTAAAACTCAACTTTTTCCGTTTATACATGTTAAATACACCTTAATAAACAATCCCTAACACCATTTCGATAAAAAATATTATTATTTATCAATTTAATGCATTATTTAAAATCTGCCTCAATAGAACAATAAATTACCATAAATTTCTATTGCTGGCCTATCCCTTTGGCACGATTTTCTTTATTCTTTCAAAATATGTTTATTACATCATTACGAACTAGAAAACATGTCGCTTATGTTAGCCCACTCCTTTATAGTTGAGATAGGCCATTTTGATTGTAGCTGGTGTGACCTCGGTTCCATAAGAACCTAATTTACTAAAACTCAACTTTTTCCGTTTATACATGTTAGTTACACCTTAATGAACAATACCTAACACCATTTCGATAAAAAATATTATTATTTATCAATTTAATGCATTATTTAAAATCTGCCTCAATAGAACAATAAATTACCATAAATTTCTATTGCTGGCCTATCCCTTTGGCACGATTTTCTTTATTCTTTCAAAATATGTTTATTACATCATTACGAACTAGAAAACACGTCGCTTATGTTAGCCCACTCCTTTATAGTTGAGATAGACCATTTTGATTGTAGCTGGTGTGACCTCGGTTCCATAAGAACCTAATTTACTAAAACTCAACTTTTTCCGTTTATACATGTTAGTTACACCATAATGAACAATACCTAACACCATTTCGATAAAAAATATTATTATTTATCAATTTAATGCATTATTTAAAATCTGCCTCAATAGAACAATAAATTACCATAAATTTCTATTGCTGGCCTATCCCTTTGGCACGATTTTCTTTATTCTTTCAAAATATGTTTATTACATCATTACGAACTAGAAAACACGTCGCCTAGGTTAGCCCACTCCTTTATAGTTGAGATAGGCCATTTTGATTGTAGCTGGTGTGACCTCGGTTCCATAAGAACCTAATTTACTAAAACTCAACCTTTTCCGTTTATGAACATAAACTCTATGAACATAAAATGACGTAGCCTAGGTTAGCCCACTCTTTAGTAGTGTTGCTATGTAGCCTGGAATTGACCTCATGTGACCTCGGTTGCACGACGACGCTATTACACAACTTAAATGTTTTATATGTCTTTTTACATTATTTAGCTGGTATTGAACAATAGTAGGCACCTTTTAGCTTATTGAAGAAGAAACTACCTCGATTTTAATCCAAAATTAAAAAATTACCTAAAACTACTAACTGGCTACCACAAAAACCTATTGCTGGCATCTCCTGTTAACTTTTTTTCTAATTTTTCTTTTGATATGTGTTAAACACATGGTTATGAAGAAAAAATGACGTAGTATAGGTTAGCTCACTCTTTAGTAGTGTAGCCAAACAGCCTGGAATGGACCTCATGTGACCTCGGTTGCACGACGATGCTATTACTCAAATTCTTGTTTTATATGTCTATTTACATTATTTAGAGGGTAATGAACAATACTAAGCAGTTTTTAGCTAATTAAAGTGGTAACCACCCTGATTTTAACCTAAATTGAAAACTAACTAAAATTACTAACTGATTACCATAAAAACCTATTGCTGGCATCTCCTCTTAAATTTTTTTCTTGTTTTTCTTTTGATATGTGTTAAACACATTGTTATGAACATAAAATGACGTGTTATAGGTTAGCCCACTTTTTAGTAGTGTTGCTATGCAGCCTGGAATGGACCTCATGTGACCTCGGTTGCACGACGACGCTATGACACAAATTAATGTTTTATATGTCTATTTTCATTATTTAGAGGGTAATGATTAATACTTAGCAGTTTTAGCTAATTAAAGTAGTAACAACCTTGATTTTTACCTTAATTGAAAAATTGCTTAAAATACTAACTGACTACCATAAAAACCTATTGCTGGCATCTCCTCTTAAATTTTTTTCTCGTTTTTCTTTTGATATGTGTTAAACACATTGTTATGAACAAAAAATGACGTAGTATAGGTTAGCCCACTTTTTAGTAGTGTTGCTATGCAGCCTGGAATGGACCTCATGAGACCTCGGATGCACGACGACGCTATTACACAAATTAATGTTTTATATATATATATTATTTACATTATTTAGATGGTATTGATCAATACAAGGCACTTTTAAGGTTATTAAAGTAGAAACCACCTTGATTGTAATCCAAATGAAAAAATACCTAAAATTAATAACTTGCTGGCATTTCCCCTTAATTTTTTCTTCAGTTATTTTTATATGCGTTAAACACATGGTTATGAACAAAAAAATGCCTATTCTAGGGTAGCCCACTCTTTAATAGTGTAGCTATGTATCCTGGAAGAACCTCATGTGACCTTGTTAGTAAAATTACCTAAAATTACTAACTGACTACTATAAAAACCTATTGGGTACCGGTACCTAAAATCTAGTTAAACCAAACCAACCAAAGTATGTAACTTAACAACTAGTTTCAAACCACACCAAAGTATCTTAATATCTATAGTTCAAACTAAACCAAATTAACTTAACAACTAGTTTCAAACCACACCAAAGTAACTTAAAATCTAGTTCAAACCAAACCAAATTAACTTAACAACTAGTCTCAAACCACACCAAAGTAACTTAAAATCTATGTAAAACCAAACCAAATTAACTTAACAACTAGTCTCAAACCACACCAAAGTAACTAACATGTATAAACGGAAAAAGTTGAGTTTTAGTAAATTAGGTTCTTATGGAACCGAGGTCACACCAGCTACAATCAAAATGGTCTATCTCAACTATAAAGGAGTGGGCTAACATAAGCGACGTGTTTTCTAGTTCGTAATGATGTAATAAACATATTTTGAAAGAATAAAGAAAATCGTGCCAAAGGGATAGGCCAGCAATAGAAATTTATGGTAATTTATTGTTCTATTGAGGCAGATTTTAAATAATGCATTAAATTGATAAATAATAATATTTTTTATCGAAATGGTGTTAGGTATTGTTCATTAAGGTGTAACTAACATGTATAAACGGAAAAAGTTGAGTTTTAGTAAATTAGGTTCTTATGGAACCGAGGTCACACCAGCTACAATCAAAATGGCCTATCTCAACTATAAAGGAGTGGGCTAACATAAGCGACATGTTTTCTAGTTCGTAATGATGTAATAAACATATTTTGAAAGAATAAAGAAAATCGTGCCAAAGGGATAGGCCAGCAATAGAAATTTATGGTAATTTATTGTTCTATTGAGGCAGATTTTAAATAATGCATTAAATTGATAAATAATAATATTTTTTATCGAAATGGTGTTAGGGATTGTTTATTAAGGTGTATTTAACATGTATAAACGGAAAAAGTTGAGTTTTAGTAAATTAGGTTCTTATGGAACCGAGGTCACACCAGCTACAATCAAAATGGCCTATCTCAGCTATAAAGGAGTGGGCTAACCTAGGCGACGTGTTTTCTAGTTCGTAATGATGTAATAAACATATTTTGAAAGAAAATCGTGCCAAAGGGATAGGCCAGCAATAGAAATTTATGGTAATTTATTGTTCTATTGAGACAGATTTTAAATAATGCATTAAATTGATAAATAATAATATTTTTTATCGAAATGGTGTTAGGTATTGTTTATTAAGGTGTAACTAACATGTATAAACGAAAAAAGTTGATTTTTAGTAAGTTAGGCTCATATGGAACCGAGGTCACACCAGTTTAATTCAAAGTTACCTATCTCAACTATAAATGAGTGTACGAACCTAGGCGACGTGTTTTCTAGTTCGTAATGATGTAATAAACATATTTTGAAAGAATAAAGAAAATCGTGCCAAAGGGATAGGCCAGCAATAGAAATTTATGGTAATTTATTGTTCTATTGAGGCAGATTTTTAATAATGCATTAAATTGATAAATAATAATATTTTTTATTGAAATGGTGTTAGGGATTGTTTATTTAGGTGTAACTATCATGTATAAACGAAAAAGTTGGTTTTCAGTACATTAGGTTCTTATGGAACCGAGGTCACACCAGCTACAATCAAAATGGCCTATCTCAACTATAAAGGAGTGGGCTAACATAAGCGACGTGTTTTCTAGTTCGTAATGATGTAATAAACATATTTTGAAAGAATAAAGAAAATCGTGCCAAAGGGATAGGCCAGCAATAGAAATTTATGGTAATTTATTGTTATATTGAGGCAGATTTTAAATAATGCATTAAATTGATAAATAGTAATATTTTTTATCGAAATAGCGTTAGGTATTGTTTATTAAGGTGTAACTAACATGTATAAACGAAAAAAGTTGAGTTTTAGTAAATTAGGTTCTTATGGAACCGAGGTCACACCAGTTTAATTCAAAGTTACCTATCTCAACTGTAAAGGAGTGGGCTAACCTAGGCGACGTGTTTTCTAGTTCGTAATGATGTAATAAACATATTTTGAAAGAATAAAGAAAATCGTACCAAAGGGATAGGCCAGCAATAGAAATTTATGGTAATTTATTATTCTATTATGAGGTCCATTCCAGGCTGCATAGCTACACTACTAAAAAGTGGGCTAACCTATACTACGTCATTTTATGTTCATAACAATGTGTTTAACACATATCAAAAGAAAAACGAGAAAAAAATTTAAGAGGAGATGCCAGCAATAGGTTTTTTACTATATTTAGTTAGTAATTTTAGGTAGTTTATTAGTTTGTATTAATATCAAGGTGATTTCTACATTAATAAGCTTAAAAGTGCCCAGTATTGTTCAATACCAGATAAATAATGTAAATAGACATTTAGAACATACATTTTTGTAATAGCATCGGCGTGCAACCGAGGTCACACGAAGTGCATTCCAGGATACATAGCTGCACTATTAAAGAGTGGGCTAACCTAGAAGAGGTAATTTTTTGTTCATAACCATGTGTTTAACGCGTATCAAAAGAAAAACTGAAGAAAAATTTAAGGGGAATTGCCAGCAATAGGTTTTTATGGTAGTCAAATAGTAATTTTAGATTTGGATTCAAATCGATGCGGTAACTACTTAATTAGCTAAAAAGTGCTTGGTGTTGTGCAATATGCTCTACATAATGTAAATAGACATATAAAACATGAATTTTAGTAATAGCGTCGTCGTGCAATCAAGGTCATATGAAGTGCATTCCAGGCTGAATAGCTACACTAGTAAAGAGTGGGCTAACCTTGAATACGTCATTTTTTGTTCATAACCATGTGTTTAACATATATCAAAAGAAAAACGAGAGAAAAACTTAAGGGGAGATGCCAGCAATAGGTTTTTATGGTAGTCAGCTAATAATTTTATCATTTGGAAAAAATTGGAGGTGGTTACTACTTAAAATAACCTCAAACGTGTTTAATATTGTTCTTTATTCTCTAAATAATGAAATAGTAGTTTAATTTCATTCAACGTATTGTACAGTTTTATACATATATATTACTTAACCTTCATAATCAACGCTGTGCGTGTACCGCCAAACGCCATCTTGGCCGTGTTTCGCAAAAAACAATTGCCACCACTTGATATTTTGGAGGTTATGTCAGCTGCTTTGTGACGAATCCTACTGTGACGCCATCATTGTTGTGACGTTTTACTGTGACGTATATTCGTCGGAGGGGCGGTAGGAGAAGTGGAATGGGTTATTGCTGTTCTATTGCCAGTTTCACGCTGATTATTTTTTGCCTATCTACGTAAGTTACATGATCAGATCAGTGTCATTCTCATTAAGTTTTATTGTATTATTGCCTCTACAATTATTGTTATTGTTTGAATAAGAACATTCCGGTTAGGCCTAAGTAAATCCGATTTAAAGTAATTATGGTATTTATTGCGACGAAGGTGACCATGGGAACTAGTGATGCGTGATTGCGAGATGTTTGAACAATCGAAACTTCCTTCTCGAGATGTTCCGCTTATCGATTGTTTCGATTGCTTAGCGAGAGGTTTGTACAATCGAGATGTTTCTCTCGATTGTTGCATTCGTTAAGCCTAAACGTCTGTTCGCACCTGTCTATATATTTCATGTGAGGGGTTACGAGGATATTTGTTCTTTTTCTAGATTCTTAGCTTCTTATAGAATAGCAGACTCATGGCAACAGAAATATAAAATTATTATAAAGTAATGGGTACCGTAATGGTAAATAATACCGTTAACAAACCATTTATGAGAACCTTCTGTCTCGTTGTAAACATTTAGATTTAAATACAAACATTTTGTTTGTAAAATACCTCGGCTTGTCAATCAATAGTTTTTATTGAGTGGTATTAAGTCACTATTCCGTAGATAAAGTAAGTAATATATCCATAAACCTTCCTTGGTTTTGAAGTAAGATATACCTCTTATTTATTGGGGGTAAATCCCCGGCAGATACAATAGAAATTAGATGATAATAAATTACGATGCCGCACACTTAACAAAACAATCGCCTAATCGAATCGCCATGAACATCTCATTAAAAAGACTCTCGGGAAGAACTTCTAGACTCTCGGTTCTCTAGACGAGACGAATGCGAGTACGAGAGAAGAGAAGCCGTGCTGAAACGAAACAATCGTCACGAACATCTCGTTAAAACCTCTCGTCTCTCGATTCTCTAGACGAGACGAATGCGACTGCGAGAAGCGAGAGCGAGATACGAGAGAAGAGAAGCCGTGCTGAAACGAAACAATTGTTCCGAACGTCTCGATAAAACCTCTCATTAAGAACCTCTCGCTAAGCAAAAATACAATCGAAACGTCTCGAGAGGTTCAAACAATCGAAACGTTTCGATTGTAACATCTCGCAATCGCGCATCACTAATGGGAACCTACCAAGATTTATATATCACTAGAAACTAGATTTTTAGCTGAAAATAATGGTGCAAAAATTTTCCGCGCTCTCAAATATTAACGGAGCTACGGCTGTTTTAAGTTTTATTTAGCGGTAGGCCTAGGCCTACTTTGTTTTTTTTTTTTTGACATTACCTATTTATAAGGCTATATGAAATGTTCTCTCCAGATACTTGATAAGTTATACGTTAATTGTAAGTTATTAAAGTAGAAGACTCACTTTTTACCAGGAAAAAACAGTGCAAAAATGTCTCCGAGGCCACGAATATTAACTAAGGTAACTTATAAGATAATTTGTCGTTTTGATTTCCTTTATCTACCTTCTATTTTAGTCTGCTACTGCTTGCCGCATTACGGAATTACGGAACGGACAAACTGTTAAGTTACTTGTACAACTATACCTACTGAACCTGAAATGAAAATGAAATTATGAAATTGAAGAGAAGAGAATAAAAATAAGTCAATCAAGTCATTTAAATTACATGTGCTTCAAACATCTAAGAAACAACACGGCACTAAATAACTTATTTCAGAATGATTTTATTTAGGCATTTGTGGAAGGCAAGTCGGGCTTATGCGGATTTGTGACTGTATTAAGTGTTTCTAAGTTAGGTTAGATTAGGAAGGTAAAGTGTAGGTGAACTGAGTTGATAATTTAAACTTTCAGCATTTTTGAAATCGTTATTTCATTGTGTTTAACACACTATTTTAATTGCACAACAACTGCCTGTGTGTAATATAAATTATCAACTCAGTTCACTACTGTATGAGGCTCACTATATTACCAAGGCTCTATATTGGGCCCTACCCTGTTTATACTGTATATAAATGACTTACCTTGTAATATTAATGACTTATCTGTAAAAAGCTTTCTTTTTGCTGATGACTTGGCCTTGAGTGTACGGGGTAACTCTTTGAATGACGTTACAGATACATTGGATACAAAATCTGCTGTTATTAATGACTGGTGTAATGCATAAATGTATTTCCAACTCTTTTCTTTGGTTACAAATATTTATATAGTTTGAAATAGGCTTCATTGTTTTTATGTTAGCTTGAACTTAAAAATTTATATGTTCCAGAATGTCGGAGAATTCAAGCAAAAATGGACAGATGATTTTGGCAACAGGAGGTTATGACCATACAATTAAACTGTGGCAGGCCCACTCTGGAATGTGCAGTAGAACTTTGCAGCATGCTGATTCTGTATCCTTGATAGTCGTATGAATCTGCAAAACCATATCTTAAGTCTACGATAAAAATATGCGTATCTTATATGTGTTAGTTAATATTAATATATTTCATCCTATTATGACACTACAACACACTAAGTTAGGGCCTGCTAATTTTCAACTGATAATCATGCAAAGCACTGTAATGTAATTTTTTTTAACCAAATACTGTGCGACTTGCAAAACACTAGTGAAAACCGTGACGTGAGACTGAAAATTCCTGAATCAATGAAGGTTTAATTTAATAAATATTGATTAGAACCCATTGACCTTGTTCAACTCTTGTTTTTTTTTCTTTCAAGTTTCTCTGTTGTAAGTAACGTTCTACAATATCTTCATGGAGGCACGTCAAATTACAATCCAAATAGCATTCCGGAACTTCAGAAAAAAGCCATCCGCATCATTTAAAAAACTAAAATCAAAAGAATCTGCTAAAAACTTTAGACTTTAAAGAAATAGTAATTATGACTGTTTTTAGCATAGCCGTTTATTAAATAAAATCATGAAATATTGCCAAAATTGAACTCTTTATAAGTTTTGACCAGAAAAGGTAGTGAATTGGCGGTTAAAAGACATTAGTAATCGGTTTAGGAGAAAATCCCATCTTAAGTGGTGTCAAATATTTCAATAGCTTACCCTGACAATAATATTAAATATAGGCCCTTTGAACTAATTTTTACTAATATAAATGAAATTATTTCTCACTAACAGATATTTTTATAATTTAGATTATTTTTTCAACTTAGGCTACTGAAATTAGGTCAAAATCAAATCGTTTATTTCCAAAATTTAAACAATACAATACAGATTTAAATTATAAAGAAATATATTTTTCCGCATAGGCATAAGCCCGTGTGCGGAAAAAGAGTTCTAAATCTGCTATCTGGTATATTGTGGATAAACAATAATTTTACTTGTCTAATTAAAACATTGACTACATTTCTTAAAAATAATTGTATATTAAATAAAAACATAATTTAAAAGTTAATACGTACAAAATTAGGACACAATAACACAAAATTAATTTAGAGTAGAATTTCCTAATGTAGGCCTAACCAAAGATTAAAATAAGCAACTGGAAGATGTACCTACAATGAAAGGGTCTCAGCAGATTACTAACATGTTTACGTTTTATTTTTCTTTCTAATGAGCCTAATTATATGGGGATTTTACCAGCGCCTCCGTAGCCGTCCGGCCAATGCTGGCAAGCCAAGTACTCACCTTTCTTTTGTACACCGGGACACTGCTCTCCTCGTACTGCAGGATTTGTAACGGAAGATTGCAATATAAGATATGGGCGATAAAAAATGGGTTACTTTTTAGCGAGGTTATATTTTAGCTAGGAAATTGGTAACCAAAGTTGATTCTATGTCTTGTAGAATAGTTATGCTGCAAATTGGTAAAAATTATGTTTTTGTTTGACCTAATAAAGACTAAAAAGAGTTTTTACAAATAACTGTCGTATATCATGAACACGAAAATCTGAGTACAGATCCTCTGTTGGATATCTCGATCGTTTGCTTAGGACGGTTTTGATTAATGACCTCTGCGCAAAAGCGGTGTTTGATGATAAAAATATTATCCTTAAAGTAGGTTTAGATTTAATATAGCATGGTTGTTTTAGTCTTAATCTAACATAACCAATAACTTACACCATTCTGTACATAATGTGCAATATGGATTAAGTTATTTTGATTGATTGAACATAAGTTAATACAACTGCTTACAGGATATATTCCTTAAATAGTTTTAGCAAGTGAATGCTTTGGAAATAACACCAGATAAACAGTTGTTGGCTGCAGCAGGTAGGCCTACATACATACATACATTCATGATACATGAACTCTCCGTCCGTAGTCCTTTGCCTTAAGGAATTGGACAGGTCAGAGTTAGTACAAAGAATAACCAGACTTAAATACTAGTTTTTGTCACCGTTAAGGTAACTGTCTATGTCATGAAAACTTAACTCCACTAGATATTTTTTCATTTCTAATTTGAATTTTGTTAAACTCTGAATTTCAAGTAATTTTTTCAACAGGGCCTGGTACAATTTCATTCCCATGTAATCTGGGTTTTGTTCAAATGTTGTGATTTTATGTTGGACTGCATGTGTGTCCTTTGTTCGGGTGTTGTAAGTGTGATTTGTAAAAGTTGGTTTAATGTTCTGTGATTTTATATAGCAAACTGATTCAAAGATGAAAAGTGAAGGGACTGGGTCAAAGCCAAGTTCTTTAAAAACATTTTTGCAGCTGGTCCGAGGCGGCATACCCAAGATTGCTCTAACTGCCTTGTTCTGCCAAACAATATTCTTATTCACAGCCCCCAAAGGATGATTGAATACAAAATGTGTTGTTCTATTAGGCTAAAATACACAAGTTTAGAGAGAGAGCCAGGTTTCCGAAGGTCCTTATTCTTTGAAGAACAAAGACCCCTCGAGCCAATGCCCCCTCCAGTTTTTTATTTGTGCATCCCAGCTCAATTTATCATCCAATCTCACTCCCAAAAAGTCGGCAGTTTTTAAAATTTGGATTTGATCCTCACTAATTAATAGGTTCGGAGTCCTATTATTTTTAAATTTTGTCTTTGCAGTTTGGATACACATTTATCCTGTTTTTTTTTTGTGAATTTAATTTGAGTTTGATTGAAGAAAAAAAGTCAGCCAGATCATTTGCTCTTTGATTAGATTCTGCCTCCAGGGCCGCGTCGTCAGTCCCCCTTATGAACTATGTCATATCATCCGCAAAGAGGTAGACACTGTCCTGCGGAACAGTATCTGTTATGTTATTGATGTAGACTAAGAAAAGGAGAGGTCCAAGGACAGATCCCTGGGGGCGCCATTGGAGATCAGTTTTTTGTTGAAAAAATTCTTTCAGTTTTTGAGTTTGTGTTTTTTTTAATCTCAGTGACTTGTAATCAGTTGCTCATATGCAAATTTTATATTTTCTGTTGGTAAAATATGATAGGTCTACTAATAGAATTTTTAGATACATACATCCCATCCTTAAGTACAAGTTCTCACCAATTTATAACTAGACCTATTTGGTATTCAAATAGGCCTATAGTGGGGTTGGGTAGCAGGAAAATATTTCAGTTCTGGCGGGGAGGCTGCAATTTTATTTGGTTATAGTATACAAGTTTCCGAACCTATAACCGCCCAGACCCCAATTTTTAAGGACCTCGGTCGTCCGTAATGACGTCCGGTGTAATTAAATTAGAGAGGAAAAAGTCGATAGGTTTGGAATAAAGAGGTTAATTTATTACGAGAAACATGAATGTGTGATGTTATGAGCGGTGATTCGAGACGAATGAATGGAAAATTGACATATGGTAATGTGATGGGAATTACAGATGGACTGTTAAAAACAAAGACATATAAAATTAATACAAAAAACAAAGGCAACTTGACTGAACAGCGGCCGTAAGAGGATGCTGGGTCGCCATGAATTGGCTAGAATGATCGAATGCTTGAACCGATTTTTATGAAATTTGACACACAAGTGCTTGAGTACATTATCTCATCCCAGGTTTTCAATGGTCGAGTTTGATCAAGTCGTTTCAAAATGGCGGCCGTTAAAAGCTAAAATTTTAAAAAAATCTTTCAGTGTTTTGTGTTCTCAACTCCCTCCAGAGATCTGCAGCAACCTATTCACTTTCCTTGCAATCAAAGGTTGCACTACCGTCTCTGCATTTCATGGAATTGGCAAAATACCCCCACCACAGCAAACCTGCAGATTAAGTGAGTTTCCCTGATTTGATTTTCAATAAAATCAATTTCAATGACATTAGGTTTCTTGAGTACCTAGGTTTGCTGCTATAGGGAGATTTATAAAGTGAGTTTTTATTAATATATTAATAGCTTAGTTTAAAATAAATAAATTTGCCAAGTTTCATTAAAATATAATCATAAATAAGCAAACTACATCAGATTGTCTACTCTCTAACATAACTAATAACATGGGCATTTTAAATTTACAATGTTTTGAATTTTCTCCGTAACCAATAACCTTATAAAAACACTTCAATTCACTAAATAAATAAATATATAGATAGAACATAATAACTTGACTAATTTTTGTCAGATTTTTTATCGGACCATGGGAACGGGGTTTAACGGGGGTTTTATGGGGTGAAAATTATTTTTTCTAATTTTTGACCCTCTAAACACAAAATTTCTCAATTGCTCTCCAGACCTTTTTAAAGATCTTAAATAAACAAATAAATATATATATCAAAGTGTTTCTGTACAATTATTGGCTATGGAGAAAATTAAAAACACTAGTTTATTTTAAAATTCCCATGTTATTCTTATGTAGAATATTGTAAAATGTTGTAGTTTGCTTGTTTATGGATATATTTTGATCAAACTTGGTAAATTTATTTATTTTATATTAAGTTACTAATATTTTACTAAAAACACACTTTTTACCCTCCCTGTAGCAGCAAGCCTAGGTACACTCATAAAACCTAATGTTAATTAAATACATTTAATTGAAAATCAATTCAGGAAAATGGAAATTTGCTTAGTCGGCAGGTTTGCTGCGGCGGGGGTATTTTATTTTACAATCAGCTTTGAAGGTAACGTAACTTTTAATCATGACCAACTTTGTTCACAGGCCATCAACACATTCGGATGTACGACCTGAGCTCTTCTAACCCCAACCCTGTTATCAATTATGACGGAGTCTCCAAGAACGTCACCGGGGTTGGTTTCCAAGAGGAGGGGAAGTGGATGTACACAGGAGGGGAGGACTGTAGTGCCAGAATCTGGGATTTAAGGTATAGTGTGATACGAAACAAAATTATATTTTTTCTTATTTATTTTTTGGAGAAATAAGTTGAATAAATGAGGTGCTTGCAAACCATTCAAAACCCAGTGTGGCAATGCTAATAGTTTAATGTTTGGATATTAATTATCTTACTACCGGATGTACATTTCACTAGCCTTCAATCAGTTATTTACGACATTAGTAAGTGAGAGTGCATTAGCCTTTTGAGTTGCAGCGGAGCTTTTTTTTGCAGTGTCTTTGTTATGAGGAAGGTTTGTAAACCATAAAGTCTTATCAGCCCTCTGATCAAGAACCGCTACATTACATTTACATTTATTGGTGTCATGAGAGCCGAAGCCCCCTGACTGCATACCCGGTACCTATCCTTTAGGACATACCCGGGCCCCATGATGTAGGCCGAAGCTTACGCATCAACCTTTAGCACATCATGGGCGGATGACTTAAGGTCATCAGGCTCGCCGGCTGCCGAAGCAGACCCTTCGGAAGGAGGGTTGCCCCTCAATCCTAACCAGGGATTCCGGCTGCTTGTTTAAGCGTCACTCCACCTTTCATTTCATTTCATTTCATTTCATATAACTTTATTCATTAAAGTACAATACATAGATACAGGAATGGCGTCAAGAGTAATTTAATAAAACTAACTAACTAAAATACTAATCATTATCATGCATGGCATAATAACATACCATCAATATTAATAGCTTTTCAGATCAAATAAATTAAAACAAGCAGTGCAATATGAAAGTTTATAGGCCTACATGAAAATATCAAAATTAAAAATATAGATAAAATTATTTTAAAACCAAAAGTTTCAATTGATATGAAACAGAGCAATTAATAACTTAAAGAACTAAAACTCTTCAAAGGAGTACATAGCCTTGTTGATAAGAAACTTTTTCAATTTTGATTTAAATTTATTTTTGGAAGTTTCTAATTTGATTTCTTTAGGAAGTTTATTATAAAATTTGGAACCGGCATATTTAGGTGTCTTCGTAAAAAGTTGCAGAGTATGTGAGCTTGTGGCCAGGTTTTCTCGATTTCTAGTGAAGTAATTGTGATAGTCTCCAATAAGTTGTAATTCATTAAATCTGTCCTTTACTGATAATACTGTTTCATAGACATACATTCCATAAACAGTCATAATATTCTCAGTTTTAAAATATTCTTTGACTGAAGTTCTGCGTTTTAAATTGCACAAAATTCTAATAGCTTTCTTTTGCTTTTTTAGAATTGATTTTAATTTTTTCTTTTTTGCTGCACCATAAAGTGAAACTCCAAATGATATGATTGAATGTATGTACGAAAAATATATAATTTTTAAAGTTTCCTTTTCACATAGGGGTTTTAATCTTGTTAGCGCATAAAGGCCAGATGAAATTTTAGAAAGTAACTGATCAATATGATGATTCCACTTCAAATTTTCATCAATTTCTAATCCCAAGAATTTAATGTGGTCTTTATTTTGAATTATGTTGTTATTAACTACAATTTTTGGCAGATTTTGCGGTTTAGTTTTTCCTGCTTGGAAACACATAAAATTAGTTTTATCTGTGTTCAAACGCAAATTATTCGAATTAAAAAAACTGTTAAGTAATAATATATCAGAATTGGCCTTGGCTTCAAGTTCAGCATAGGTTCCTGCGGCTATTTTTAAATTTGCATCATCAGCATATAGGCAAAGCTTGCTAAAATCACTGAGTTGAGGAAAATTTCTCAAATAACAGATGAATAAAAGAGGGCCTAGGATCGATCCTTGGGGCACCCCATATTTTACTTCCCGAGTACGAGAATTGTAAGAAATTTTATAATTTTTGTTATTACAGTGACTCAGTTCTACGTATTGTTTCCTATCAAAAAGATATGACTTGAACCAGTTCAAAGCAGTACTATTTAGTCCACTACTACTGAGCTTTGAAAGCAACAACTCATGAGAAATTGAATCAAAAGCTTTACTGAGGTCCATGAACAACCCTACCACTTTAGATTTACTCTCTAAGCTATCAACGATGGATTCAATGAAAGCTGTGGCAGCTGTTATGACAGATCTGCCACTTCGGAATCCATGTTGGCAGTCATCAAATGTACCATTATTTTCAAAGAAGCATACCAGTTGGTTATAAACAACCTTTTCATAGATTTTTGAAATTGAAGGCAGCAAAGCAATCGGTCTATAGTTTGATACTGTTTGTCTGTTTCCTTTTTTGAATAGCGGTTTTAATTTTGTTATTTTGAGTTTGTTAGGGAAAATTCCTGATATCAAAGATGAGTTAATGAGATGAGTTATTGGTTTAAGTAGGACTGATTTCGCTTTTTTAAAAAGAACCACAGGAATACCATCGTAGCCAGCACTATAGGAATTTTTTAGACTTTTAATAATTTTATCAATGTCGCTCTCATCAACAAAGCTAAATTTAAAGCTCCTTTTATCTAAAGGAAGTACAGTATGCTGTGTGTCATCAACATTTTTTTGGAATGTATTTATATTATTGAAAGTTTCAGTTTCTTTTACAATATCTGCAAAATAATTTATGAATTGGCCACAGACCAGGGAAGGGTCAGAACATACATCATTATTTACTACTAGGTTTATATTATGATTATTAATAGTTTTGGCTCCTACTTCAGAGTTCACAATCTTCCAAGTTGCCTTATTAACATTGTCAGAACTACCAATTTTTCTTTTATAATACTGTTTTTTTGAAGAAAACAATTTCTTTCCAAACTGCTTATTTGTTTCTCTAGCCTCATGTAACAACTTTTTGCAATTTAACTCTCTAGCCGCTTTGTTAAGATTAATAATATTTTGTCTTTCCAACTTCAGTTCATTAGGAATCCACTTACAGTTAGTATGTTGTCTTGAGAGAGTTGATGGAAAGAATGTATTAAAATAATGCATAAATATTTCATAAAAAACATCATACTTGCATTCCACAGGACATAAATAAAGATTAAGCCATGACTCATGTTGTAAAGCAGATATAAATTGTTCAACGTTTTTATCATTAAAATTTCTTTTATGTTCAAAATAAACAGAAGAATTATTCAGGCTATTTTTCGTATTAGTAAAAACTTCAATTATTTGGCCATCATGGTCCGAAAGTTGTGTATTAATACCCGTAATTTTATAACAGCTGCTATCTAAATTTGTAAAAACATTATCTATTGCAGTTTTAGTTGTATCGGTGATTCTTGTAGGAAAATCAACCAATGACTGGAAGCCATAAGCTGTTACAACATGCAGTAAGTTTTTCCTGCTGGTGTCATTTAAGTTCAGCATATCAATATTAATATCTCCCATAAAAATAACATATTTATATTTAACACTGATTATTTCAAGCATTGTATCGAGTCGTTTGATAAACTCAGATTCATTTTGCTTAATTGGATTCCTGTAGAAACCAATTATAATAAGTTTTTTCCTGGGGATAATTTTATCTACCTCTACTAAACAACACTCAAAAATTTGTTCAGTGACAAGATTTTGGATTTCAGGTATTATAATTTCTTTAAAAGTAAAAAATGGTTTTGCTAAAATAATTACGCCACCACCTCTAGATTTTTTCCGCCCAAAACTGGCAGCAACATTGTAACCATTAATATTTAATCTTTCCAGAGAAGAACTTATCATTTTATGTTCTGTCAAGACAACAATACTAGGTGTTAGTTCAGTTAGAGTTACTTCTAAAGGTTCAATTGATGATTGCAACCCTCTAATGTTTTGATGAAAAATACATAAATTGTTTATTCTAAGGTTATTTTTACAATGGGGGCTGCTTGATCTACTAAAAAATTAATGGTATCGTTTTGGATTGCAGAATCTACCTCTAAATTTAACAATTGTGGTACATAACTAGCTTTATTCACTTCCACACTTGGCCTATCACTTTTGCTCTGCTTTAGCAACTCACAGAAGGTGAAGTTGCCGGGCACTACTTTGATCACATTCTCATTCACAGCTGCCACTGAAGGTCGTGATGGTGGGGTAGGTGTCAGCGTCGAAGGTGTTGGTAGGGCTGCTGAAGGTGTTATTGAGGCAGGCGGTGCTGGACAGGTCGATGACGGGTCTGGGCTCCTACAATCTATTGTTGTATATGGTGTTGGCTGGACAGGTGATCTTATGCAGGCTGCTATCCTATCCTCTAATGATTCAGCACTGACATTCACTTCTTCCTTTTTATTAAAGTTGTTATCAATAAAAGACTGGATTCTGTTGTTAAATTCACTATGTGTTGTTGACCTGGGTTCCACTAGGTCGGGACCTAGAGGTCCATGGTAGAGCGCCCCGACGCATTTAGTGCAAGCAACACTCGGGACCTATCTAATCCCTGACAGGCAGAACCCGCCATCAATAGCCAGGAGGAAGGGGACCATCAGCACGCTGACGGGGGGAACCCCAACCTCCCATTTACACCGCTGCCCGATCGAGGCCTTACCCATTGCTGGGAAACCAGAGATAACCAGAGCGATAGATCCCCAGATACCCCTGGCGGGCTCGGACCCAGCACCCGATCTACTTCGTTTGCCCGTCAGACCCAACATCACTGCCAGGCCATCAGGGTTTCCCAAAAGGAGGCAGGTATAGAAGTGGGACCCACCCGGATGAACCTATCCACCAGAGGTGGCGACACCCTTGACTCAATTGAGGTTCCGGGAAGAACCCCCCACACTCAAGATAACCATACCGTCCGTGCTCAGAGACAGGGATTGGTTTGCATAAGTACCTACAAACCGTTGCCCTCACACTGCGGAAAGTTACGTTGCCCTTGAGTGTCCCCGTGAGCTGCGGGTACTTGCCCGTTTTCACCTCCAGGAAAGGTTACTTCCAAAGTCGAGGATTTGCCCACTGAATGCTGGTCGCACACAACAAGCAGGCCGAAGCCCAAAGAACCACAGACACAGGTAGGTTAGAGATTATGATGTACTTCCATCTCTCCTAGAGCTAAACACCCCTCCATCCTGGATAAAGGAATGTCACTGGGACCCAATGCCCAGTCGTCCATGTCTGCGGCCAACTTGAAAATGCCGATACCAACACGGAGCATTTACCTCCCCTCTGGGGGCTATGTATTTCACCTCCCAGGACGAGGCTACTTCCAAAGTCGAGGATATGCCTCACAAAATGTCAGTCGTACACGACAGGTAGGACTCAGTCACAACCACAAGCTACAGGCAGGTGAAAGATCTATGAACTTAATCAACACTAGCAGAGCTGAACACCCCCACCACCCTGAATGGAGGGAATGTCACTGGGTACTCTCACTTTGGGTAAACCCAAAGAGGCTGGCTTGTCCAGTCGTCCATAGCTTGTGGTCTACCTGAAGTGCCGGTTCCAACACCGGGCAATTACCTCCCCTCTGGGAGAGCTAGGGTCCGCGTGGTCGCCCAGGCCACGAACCCACGCAAGCGTGAGCCCCCTGCGGTTATCAAGAACCGCTGGGTCAAGTCTTGAACCAAAGCCACTGACTGTTTTCTCAGAAATTAACGAAATCTCTTGTGTTCCAGGTCTCGTAACCTGCAGTGCCAGAGGATATTCCAAGTGAGTGCTCCAGTCAACTGTGTCTGTCTACATCCCAACCAAGCGGAGCTGGTAGTGGGAGACCAGAGTGGCGTTATTCATCTCTGGGATCTCAAGACTGACCACAACGAACAGCTCGTAAGTCACTCAACGCCCTTCATCTCTTTACATATACTCGTTGTCAGTAAGGATGGCGTGTAGAGAATGAGGAACGGCCCCTAACACTGACAGTCTCATCACCAAACGCTGGTGGTATTGTTATTTTTAAAATGTATTGTTTCTCTTTTTAATATACATTTTTACAAGACAAGACAATACAAGGTCTACATGATTGACAAATTTGAATTATTTATAAACGTTATCGCATTGAGCATGAATATCGTATTATGTATTTGTATTTTCATTCATGATTTAAAGTAACTTCTCAATCTGTTGGTGGCTCATATCAATTATGACAAATTTGATTAATAAACTGACGACAAATTTTACATGGGGTGAAACTGTAGTTATAATTAAATACTATGCACCCTATTATGTTAAATAACGCCCACCTCTACTATTTGCCAGATCCCAGAAGCTGAGGCGTCCATACAGTCAGTAGCTATAGACCCGGAGGGCTCCTACATGGCTGCTGTCAACAACAAGGGACATTGCTACATCTGGAGTCTGTCTGGTGGAATGGAACAACAGACAAAACTCAACCCTAAACAGAAGATCGAGGCTCACTCCCGCTACGCGCTCAAGTGCAAATTCAGCCCCGACTCCACGTAAGCTATAGGGTGTATTTTTAGTGGCGCTATATTTTAAATGAAACACTGAAAAATAACTTTTATCACCATAGTAATGCATTTACTCATACAATAGTGTTATACCATTAGTTGTTGAACGTTAATTCTGGCATTTTGATACCATGGTGTGCTTGAAGGAAACACAGTCTTAAGTCCAATTTTCAAACTCTATCGAGCGATGATAACAAACTTTTTGTTCCTTAACTAAGCAAAATTAACATAAATTAAGAACTTTGGATTCAGCAAGATAGCCCAAAATATAACACACAGCATATACACCTATGGTTTTGATGATAAAATGTGGTAAATTGGGCACTATTCCTTTTATTTTTGATTTTGATTTTGAATGGTGGTAATTTCTGTCAAACCCATGAAACAGAAAAATCTGACTTTCACTAAATAAATTCCAATGATTTTAATTAAAATTTAGTAGGGCCTATGTTAGAACGTTAATCTAGAACACAATGGCACAACTACTAACTAACCATGTAAAAATTACGGTTCAAAAGTGATTGCAAGTTTTGTGATTCTTCCCAAGACAAAAAAATAATTCTTTATAGTTAGCCTACTCCCCTTCTGTTACCGGTTACAATATTAAACTATTTACTCATGAAAGTTTAAGGTACAGAATCAGAATACTTTATTCTTGACCATAGAGTACAGAATAGGCGTCAAACATTTTAATTTCAAGACGATGTGAGAATGTGTGTGTCAGTTTTCTGATACCATTTATTTAGTAGGAAACAGTTGTTTGTAGAGTGTTTGTCCAGATTGCTGGTGACCACGTCAGCTGACCAGACGGCCAGAGTGTGGAAGACTGCTGACTTCTCTCTGGTACAAGAGCTCAAGACTGAAGCCCAGAGGTGGGTTTGGGACTTGGCCTTCAGTGCTGACTCTCAATACATTCTGACAGGTAAATACACCAATACACCTCTCAACCATCACTAAATAGGTTCCAAAACCTTACCTTACGTTACGTACCTTACGTATTGTGCAACATAATAAGCGACAGTGATTCTACAATTTATGTTCTATTTACTTCTTTGTAGCAGGCATTTAAAAGGTGCAAAATATTTGTGTTTTGAATTTTTTTTAATGCGCATGTGTCTCTCTGGACCATTTAAAGTCCAGACCAAACAAATCTGAACAAAATTGTATTGTAAACTGATGGGTTTCTAACGTCTCGTGTTGTTACAGCATCCTCCGACAACTGTGCCCGACTGTGGAGTGTGGAGAAAGGTACGTTAAGAAGTTCTTGTAACTAAGAGCCAATTACGATAGCTCAATGGCTGAATTATGTAAATCAAAAATAGTTTTTATTTGTTGAACGTGCACTGACATTTTTCACAGTTCAAATAGAAATGGGGAAAATTGGTAATTGTGATTTATGAAAAAAAATTAAACACTGTGGATGAAAGAAATCACCTACAGTTGTTTCCAGTTCGCTTAATTTGGAATTTTAATGGAAAAGAATATGTTAATTTTGTTGTTTTCGCTTAATTTTGACTTGAGCTTTTCTTCAAACAATATTTTCTTGCATACAGGCCAAGTTTTTATATCTTCACATTCTTTATAGCTGTTCACACCATGTTTTTCAAGATGCTTTGCACAAATCATTCCAGTTAACTGTGATTGGTTTGATTGAATGTGTATATTCTGCTACTCATAAATTTTATATGATACAATTTTTGATGTAACAGCATGTGATTTTTTTCAATTTAATTTATATGTTAATAGAACGTAAACATTGGTGAGTAAAATGAATACAAAATTGATTCTTGGCTGACTTCAAACTAATATTTGCTTGGCAGGGACAGTACAGAGAGAGTACACGGGACATCAGAAAGCTGTGATGGCGCTGGCGTTCTGTGACCAACTCGGCTCACCAGAATCACCCTCAGGAGCTTGAATGATTTGTTTCTTATACCCACCTAGTACCACTTAGTCAATATTGTACATACCATGACATGTATATTTGTAAATAATATCAATGACAACAATGTAAATTTCATCACCCTCAATAAAAATACTTTATTCACAAATTATTGTGTACCTATGTATAAAAACGAATGTATTCCATGTGTTGTTCTATAGGCACCACAAACAGTTCGACAACATAAAAAATCTAGACCATCAATAATCTAGAATTTTGTTTACAAAAATTAAAATGTAGAATGCACTGATGCGTTGCCAGCTAAGGAATGTGGGCTTAGAGTAGGTTTACAGGCCTGTAAAGTTGGTAGGAAGGGGAAGTGGCAAGTCTCAAACGGCAAGTTGTTATTGTCTATTTGCGCTCTTGACTGTGGGAGGTAAAACCATAGATAAAACATACTCCCTTAGTAGATTTCTCATCCTTATGGAACAGCTGAAGACAATTTTATTGTTAGTTCTGTACGGTTTATGTAGAGGTCGTGTTTTGTTTACAATTTGTTTCCCGTTATTACAGCCATTTAAAACCTCGTTTAACCAAATAATACGATCTAATCATAAACAATAACTTGTCCCCTAGTTATATAACCAAACAGTAAAGCACAAATCAAGAAATTAACCCTAAAATAATAGAAACAAAGTTTCGTTGACACTAGCGCCCATGTGTCACGTACATGAACTAGACACGAAAAACGTGCTTCAAAATTTACAATGGGATGAGAAGTCTACTTGTGTTGGTTAGTCTATGGTAAAACACTGTGCTGTTCTCTGTGCATATAGAAGCAATGTACAATGCAAGTGAAGGCTAAGTACACATGGACGCATTGGTTGCGACGTGGTTGCAAAAAGTAAACAAGACTTTGTTAAAAGCCCGGGCCGAATATAGTGTGTAAAACTTGTGTACGGTTTTGTATAGTTTTTTAGTGTTCTATTTCTATAACTATGCTACACTTAACTTTTTGATATCTGTGTATTGTTTCAGATTCTTTAAATGCTCACTATACTAAGTAATACAAATCAGTGTTAACTTTAATAATTTTGAATACATGTAAGTGAATTCTCAAGGTTTCTGTTACATTCCTATACTGTTGTAATTTTGTAACCTATATACATGTAGTAGTAGTAGCCTATACAAAAAAAAATCCAAATGAGGTTCGGTACAATCCAAATTATTGATGCTTTGACTATATTGTTATACCTGGAAAGGTTTTTGTCAAGTTTCCAATCATAATGTCTACAAGGGCTCTGCCTCTTTGGCAGTCAAAGTTATTGATGATTTTACACCACTAGTGTCTATAGTTCGGCCGCTTAGAAAGCGACCTTCTCCAGCATTGGTTTAGCATTAGCGCGCAGGTCGCTTTCTAAGCGGCCGAACTATAGTGATGTGACTCTCAGTAATGTTGGAGGTTATCATTCATCCCCACCTTATACTAATTGACACAATCTTTACCATAATAAGCTTATGGGAACTATGTTATCCATAATTTCCATACAAAACTATGAAAATTAAAACATTTACATATTTTGTACCGACTGTCCATTTGCTTGCGTTGTGTTAACTTTTCTTTGGTGATTTCATAGGTCTGCCATTTTTCATCAGAGGTCATACCCCGTTGCAAGCCATAAGCGAAGCGGTCCTATATTTTCAACTCAGTTTTGGGCGTAAGCAGTGTCCTCAACCAATTGTAACAACTAAGTGAATAACTCTTAAATCGTAGCAAAAGAATTCTTGGATAGTGTTCGGTAAGCATATCAGATTTTACTTTGTAATTAAAGTTTTGTCTGTATAGAATCTTATGTTGACTGTGAAAGTGTGTTCATTTTTTTTTCTCAATTCTGTTCCGTAGTATCAGTTGATTTTATTGCTGTTTCTTGTGAATTATGTATAATTTTATTGTTTTGTAGTTTTTTTATGAAATTTTAAGTTGTACCTTAATTTTTGTTTATTTAACTGTACTAAAGTAAACTAACTAGTGTAAACCTTATTATTGTAAAAGTTGACCGCCACTCAAAACATACTTCAACTAGGCTCAATATACTCACATTTTCCTTGAATGGAATGAAAATGTTTATCACAGAAAAAGTTAACTCTTTCTGGTCTCTTGCTCCCATTCTAAGCAGCAATGCAAGTAGCTATCAAGCATAATGGTGTGTAACATTGAGATATATAAAATGAAGGGTGTTGATAAGAGACTTCTATTTTATTACTATATGTGCGTACAGGCCTGCGGTTTGCATGTGTTGCGCTATGGGCTCGAGAGATAATACACCAATCTCCACCTACCTTGTGGGGGATTTTTTTTCTTTTCCTTGCGTCCCTAACAAATCTAAAAACCTCTTGCATCCGGCCCATTTATAGAAGCAGTCCTGAGTTATATGTGAAAGGGAGATGTTTGAAGTAGCTGGGTGGTTATAGTGCATGCATTGCATTCAAAAGGTTGCCCGTTTGATCCTGAGCAAAGGCAGTAGGTTTTTGATTGTTTGAGGGCCTTGATCATTGGGCTAAGGAAACAGCTGGATCTTAGTCATTAACAAAGCTATAAAAACATCTCACTCCTTTCTCTCCACACTTACCTTGCATTCATATTTAGCTCAAAATAAGCAGCTGGGTTTACTGTCGAACAGTACAACACAATAAACCTTTTCAGTAACTTTTATTTATTTTTTCTCATTAAAAACACTATACGTAATATGTAATACATTTACTTTTAAAATTTGTTTATCTTAATTCTAGGCAGAACAGTTTGTACTGAAAGAACATTACACGACTAGACTAGGTGGGCATTGAGACATGAATGTAGCATCATCAGGTGTAGCAGTCAATGCAGGCACTCTTCTTCTTCTTCAGCACTTTATTGGTCAGTTTCCTCGGTCCATCTAAAAGAAATAATACATACTATATAATGCAATTTAATGAGCAGCCTTGTTATCACTAAGGGCTCTTTCACATGAGGCCACTGGTGGCTGCCACTAGTTACCAGCCAGCAACTGCAGTTGAAGGTACAGGCAACTGACAAGCCACCGTAGGACTAGTTGATAAAATCCTGACGAGCAATGAACATCTCACGTTACTGTTCAAATTTTCAGTACTTTTCAATTTCTCATTTTTTTCCAAACAGGGGAAGCCACTCTACTACTAGTACAAGTGCGTTTGTCTCCGTGACTGAAGGCCTTTTTAAAACAATGTTTAAACTGTGGCAGGCAACCATTGGCTGCCACCTGTGGCCTCGTGTAAAAAGGCTCTAAAATGTTTGCATAGAACGAGCTTTTTAATTTACACAGTCTGCATTAAAAAATACCTTGCAGCAGCAAACCTGCAGACTAAGACGATGATACAGATCTCAAAAAGAAAAGAAGATAAAGTTCAGAAAACAACTGTGAAATGTTTTAAGAAATAAATTTTGGAACAGCAGTTGTAGATTTGAAGATGACAGTAATCAAACTAAAGTAAAAGTACCCCGCCACAGCAAACCTTCAGACTAAGCAAATTTCTATTTGTCTGTTAATAACATTAGGTTTAACAAGTACCTAGGTTTGCTGCTCCAAGGAGGCCAATAAAGTGTGTAGTATAAAATAAATAAATTTACCATGATTGATAAAACATAAACAAAAAACTACAATAGTTTACTTATCCTACTAATCCTACTAATATTATAAATGAGAAAGTTTGGATGTATGGATATATGGATGTATGGATGTATGTTTGTGACAAGTGAACGCGAAAAATACTGGTCGGATTGGGCTGAAATTGGGCATGATGATAGCTGACATTCCCGATTAACATATAGGCATATTCTTATTTCAAAAATCCTTTCGGGCTCCGCCCCAGTGGCTCTGGAGTTTCCCATGTTAACCTAATGAGAAATGGAATTATTGAATCTTAACAGCTGTTTCAATTAAACAAGTTGGTCCTGTTCTATGATGTTCAATAGCATTAAAGTTACAAGGATTACCAACAGGGTGCAGCACTATTATTTCTTTTACATTTATGACAACAGCTAATTTGCAACCAAAAGGTAAGTGAGCGTAGCGAACGAACTTCAACCTGGAGGCGAGTTAGCGAAGCGAACAAGCTAAACTAAAGGCAAGTGAGCGCAGCGAACGAGCTAAACTGAAGGCAAGTGAGCGCAGCGAACGAGCTCCAACCTAAAGGTGAGTGAGCGTAGCGAACGAGCTCCAACCTAAAGGTGAGTGAGCGTAGCGAACAAACTTCAACAAGGACGTGATTGAGCCATTCGAACGAGATAATCTTGAAAATTAAGAAGTTAAACGGGGCAAAGCCCGTGGGTTACAGCTAGTTCTCCATAAAAATAATATGAGGATTTACAATTTTTTTTTTACTTTCTCCGTAACCAATAACTATACAAAAAAACTTCAATGTACTAACACTCTATATAAAATGGTCTAGACAGAAATTGGGCAACTAAGAGTCATACATGAAAAAAACCTATTTTCACCCATAAAACCCCGTTCCCAATGGTCCGATCATGATGGTACGCAAACTCATTTGAAGGAAGTTTTATCCTAATTTTTCATTCATGTACTGAAAGCATACGCATACTGAAAGCATATATATATATACTGAAAGCATATATTACAGATAGTACACAACAAAATCATGTACTTGACATGACATAATGAGATGATTGGTAGTGAGTGTGTAGCGGTGTTTTTGTCTAATATATATTTTTTTGTGCCATAGGCCCTCTCTTTCCTCAGTTATCAATACCAAAATAAATTATTAGTTATTCAACCATTGTAGTAATATCATCACTGTATAGTCTTATCAAAGGGTGTAATCTTTGGTCGTATAAATTGTTAGTCTTATATGTAAATTGTATCAGTTGTAAAATAATCCTTATCAAAATTAGCCCGTAAGGGGATAAATCACATGACCGCGCATGCGCAGAAAGTTCTGCCTGGCAGCGACTTGCCTCGGGGCATAATTTTGGAGACCTTCGCATTTTGCCCTGAGGGCGCCCGGGGGCGTCTTTTCGACGTGCCCTGCCTCGCCCGGTCCTGTGTGTGGAGCTCCATAAGCGCCCGTGCAATTCCCGTCGCACAAGACGCCCCGGGGTAAAATGCCCTATCGCGCCCCGCCTTGCCTGTTATATAGATATAAAACAAGATATAACACAAGCGGATATAAATCACAAAACGAGATTTTCCTAAATCAACAAAACTACATGTTCAGTCAAGGTAAGATAGACAATTAATAAACACTATCGAGAATGAAGTAAGGTTAAATACCCACCAATATTGCCAATAGTCATTATGTTGATCTTCCTCTCCTCCTCAATACACAGGATCCTGTGGTAGGCGAGGGCAGCCATTCTGCGGAAAACTTCCTCAATGTTCTCCCCTGTCCGCGCAGAGACTGGCCAAAACTCTGCGCCGAGCTGAGTGGCCGTCTTTATGGCTATCTTCTCCATCTCACACCGGCTTGCCTGCGACTGACAAAAACTTTGAGTAAAACACTATTTGAGAAAATACCTGCAAGAACAAATCTTTCAACAAAGGCAGTGGCGTGAGTACATCGAGAGACACCCCCCCCCCCTCCAAGTACATGTATTCGCCCCCCCCCCCCACCAAAACATCACCACTTGTGTTTTATTCGTTTATCTCAGCAAAAGCCGTGATTGCGGCAAAACTCAGAATCTCTCGCGGACATTTATTTATAATCATGGAAACGTTGTCATTGTTTCTGTGATCGCAGCCAAATCTTTAATATATCCTACGTTCGTGAAGATATGATCATCCTCTCCCGCGGTCATGGAAGTTCGTCATCGTTTTCCGTTATCGTGGCAACATCTTGTAGGCTATATCATCCGCCGTCTTAAAGACATCATCATCGTCTCCCGCGGTCACGGAAACAATGTAAACTTTTTCCACGACGATGCTTTTTCCACGAACTTCGGCGAGCGATGATAGTCGGACCTCGGCACTCCCCCGCACCGTTGTGGTTGCGGGAGTGTTATTTACACCACTGTACAAAGGGACAAAAATGTCGAGACAAATAACAGATTAATTGTAACAGAAGCATGTATGCAGCATGGTAAAGTAAAAAAATCTTATTGACAGTTTACAAAACAGTAAGACTTATTATCAAAGATTATAATAATTACTCTATGGTGCTGAATTATGGACTGAGACAAAGTTTGAGAAGAAACATATAACTTTTGAAAAATGAGTTCAATAATAAAAATACTATATTTGAATTAAAAGAGACACTTAGAGGATTATGTACAGCTGGGAAATCGGAAACTTTGACAAGTTTTAAAAAAAATATGGGGGCAGGAGTTTTAGATCAGGAATCTGAGATGTGCCAATCAAGTAATTTAGTCATCTATTTTACCTGTTAAAGAATATAAATCGTAATATTGAGTGATTAGTTACAAAAGTGTTCGTTACGCTTTTATTTTGTATTTGTTATAAAATGGGAATGGCCATTTGATTTCATGTAGCCTATATAATATTTGAGGTTTTAACTTACAATGGTTAATAGGCTTACACATCACAAAATTATACCCTCTTTGTTTTCACCAAGGTGTATTTTGATAACATAAATATTTATAGACAAATTCTCAATGTCCACACATCATAATATTTAAATAATGAGTAGTTCTACTGTGAGATATCAATGGTAGTGTTATGGAAAACCAAGAATTGATCTTGGCCAGAAACTAAATGTCATACAATTCTAAAGACTTTGACAAACAACTCACCACAAGATCCATCTTATTGCCCAGTAAGAAGACAAGGGGAGCTTGAGGGTTCACTCTCATAGCGTCTCTGAGCCAAGAGGCACAGCTGAACAAAGTCCGCACTGAGGTGAAGTCAAACACCAGCACCAATACTGACAAACACCAACAGACGTATTACAATAAACTGACACTTTTACTCCCTTTCTCACTTGGTAATTTTATTCTGTAAATCATCTTAATAATTTAAAATCCATGTTTTTAGTCCCTAAACCTGTATTGTTAGTAAAAAAATAGGCTTTAACAAAATGTTGCGGTTAATGATAAAGAATAGAGGTCGTTCAGTGGTCGAAAACTTGACCAAAAATATGTCATGTACAGACTTCTATATTTTCACCTCATGGTGAAAATAAAACACGTGATTGGAATTTCTTCAATTTGTTTTGATTTGCTGTTTATTTTTCTTTATTCGTCACCAGCATGGCAACCCAAAAAGCCCATGTTAATTTTTAAAATTTTAAATTCATTTTTTGTGTTCTGCACATCTATAGGAAGATTTCTTTTTAACAGTATGGGTAGATTTTCCCTGTGATGCATACGAGATGAGAAAAAAGGTTTTCAAAAAACATGCTTGCCTATTAAAATAGGATTAGATAAAACCAAATTGTTAATTTAGTTCAAATAACTTTATCATCAGTAAAATCGTCAAATAAATCAGCCTTTTTCATCCATCTTTTCCTGTAGAACCACCCCCTCTGTATATGTTTCCCATTCAGTATCAATTGATTCCTCTTTTCTGATGTCTTTTTGTGGTCTTCAAACTTTACTCGAACCAGATTTTCCCCACTCTTCTTCATTCCTCTTTTTTACATGTCCAAACCTAGTATATTATTACTCTTAGACAAAATATAACTATTAAAAAAAAAAATATCACTGGTAATAATATCCTAAATAAAACCACAAAAATCCAATTTAACTAACAAAATGTGTGCAGTCAACGTGAAGCTGGTCATTCTCAACCAAGTGAAGTGTGCGCAAAAGGTGTAACAAAACAAATCTTGAATTGTATTCCTATTAACTAAAAACTATTGTGCACAAAGTTATTTAATGTGTTGTATTAGGATGCCGAAGAATGTTGAACCCCAAAAATACCAACGCCTGGATTTCCAATTAACTTGCACAGGCAGACGCCTTACTGTGGGCTCCTCTGTAATATGATGACGCGATGCTTCTGAACCTTTCCTGACCAGCCGTATCCCATCTGTTAGGAAACCACACGTATAGGATCAAATAAAAATTACTAATCAGGGAAATAGACACATCAGCAAATCAGCTCAATTTCTCCCACCTAAATTGCAGCACGCCCATGAGCAGTTTATTGATTCTAGATTGGCTTAGTTCTGTCGTTCATGGAAATCAGATGTTGATATTAAAATTTTATCGATAGCAATACACATAAATAATGAACTCTGCTGGAAGCGAGTGAAGAGTAATATAACATTGGCATTGAAATGGGATACTAATGCAAGTAGGCTTGTCATTTTATCAGATATATTTGGAAGCTTGTTTGATGTGTGTTACAAATTTGGCTGCTCTTGAGTGCACAAATTTCAACAGAATTTTTTTTCTCTAGGAAAAATTTTTAATGTGTGATTTACTTGTATACCAGGGTGAGCAACAAATTACAAGTAATTATTTCTACTTGGTAATTAAGTTATCGGTTTCAAAGTAATTGGTAAAAAAAAAAAAACAATAAATAAATAGAAAACATCAAAACAAAACACACTTTAAAATATCAGACAAAAACATAGGCCTATCTTGAAATTGTCTTTTGCTGATTTATTAAGGGAGTATTATGAATTATTGAGTCTTAATTGCACGAACACTTTAAGAAAAGTAAAAAAATAGGCTAGGTAAATTAATACTGTACTAACATTTGCAGACTGAATGGAGTGTTCAAAATGTCAAACCTTTCCACCTCAAAGTCCACTCCAATGGTTGTCTTGTAGTCATTGTCATAAGCATTATGACAGAACCTAAAAATAATTGAAAAGTGGTTACATTTTAATATCACATGCAGAAAGAATGACATCTTCTATATTTAAAGCTAGGATGCATTTCAACTTTTGAGAAAACCATAGGCCGCACACCTATTAATCATACTTGAATGAAAGGTCTTGCTGTGAAACGTCCCCGAAAAATATCAGTTTTTCGATAAGCCCAGCTCCTAAGGGCAGGAGCATTGAATTAAGGGACTGTATTTAATTACATTTAAAACATTGAAGATACGCCAACCGTTCATTTGTTTTTTATTTAGCGTAGTTTGTTTACTTTTCCTTGAGTTAGCCTTTTGATTTTAGGTATCATAGATTAATTTATTGCATCAAGAGTAGAGTATTTTTCCTTGTAACTTGGACATTGATCAAATTGATTTACATAAAGAATAAGTACTTAATCAACAAGCAGTTTGCATTGGACGAGGCAGGGAAGAATCACTAAGTCTTCTCTGTGTTCTCTCCCTGTGGCTCAACAGGGGAAGAACAACTAGTTAGACCTTAATACGAGAGCCTTAGGACTGTACCTATCAATATTAACCACTAAAAGTATGACAAGCAATACTTCACACCAAACTGGGATAGATTCAGGCAAATGATGACGAGAGTCACTTTAAATCTAAATTAGATATATTTCATGTGCATAGATTTAAATTAAGAGCATACGTATCCAAGCATTAACAAGAAAGCTTAAAAACTTTGATATAAATTCTAATTTTTTGTTCCTATAAAATTTTATTCAATAAATTTAATAACGTTTTAGACAAACTAATATAGCCTAGAAAAGGCAAGAAACTTTGCTCAAATAATTGCTTCTAGCCGTCTAGCCTACCCTACGCTAACTTAAGTTACCGTACTTATGTCTGTTATTATTTGATGATTTGCAACGTTTGTTTGACTTACCGATTAATAATGCACGTTTTTCCTACTGCTACATCTCCCAAAAATATTGCCTTAGCTATTCTCATGCATGTGTGAGCTGGCAGAGTCTTTTGACAAAAATCATGTTCCAAGAATGGGGTAGCAAGCACTTTGTAGGGATTTGGCATTTTCAGTATTTGACGATTCTTAGGCGCTTCTTGTTGCATTATTTTGTAGGTTGCTGAACGTGATTCATACATACAGAAGTTCAGGATCTAAAAATTAAAAAAAAATAACTTAGCCTACTTAGGCTATTTTGTTTGTTTTAGTTTAGGCTACCTAGTGTTTTGGATCAATCTCGTAGGCCTATAGGTCAAAATCAGTGTTTCCCTATGCGGGATTTCTATCCCAAAACCGGGATTTTCAGACCATTTGAGCGAGATTAAAACAAATGCGGGATAAAATTGGATTTTTGGCTCTGCTGTCTGTTTTTATTTTTTAAACTTAATTTTAGTGAAAAACTAACACCAGTTTATTAAATTATAATAGCAATGTTACACAACTATTGGTAGGGCCTACATTATACGTCAAATATAACACTGAGGATTAAACAGACAAATTATGCGGGGTAAAAGGAGATTTTTAAAGATTTAAAACTGGATAAATGGGATTTTCTTGACATCGTAAGCGGGATTCTTATTTTGGTCGTATGGATACACTGGTTATAATAGGCTATCTAAATAAGAGTTGCTAACATGCTTTGATGAATGTGTTGCACCTGATCTTTTCATTATGTAAATATTGCCATTCAAGAAAAGTAAAAATTCCTACATTATCGTTTGCGCATGCATGATAGTTAGAATGCAATTTGAATTCGCACTAGCAAGAACATTGATTTTCACTCACACAAATTGGCTACAGCAACGTAAAACTAAATCTATAAGTGTGAGGATAGGCTAAAATTGTAATGAGGGAAGTTAAGACACACGGTGTTCGCTTGACCGCAACCGCAGCTTGGAAACCTTAATTGATGGGAAAACATAGGCCTAGAACATATTTTTTATTTGATGAACAGTTACAGGATTACAATTAATTTTTGGATGTAAGCTATGGCAGTGTGTAACTTATTGTTAGAGCAAAACTTTCATATGCGAATCCAAATATTGTAAGATCAATCGATATAGAAGCTTGGTTTTTAGTCAAGTTTTAGCTATCGATTGAATCGATATTTTTCTGTTTGATAACACAATGGAGTGTGGGATATTGAAGTTTCGTGAAATGATCATTACCGGTAGTGTACGATTACGTTATAACATTGTGCTTAAAAAACCCAAGTTATTTACATGTAAACTTAAAGGCTACGGTGTGCCCTAATTCGTAAGTTAATCTAATGTCATAACTATGAGAGGATTAGTGTAATAGGTAAATTTAAATTATATTACTTAAAGATGTACAATAAGTTATTCTTAAAATATTTCAGGAAAGGCCCAGTTAGGCTGACTTTGGTGAAAAAGTTTGAATAAACATACATCATAGGCTAGGCCGAGCATAACTAGCCAATGTCATGCCTTAATCAGTTAACTTATCAATAAGTTACTATGTTTCCCTTCCCTTAAAATCTTTAAGGGGTGAATTTCATTTCCAAACAAAAATGCCTAGTAAGCCTAGGCTCAGGCCACAAAAGAAAAAACTCACCTTGAAAATAGGGGAAATAACTTTGATAAGAGGGCCTACCTTAACTGACTTTACACACTCAACATGTAAAACAAATCAATTATTTAATAAATAATACATCTGGCTCATGACTTATTCTTAAATGTTTTTGTTTGTTGAGTGTTTGTTGATAATCAATCATCATCTATTGTTATTGTTTTTGTTGCCATGGTTATGACCAATGGTGCCAACCTGTAACAAGAAATGTCAATACCAAAAGTAACAATAATAATGGGGTTTTATAACCATTTTAAAATATAGATTTTTAACAGTCCAGATATTTCAATAAAATGCCTAATTTTTATGAAAACTGTTTTCTGCCTTTTTAGAATACTTCTATTTGATGTCCTTTATGGGCACTTGTAATAAAAGGCTTAGCAATTTGATAAAATAAAAAAAAATTCAGAGCTACATAACGGATTACCATTTACCAAAATTATTAATAAAATACCAATTTTTGTATTATTAGGTACCTTATTATTTTTGCTTGCTTTGCACTAATGCACTGTATGATATATATTAAGCTATTTTATTTTATATTTTATAAGTTACTTTGACGATCCCAATGCTTGTTTTCTTTCCCATGTTAAAAGCAATAAAGACATTTCATAATTATAAATAAATTTGATATTTTTACTTTTTAGCAAATTTTGCATAGGGAATAAGCAATTTATAGTGTTGCCTTGGAATAAGCTACCGTAGGTCTCATAGTAAGACCTGGACCTGGGACCAATTAACTTTTTTGTTTTGATGTGCCCAGAGGCCAAAAAGACCATCGATTCAAAATTCATACATATATTTATTTATATATGTGTCCGTTGATAACTTGAGCAAAAGTCATCTGATTTTGATTAAATTTGGTACATTTATTTGAACGAGTTTAAATTCACCAACCAATGATCGGACCATGAGAACGGTGTTTATTTGGTAAAAATTGGGTTTTCTCAATTTTGACCCTCAAAACATGGTACAAACGTGTTAACTTAAATTGATTCTAAATGAGTTTAAATTCGCAAACCAACATGATCGGACCATGGGAACGGTGTTTTATGGGGTAATAATTAGGTTTTCTCAATTTTGACCCTCAAAACATGGTACAAACATGTAAATTTACAATTATTTGAATGAGTTAAAATTCGCCAACCAAAATGATCGGACCATGGGAACGGTGTTTTATGGGGTAATAATTAGGTTTTCTCAATTTTGACCCTCAAAACATGGTACAAACATGTAAATTTACATTTATTTGAATGAGTTAAAATTCGCCAACCAAAATGATCGGACCATGGGAACAGTGTTTTATGAGGTAAAAAATTTGTTGTTTTCAATTTTTACCCTCAAAACAGCATTTTCCAATTTCTCTCAAAATCATTTTGGAGAGCTTAACAAACAATTTGTATATTATAAGTGATTTTGTGCAATTGGTTATGGGAAAAATTGAAAAAAATTGTAAATTTAAACATCCCTTGTTATTTTTATGGAGAATAAATTAACTTTTGTATTTTTCTTGTTTATGGATATACAATATTGAATGTTTTCGAAGTCTTCCGGTTATAGAAGGATTTGCCATTTGTGATGTCGTTCTTAGCGTGTAATGGTCACAATCTTCGGGGAGGCTCCTAGACCACATTAGTCTACATTAGTCATTAGTCACATTAGTCTTGCACATTAGATGATATTTTACAAGTGAATGATAAAGCCATATCGGTAGCTAATTTTTGGAAAAGCGAAGTCTGATTTCCGGATACGGAAAGTAAGTAATATTGAATGTTGATCAAACTTTAGCAAATTTCTTTATTTTATAATAAGCCATTAATGTTTTATTAAAACACACTTTGTTACACTCCTTGTAGCAGCAAACCTAGTTACTCGTAAAATCTAATGTTATTTAAACAGATTTTAGTGAGAATCAAATCAGGCAAATGAAAATTCGCTAAGTCTGCAGGTTTGCTGCGGCGGGGGTAACCGTTACCTTTTCCTTTAGAGTCGGAAAAAAGGCCAGAGGCAAAGTAAGGTAAACCCAGCTTGGCTTTATATATTTGCCTGACATACCAGAGCATATTTTAAGGGATTTCCACTGGGCGACTGTGGCGCCGGACTTACCAAGGGGTCTGGGTTATGGAATACCCCCCATCACAAAAGGGGGTCCAAGGGTTCCCCCCCCCCCCCGGAAATTTTTGCATGCCAAAATCATAGCTCAATACTCTAATATATTTACATAATGTTATTTTTTTAATTCCAATACGTTTAAAATGTGAATCGTAAAATAAAATAAGCCAGCATTACCCATAGTCACTGGGCGACAAAATCTCAGAGTGTGATTTTTCAGCTAATATAATTGGATTTTTTTAACTTAATGTTATTCCTATTTTTTTCTTACTTACAGTAGTAGGGTTATAACATTGACTATATAACACTTATCACAAGGTATTTCGTACGTCTGGAATAATACTTCTTTGTCTGCTGCATTTCATTAATGCTGCAGATGAGAGATGAGTTTAATCATTATTTTAATCAATGGTTTTGTTTCACACAACCTCGACTACTCATTACCCAAGCCCCATCTCAACATTGTATTTTCCCAGAATTGAATGTGTTCAATACCCACGAGCATGCTGGGAAAAAACTTGTTTACGAGTACACACATATGCAAATGTAAGATCTGGGATTTTTCTAGGATGAATTTTAAATATCATGAATCTTTTTCAGCCCAAAACACAGTTTGGCATTTTAGCATTGACTTTAATAAAGTATATTAATAGTCAATGATGTGTTGGCAATTAGGCAATGGAAACTTATTGTTACAACTCCACTAGCATAATATTGCAATTTGATCGATTGGGTTTTTGTTCAATGTCACAAAGTATTGAATATATCCATTGCTAAAACTTTGATGGTTTTTATCGGTCCATAGCTTGAATGTGGCCTGAGTTCTGCTGACAAAAGGGTGTCAGCTAATAAGTGTGTTCTTTGTCCGCAATAAACCTTTTGAACAACATTAACAAGTGGTCATCTCACTAACGGCAGCTTTTAAAAAAAAACTTCATTGTTACACATATACATGTAAAAAAATAATTACTCTAAGGGAAAAGCATTTCAATGTTTGACCAAAAAAATATTTTATTAATAATAAATTAAATATGTTTTTAGTTAACGGAGAACCATCTGATCGATGACGTCCTGTTGTTCTGCTTCTGTTCTTAGAAGAGCTTGGTGTTGAATACGCAACCGCTCCAGTTCTGTGGACTTCTCAATGATCAGAGCCTGCAGAACAAGTAAAAAAATGATAATCAACTATCTAACAAGACTTTTGGATACTAGTGAGTGCTTCCGTGTTGATCATACTTCCTATTGTACTACTCAAAGTCAATGGTGCTACATGTGTCTGGTCTTAGCTGTACTCACATTAGTGTTTAATTTACATTGCGCTAAGAGAAAAATATTTAACATTTATTCTAAAACATGATATATATATATTTAGTTATTTAGTATTTAAGTTTAAATTAGTTTATTTTTGTATCTATCTATATAATTAATACGCTACATGAAATTTAGTCGGATGAACTCCTCCGCCATTTCTTAACCGATTTTATCCATTGACGTCTCATTGAAAAGAGCGTGTCGCGTAGATTTGCAAACTGGCCTTACATTTTTGAAAAAGTCCCTTGGGCTCTGCCCCAGTGGCTTTGAAAGTTCCCATGTTATCCTTATGAAGAACATAATTTTTTACATTTTGATCAGCTGTATAATTTAATTGCTGTTATTTATTTTTCAATTCAATGAAACACATTGAGTACATTTATTTATTATTTGAGTTTGTGTAAATGATATAACCCCCAAGACGGATCGTGTTAGTATGGTTGTATCTAAAATTTGTGGATTTATCGTTGTTTTGTGTCGCTATGACGGATCGTGTTAGCATAATTGTAACTTAAATTTGTGCATTTGACAATCTCAACTATATTAGGTTACAAATGCACCCTAACACTACCCCAAAACGATTTTTCGTTCTCGATTGGCCCTCTATCAATGACCTGTGTTGCCTGTACAGCGAGGAATTTTGAGAAGACGAAAACCGGCCGGAATGCTTTAGGTTTATCAATAACGAAGATAATCATGGACAACCTTATTTGGCTATAAGTCAGGAAATGTTTGTAGAAAACATTAAAAAGCAATACCAGGTTATGAAATATGATACAATATGTACAGGAAATGTTGATTACTGTTATATACATCGTGAGTATCTCAATGAGCTACACACCGGTAATCTTTTAGTTGATTCTTTTAAACTAATTGTAAATATTACTGTTATTCGTAAATTTTAATTAATTTAATTGTGGAAATTCATTAATCACGAAATCCATTAGTCACTGGTTTGTTACTTGTATTAATTATCTGTGATCATAATATTTTTATCGGAATATTATTTATTTTGCTTTATAGTTACTGTATAGCCTTTTTATACTTTTCTATATAGGATTATTTACTAGGATGTGCAGTAGTTAGGATAGCAAAGAGCTCGCTCTTCATATTAAAAATAAATAAAATTATCATGCTAACAAGGGTGTGAAAATGCTTTATAAGCAAGTTATAGCTACCGGTATTCAAAAATTTCACTTTGACTTTTGGTTAAATGAGGGCTTCTTTTAATTCCACGTACGTACCTTGAGAGGTGCACGCCTGACCAAATAGCCTACATTTGTATTTATACTAAATAGATTTGAGACTAAGTGGTGGAAAAGTTTATATTAGGTATATGCAACCAATCAGCAAAGATTTAATTACAAACACGTAAATAAAGAAATCTTAAATAGTAAAATATAAACATTAATTCAAACAAGCTGTTACCCACGGGCTTCATCCCGTTTTACTTTATTATTAATTTAGTATATCAAAGTGTTTTTTTTTACGGTTATTAATAACGGTGAAAATTCCAAAAAATTGTAATTTTAAAATTCCCATTTTATTCTTATGGAGAATATTATTGTAAAATGTAGTTGGCTTGTTTATGGATATTTTTTGACCAAATTAACTTGGCAAATTTATTTATTTTATACTAAGCTATGAATACTTCACTAAAAAAACACACTTTGTTAGTTTACTTGTAGCAGCAAACCTAGGTACTCGTTAAACCTAAAGTACTTTAAATAGATTTAATTGAAAACCAATTCAGACAAATGGAAATTCGCTTAGTCGGCAGGTTTGCTGCGGCAGGGGTATTTTTTTTTTCTAGAAGTGAGGATCTCAGGTTAAAAACAGTGTTTTGAGCAGTTTTACCCAATAAAAATGCAGTAATAAATGGTTTACCTTATGGTTGCCATATTCTTGAAAAATTGTGAATTTCTGCATTGTGGAAAAATCCACAATTTTTCAAGAACCTGGCAACCATAAGGTAAACCAATTTATTAATTATTCGTTCTTGAAGCTGGAATAATACACAAATTATAAAAATGGAGTCCGAAATCGCCCGTCACTGGAGAACGGCCCGGCCTTCACAAGGCCCGCGCAATGACGTTTATGGGCAACGTGACAAAAATACTCCATTTTTGGTCTCACAAACACTGTTTTTCACACTAAAAATGTTAAATAGCACTTTAAATAATATTTCAAATGATATACCTTCCTCCCTCCCAACCATTGTTTATTTGAATAACAGTGAATCATGGAACTGCTGATGACAATTTGGTATTGGGGAGTCCATCTTTATAAAAAAGGCACATAAACTGAAATAATAAACTATAAAATATTGCTGTATCGTATATAAAGCAAAAACACAAACAAATACGTCAATAAATGTCCAAAGATAATAAATTGTGCAAGTGGGAATTTACCACCGGTCTCAAGAGACCGGCACCGGTTGGCGAGAACGGCACCGGTTGGCGAGAACGGCACCGGTTGGCGAGAACGGCGGGCGAAACACACACAGTATAGGTTATGTGATGCTAGCAACGCACACGCAATAACTCCGGTCCTATCTACCAGGTTGCGCCACACTGAGTGATTAATTTCAGCATTCAGCGTGACCTGGCTGGGCACAGGTGACCGGACAGGCCCGCACTCATTGTGTTAAAAGGTACTAGGGTACTGCACTAATCGTTATGCCGAAGTCAAATTTTGAACCATATTAATGTGCAGTTTTCTACACAGGCTACCTCTGTGGCTTTTGTTCCAACATTTCAACCATCTCATAGATGTTTTGTGTAAACTGACATGATATTGTTGTTCCTGGGCCTCTCGCTGCTTGGCCATGCTCTTGATGAGATTGCGGGTTCCAACAGCTTTCATCTTTTCCTTCTCAACCTCTTGAGCGAGAGAGTCGACCACCGAGATAAAACCCTCCACGATATCCTGGAATCTTGTCATATCTGCGTAAACATAGTACATTTAGCATTTTAGATCATTGTACAGGTTGTATAGGCTTTCAAACAACTTGTAATCGTTGATTATTTATTGTCAACTTGTAAAATATAGAATATTTAAGATTTCCCATCAATAATTAAGTCAATAGTGATTTTCAGAAAATTTAAAAGCAGTTAAGAATGGTATGTTTTAATCTGTGTTGAATATATTTATTTTTTTTTTCTGGTTTTTACACGAATGGCAATTGGTATGTAGCAATAAAAAATGTTATGGGAAATTAGTCCACCTCTTCAAATTGTTTTCATACAAAAGGGGATCAAATGTGTCATTGATCCTTTTGCACCCAAAGCTTAAGGAAACTAGCATATTTTATGATAAATATATACTTTTTAGTCGGTACCTCTGGATTCTACTGTAAAAATTGCAATAATTTTAGCTTCGTCTCTATTACCTATGGGAAATAAATGGATGTTTATATAAACAGCAAATAAATTCATTAAGAAGATTTTTTTTGTAAAACATACTGGTATTTAATAGACTTATTTTTTTAACAATTTTTAGATTGTTTTGATAAAGCTGAATTCAGGTTCCTTTATTTATTTTTGGTCATTATCATTAAAAGTATCAGTTGACCAAAACTTTATTTGAGCAAAAGTTATAAAATTATAACATCATCCAGTCCAACTATTCATATATATTTGAAGTTCAGCTCAAAAGTACTTCAAAATCCCTTAAGGAGCATTTGAATGTAGACTAAGAGTCATCACTGACTTCATTTTAAGCCTAACAATAAATAATACAAGGTTTAGATTTGATTTCATTTAATAAAGTTTTGCACACCTTCAATAAAAATAGAACATTCCTCTCGTAGCTCGCTACTTTTAGCTGCGACCTCTGGGTCTACTATGCTTATCTTGTTGAGCTCGTCAAAGTGGAGCCCGAGTCTTGTTAGTCGGTCGGACATTGAAGTCAAGATGTATTCTATCTACGTTTTGAACTTTCACTAGATCTGCTTCACAACAGGCTCGCTTTAAAACAAAACATAAATTATGAATGTTCATTACAGCATCTGGTGGTCAAAACAAAATTTCCAAGATACACTAGCCTATAACCTACACACACTTGGCTACTAACTACATTCAGACTACTTTTTGGTTAGCCTCAGTTTGGGTATACTACAACTACATATACTATATAATCCAATACAACTTTACAGTTCCGCAGAGAAACTACGATACAATATCGGATGAAAGATATTAGTTTGATATTTCTTCTCAGATTTAACTTTCTTTATAAATATAAACTTTACAAATAATCTGATAGTAAACTTATTATACCTTCCCTGTGTAGCAGCAAACCTAAGAAGGCATACTCGATGAAATAATACTATTTAAATAGGGCATAAATCTTAAATTGTTTACCCCTTCAAGTTAAAAAAAAATTGCTGAGGCGCTGAGCAATTTCTGTAGGGAGGGCGAAGAAGATATTTAGTTAAAATCAAATCAGGTCAATGTAAATTGGATTTTTATTTATTTTTCTATTATACTTAGGCCTACTTTACATTTCAGACAAGCTCACTTATTGTTTCCAATGTTTATTAATTAATATAGGCTACAGTATAATATATAACTTAGTTTAATGCAAAGAAATTAAATAAGTTGCTTGAAAATCCTTACACCATCAGAGCAAATTGAAATCTCACAAAACAGTTTAAACATAAAAATCAGAAACCTAATTAGAAGATATGTAAAATACAAGTAAAAAACAATTGCAAGTAACTGAGCAATGTCAATTCCACCTATAATTAAAAACTTGCACTTCAATGTACATTCTTTCCCACAAAATCCCATTATGTAAATTTGTAATTTGTACTAAAATTTTGCACTTAAATAATGTTTAGTAAGTTTACACAAATTTACCTAATAATAATACCCAAAACAGTTTCAGCACAAAATTACCACATGCATTTGTTTGTTGTCATTTCAGTTGTCTTGGTAACCACAGCGCCACAGCCTAATTAATTATATCGATACAGTTCAAAGTTAGTGGCATAGTTCAGCCATAGATTAAACATACTTGGATAGTCTATGACTGAGCATACTAACACCGTTTTTTGTAAAGTATTTTAAAAAATATAACAATAGAAAGAAATATAGAAGAAAAATATAAAAAAACTTCCTTTTGGAGAAGGCCTTCTTCTCATTGGAGGAATATATGGAAGCTGTGTAGATGTTAGGCTCAGCAGATGAAATTTATTTTAGTAATAATTTTAGTATAATAGAGACCCTATAAAATATTGTAACAATGACAAATCACCTGTCTGAATATGATGTTATGTGATTATTGGAAAATAAATAAATCTCAATCACTGATGGTTGCAAATGCAAAGTAAACATCTGAAATCACTTATTATGAAATCCAGGGTAAGTTAAGCACGTTACGTCAAAATTAGTAATATATGTTGCGTAAATATATGTTTTAAGAGTTATAAGACGTTTCTTTTATTTACTTTCCATAAAATTAGTAATGTCAATTTACCGGTAAAATTGCCAATGGAAAGGATCAATGAGAAAAGAGTAAAATAATATGGTAATCCTTGGACGATTATTCAAAAAGGTAATTACAATTCGTATACAATTTTAATATAACAGTCGACAGCAATAAGGCATATTAAAGGCTTGTGGCTAATAGAGAACATTATTATAAGAGAGAAATTAAGGAAAACGTCCAAGGTCTTTGAGATTTGAGTCACGTTTTGTAGGTTTATGGAATTAATTATTAACAACAGCTCAACAGCTGATTCCCCCACTTCTATTTGTTTTGTAATCACAATTCTGAATATCTTTGTCTTGTCTTTGTCTACTTGTCTTCTTTTCTTCGCTTCCTCAATCGAATCGTCGTCTTATGTTGTGTTGTGTTTGTGTTCTTGTGTTGTGTTGTGCCGTTGTGTTTGGACTTGGAGTTACCTATTGTTTTTGTTTATTGTTGTTGTATTGAATGAAGTTGACAATCATTGTTTTGTTTACTCTTCATTGGTACTTTTAGCTTGTAGTTACCGCTTTACTATCATTTTTATCCTTGGACTTCAGGGAGGAATTATTGTTGTAAAAGGAGGAATTAGGCTGAACGAAAGAAATATCAAGCATTTTTAGTCATCCAGCTCTCTAGGCTACCAGCCTAGGTTTCCAAACATTTGACCATGTCGACTTCTACTGTAGGAGAAGAATCCAAGTGTTTTTGCGTCACCAGGAGATTATTCATCCACATATTGGATGCTGCAACAATAATTTTTATCGTTGGACTTCAGGGAGGGGTACTTAATTACTATCTCATCAGACATTACAAGGATTCAATCGGCCCTTATTTCTACATTTTAGGGGATCTATTTACAATGATTGTATTTGCTGGGACTCTCACAACTAGCTTCACCTACCTAACCAAGAAGCAAGTAATTGATGACAAGTTAAAAAAGAAAGCCAATTTCTTTACACCTGCCCGATTGATTCAGGAAGTAGAAATCAACCTGCCATGGTCCCATAGAATCTTAGGTACTATGCCGTTTAGTTACATTTCATGGTTGGTTTATGTGATTATTATGTTGAGCAAAGTTGTAGTTATCTTTCAATCCCCAGGGCTTGTGAGTCACCTTAGTTTGAAAGATGTTTTTGGACCCAATGTTTTAAAGGTAAGATAGTGTAAAAGATGTTATCAATTGATTAAGATATTTTAGGCTGTAAACTAACTTAACCCTAGGCTAGATCAGTAGGGTAGCAACAAGTTGAAAGAAAAGGATCTGATAAGGTTTGAGTCCTTAAAAAAATGAGAGCCTATATAGCCCATTTCATTTGGTTCGAGAAGACATTTAATTACTGATACTTTCTCAGGTAGGCTATTGGAAACTAGCTTAATCGGATAAACTTATTAGATTCAAAAGCTCTTTTTAACTCCTAAAATAAATTAGGCTATACAAAGTCTGTTTACAAACTAAGTTATTTGCACTCGGACCTTAGAGTTTTTATCACTTGATGCTTAGGCCTACATGGTCTGGATTAAGTTAACCCTCCGAATGTTAAGCGTCGTAAAAGCGACTTATAACACACCCGCCGTGGTGTTATGCGTCGCTTTTGCGACTCACAAACACTGTTCACGGCGACGGCTCTGGGACTGACTGAATCGGATTGAACTGTGGATCGAGTTAGGTAACTTATTGTTTTTTTCTGCAGATTTAGAGCTTTCTCCTGATGTCTGTTTCTAGACGCTTTTCATTTTAGTTCCGAAAATATTGTAGCAGACAGCTGACTTGCGTATTTGTAAACAGCTTGGTTAACCTCGCACCGATGACTGATGTGTTTTATTACGTTTATCATTGTTTTAGTGTTAAAAATCAAAAGTAGTGATATACGTGGTGCATTATACTTAAGAAGATTTAAGTGATTTTGAAGGGCTGGTTGATGATCCTGAAGAAGTAGGTAGTGATATTGATGTAAATTATCAGCCAGATTCCTAGCTATGGTTAAGCTGCATTCTTTGCTAATAAACGCTAGGCCTACCTATGTACCGAAATCTGTTTGCAAACCTACTTCCTTATATTATTATGTTTTTGGAATCCTCATAAAATTCTGAACAAAGTGGCTATTTTAAAATATTTGTAGACCTATAAATTAGAACAATTTATTGAGCGCAAACATAAATTTGTTCATTTATTTCATAATTTTTGAGAAATGTTAACACCACATAAAACCCTGCGATTGCGCAATAAATGGGCGAACGTTAAGACCAAAACTAATGTATAGACACTTGGAGGGTTAAACCAGGTTTCAGTTTATTGAGGTGTAGTAAAAATGGGTAAGGGACTGTATTTGTAGGTATGGCTAGCCTATTAGTTTTAATAAATGTCCCTTAGGCCTAACTTTATAGAGTAGGTAGAGTAGGCCTAGGCCTATAACTATTTTTACCGCAGATCACTTGGTAAGACTTGGACACAGGACCCAATTGTGGAAGTCACTTATTTTTGTTTTTATGTCCCAGACGAAAAACAATATCCATTCATATTTAGGCCTATAACTTATATATTAATTTATATATTCACGTACGGTAGCCTATATAGTTCATACATAATGTGTCAGTTAGCATGATGACCAAAGTAAAAATCATCTTATTTGATACCGTACAATTTTGTACCGGTTGTTACTAAATTTCCATGTCATTCTTAGGAAGATAAGTAAACTTTTGCAGTTTGCTTGTTTTATTTTGATCAAATTTGGCAGATTAACTAATTTAAATGCTAAGCTATTGAAATTTTACCAAAAACACCCTTTATTACCTTTCCTACAGCAGCAATCCAAGTAAGGGCACGGACTTCGGGCCCAAGACAGTGATGTCGTGAGTTCGGAACCTGGTCACTGCCGCAAACATTTTAAGCTATCAGTAGGCCTACAGTTCAACTTCGTACTGTACCGGCTCACGCTCACCCCTTGGTTTGCTGGATACGTTCCACACACGAGTAGTTAGTCAATGTGGATGGGCAAGTGCAAAGTTAAAAAGGTCGCCAACCTATTTTTTTGTTAAGTTAGTCTTCTTATATTATAACCTTTAATGTTGATTAACATACGTAATGAATCTGTCTTGTTTAAGGAAATATTTTAGTGAAAGTCCAATCAGTCAAATGTAAATTCACCTAGGTTAGACTGAAGTGTCTCTGTGACAGGGGTATTTAACAGTAATTGTGTTACGGTACCTATAGTTACTCTTATTGTTATAGCTAACCATCGCACTGGCCAGCCTGGTCTTCCTCTCGCTGGTAGAAGGCCATAACTGGTCCAAGCGTGGCTCTCCTCGATACGCCTTTGTCACCTCTACTTGTGCCAAAAATGGTAAATGAGACAAACATGTTCAAACCATGTTTATATTTTAGACTAATTGCTTCTCTAATAAGCAGTTCAAATAGGCTAGGCCTTCTGTAAGAAGTTGGTATTTGGTGAGAGTTCTAATGGCCAATGTTTTGTACAGTCACTCGCTGTCAGATACCCTCCATTTTGCAACCGAAACATTAGGCCTACCTTTATTACTCCCAATACTACTCTGCGTTATTACTTAACTATAATAATAAAAAAATATAACTAAGACAGATTCATTTAGACAGAACAAATGGACATTAACAACTTAAAGTTAGATACAATTAGTAAAGAAATTTAGGCTACTTAGATACTTTTATTGAACATTGTTTGCTTCTGGTTTAGCCCAAAAGTTGTAACACGCCAACAAATATTTTTGAGTCAGACTTGATTTTATGGTTGTCGGCTTGATTAATGGTTTTTAATTTGAAGCTGCGCGTATTAATTATATCCTAAACATTGCTGAAAGACCTAAGACTTTGTGGGTTTTAAGTTGTCAGGCTAGTTTCAAATTTGAAGGCAAAAGCTTTTCAGTAGTGTTAACCTTATATAGGCCTATTTGATAAAACACAAAACTGTAAAACCAAACTATCAGCCTCCTCAGACACTATATTTCATTCTCTTAAGCAAGGTCCAATAATGAAATTAGCAAAGTCCTTGGATGATTTGCTGAGTTAATACAAAAAAAAAGTTATACGTAGTAATAATAAAAAAACAAGTCCCTTTGTACAAGTCAATGAGAAATTAATCAATTGTCAATATTTTTATTGCTTTACATAATTTGCTGTTGATCTCTTAATGCAGGCATGGAGATATTCGATGGAGTTGCATTTTTGGCTCTACAAATGGAGGAGAAAGTGAACGAATCTGGATTTAAAGACGCAGTTCTGGTGCTCTCAATGTTCACTTTCATTTTACCAACACTCTCATTGTTTAAACTCAGGTAAGTCAGTTCAGTGATTACACCACTTATTATTTCCATTTAGAATGAATTGTTCTATTTATATGGTTGTGATGTAAGAGTCGTGGGTGACAACATATCGATGGTCCCCGTGGTAGTGGGAGCGTTTCACGATTTCGTCCTGTTCGCAGTTGACGACGATGAAGTCCCCGCAAATGCGGGGGATGATCACAATTTTGCGGGGAAGTTCCACTTCAGGGGCAGGGGTCGCTCGGGTTATTTTGGCCCAGGGTTAAAAGTACCCTAAATACGGCACTGTAGGTTTAGCTTAAGATTTTATAATATGAAAAGTCTACTTTTACTATTCAAAGTCAATGACATCGTATATAGTACCTGACACACAAATTTCAGATGTAGACCTATGTCGGAAACGTGTTAAAGCTGCTACGATACAATGGGTAGCCTATTAACAACCCTTCTGTTAATAATCCTACTAGTAATACATGAATTTACTATACAATTAAGTAGGCCTATAGCCATAGCCTAAAGTATTTTATTTTATTTGTTTCAATCAGCTCTGTTGCATGTAGAATTAAAAGAAGTTGAAGCATTTCAAGAAAGCAAATGAGAAGTATAATTGATTACCACTATCCATATTTACTTACTAAATCCTCAACCAAGAACTTTGAAGCCCTTGGTTGGGTATGGTGGGGGGGGGGGGGGGGTTGTGTGTTAAAATGAAACGACAATATTTATAAAACCCCCCATATAGTAGTTTTTTTTTGCAAAATATCAGCTAGTTTATCCAGTGGTTTTTCTTAATGGAAAAACAGACACACATACTATTGAAAATAAAAAATGAAGCACAGATTAATTAATTTAAATCTGGTCCTGCTAATACTCCTGTGTAATCTTGTAGAATAGTAGTTTTCATCACTAGGAGGAGCGATAGTGGTTCTCTTTGGTACGCAATCGTGTTTTACAAGCGAGGCGCAACTGAGCCTGGAAATATGATTAAGTACCAAAAAGACACTTACGCTCCGTGTGGTGAAAGCCATTTGCATCGTCATCAATGTTTACCTATCTGTTGTTTACTAACATAACTTTAAATATTGTTATAATCCATTAATCTCTATGGTGATTGGCAGCGATTTCATAATGTACTAATAAAATTATGAGGTTAGAGAACCAAAAATTTACCATATGTTTTATCTGTTCCCTATTTGAAGCTACCCAAAAACAATGATTTTACAGACGATTTAGAGAATTAAAAACTGCTGCTTTCCAGACAGTATGATGAAAAGACAATTTTAGTATGTTTTGACTTTGTCTACCTCAACAACTTTTCCGTCCCTTTGGCCTTATTAGCTGTTCTTGATTACGGTACTGTTAGTTTTAACAATTGCAATTGAGTTTTGAAATTTTTTTAGAAAACTACCCAAGATGTTCTATTTTGTTATAGGCTAGATCTGTTATTTACTCCCTAGAGTTGTTTAAAAATTGGAAATCCAGTCAAAAATCCCTCCAGTTAATTGAATAGCTTAAAAATACCCTATTAATCCTTTGATAAATGTTTTAACATTTAAAATGAGGAATGACTAAAGCTATTTGTTGCTCAATGCTGGATGTGGACTCGGAGATAATCAGTAAAATGCCTGTGGTTGATCTGCTGTTATCTGTGTTGATAAGGTGTTATTTTGGCTATCTAAGCTATAAACTGCATCATGGATGTCACACATTTAAAATTACATAAACTCACTTGAAAAGGGTTAAGGGTTATTGTTACCTTATTATTACCGGTTCTTCATCTTTTACCCCAAGGGGGATTGATGGCGTCATGAAAAACATGAATACTTGATCATATACATATTTACAAGTTTAACAAACATAGATTTAACACTGAGGCTGTGGACAGGCGTTCTTCAGCCTAGGCCTAATTGAAGGTCATCAAAATACTCCTTCAGCGAGTAGTAGGCTTTTTCTTTAAAGTACTCAGTAAGTATCTTAAGTTATCCCTTTGTCGAGGAGTAGGATGGAGTTTGGCAACTTATATATTGTTAGGGCTCCATTACTTTGAGTCCCTCTGAGTCCTTGACAGTCTAGTTGGTTGTGATGCCTAGTAAGGTGATGATGTGTTGCTGCTCTGGAAGGAAACTCCTCGATATTATCTAATATGTATTTTATTTGTTGTGATTTGGTTCACTGACAGCTTTGATGTTAGAACAGTTTAAACTAATCTAAAAGGAGCTATCCTTGTGTCAGTTGGTTTCAGTGCTTGATACTTGGAAGTTTCCCACTGGAAGCACTAATGTGCCATGGTCGTTTGTTGTTGGCCTAATCATTGAAAAACTCTTCCTCAGAGCCTAAGGCCTTTCGAGAAAGAACTTTATTATTCTGTTTCCAAGGCTTTTTCATATTCAATACTTCCTATTTCTATTGGAATCCTGTTGAATACTTAAGTACATATGAATCTTGGTCCACTTTTCTCAAGGCTGGGAGATATTTGAGGTACATGTAGATCATTTCTCCGGCGAGTGTCGTAGTTGTGCATATTTACTTTCTTGCTGAATTTTTCAGGCTTTCTGTTGACCATTAGTGTTGATTCATGAATAAAAAGGGCTGTTAAAATTAGGATTTTTGATTCCACAACTAGTTCTTCTTGACAGTGGGCTGCATATTTTACATTGCATATTATTCTAATACAACGTTTTGCAGTAGGATTTTTGAAATAAATAAAATGCAGATAATCCCCCAGATGATGTTTAACCTACATCGACATTCCCAAACTACCCCAGATGATTAATAAATGTTTTTTTTTATTCTGCAGCTTACTGGACTTTGCCTCAGAGAAGGCGTGTCTCCAAGTTACAGTCCTTCAGAATGTTCTCCGTCTCACCACAGTAGATCTTCCATTCCTGGCTGTGCGGATGTATCTCTGGATCTACTACCGAGAGAACGCCAGTCTCTTTCTCATGAAGAACATCTTCAATATCATTCTCATCTCTCGAACACTCTGCCCTGATCTCAAGGTAAACCATGTTCAAGGAAATAGGTATTCAAATTAAGAAATGGTACAATACAGTTAGAAACAAAGTTCCTTTTTTTTTTTAAATTAGAGTTGTAAAATGCTTATGAATTGTATGTGAATATTAATTATTTGCGTCAACTTATATTCCTAGTAAGATATTAAGATAAATCCTTGACATTTTATCAGAAGATTATTAAGTTGTGTAGACCTGTAGCAAAAAGTGTGGAGCTGAAAACTGCAAGTATCTTTTTCCAACAATACAATTAGATAATATATGTTTTATCATGAGATAGCTATTTACTTGAAATACCTGTTTGACTTGTCAAAAACGTTAAATTTATATAACAGGTTTTTAAAAGAGGCTAAAATATCATGGACATTTTTGGCATTAGGCCTATGCTCAAAGTGTATAAGCTTATGGCTTAGCCCTGGTATCTAAATGTAAATTACCACACACAGATTCAGATTTTAATTTAGGAGAGATTTAATCTAGGGATGGGTTTATTCCAAAAGTCGATTCTCGATTCCACCGATTCTTGGCTTTGGAATCTAAATCAAGAATCAACCGTTCAAAGTTTAGACAAGAATTGGCCTGTTACCATTTTTTAATTTTTCTCTTTACTTGAACAAACACCCCATTATCACAAATTTCTTGTGGAAAGCCGTAAAGACAGGGGTTAGTGTAGTAAGCTAATCAATCCATTCAGACAATTTGGTAAAACAAATAATTGTTTCAGTACCGGTACTGAGAATTAATACATTTTTGTACCAATACTTCACTAGCAAAAAGTATTAGTTTTAGCACTATAAAAAACTATTTTTTACATAATGGAATCAGAATGGAGAATCAATTTCAAAGGATCGGAATAGAAACTTTATTGAATCGACTCATCATTAATTTAATTAATCTAATCATAATACTTTTTGTTTATGTTGAAATTTATATAAAAAAAAAACATTATTCTATGCTATGGTGAATAATAATTCGATGTTGAGAACTTAAAGTTAGGCTTTACTAAACTCTAACTGTATTGACTGGATGTGTGTTTCAATTGACACGATTTTTAAAATTAAATTTCCCAGTGGCAAGAACGAGAAAATTGATATATTAATGTTACAGTACCTTGTTTTTTTTTCCTTTGTTCAAGAGACAAGTATTTCTGCAAAATAAAGCTACAAAACAAGGTACTGCAACATAAATATATAAATTTTCTAGTTCTTGCCACTAGGAAATTTTATAAAAAAAAAAAATTGTGCCTAACTGTTACTTAATTAAATCAAGTGATATAAAAAAGTTTATGTTTTGAATGTGCAGATTTTGTATATTTTTCTCCTCTCTTTGAGTGAATTTCAGAGTGTGCGCTTTACATGTTGTTTTTAAAAATTAATAGTGTTTTAAGCTGGTTAAATTAAAAGAAATATCATTTATTTCACACTTACATATAACTGAACAGTAGATCTATAAGGATGAACGATCTGTAAAGCAGACAGTTTAATCGGACAACAGTGCTATGCAATTTACTCTTCCCAGGTGCTTGCCGAAGGTCATTTCGGGGACGATCCACAAGCTGGGATTACACATACAGATGGAGAAAACGTCAGTCTGAACTGTGACCGAAAGGACGAACTCGAGGAAGAAGCTTCAGAACGGCGCAAGGCTACTGTGGAAGTTTAAGATTACATCTGACCAGGTTTTTCAACTAGCCAATATCTTGTGTACCTGAGTACTGTGGAAATATTTTCAGAGGTGCATAATGCATTTACTATACATTTTATTGATATTATCTCTACAGCAGTATTCTACAACAGCGAGTTACTATTTTACCGTTTAGTTTTGTTCAACGAAAGGCTCTAGGTCAGCATTTTGATTTGTAGAGCAAAGGATAGCAACTAGCTTACCCTAGGATATGTACACACATAAAATACACAATATTTTAACTCCTGCTAATTCAGGGGGTGACATATTGTGTGTTCTATGTCCTATCTGCAGCTCTTATAAATTAAACTAGCTGCTTTCCCTATATTTTTATTTTGTATTAATATTTAGAAAAGGCATTTTTAGCTTTTTAGTAATACACGAAGGATAAAGGAATGGATACTCAATTAAGAAAATAGTTCCATACAGTCGAAGCACAATATTCAAGTCCATAATACGATTGCTAATTAAGTTGTAGAACTATATCTTATTGGATACAATTGTAATCTGAAGAACCCCCTTTTGGGGAATATTACAAAGTTTGATGATTTGTATAATGATCAACTATTCAGGACTCTTTTCTTAGGCGAGATACATTTTTTGTACCAGTTCCTTTTCACTGAATGTTTTCCCCGAATGCATTTATAGTTACTTTAGTACCTAGTTTATATTTACTCATACTACCTCATCAGGATTTCTGTTTAACCCCAAGGTCCACCATCAAATCATGGTGGTTACTAAGATGGTTTAACCATCAAGTCAACATAGAACATTAATCACCAACAGCAAAGTTAAGTCTTCCTTACTTTTAGTTGCTATTTAAAAATGTCGTTACAGTCCACCATCACAAAAAATAATTTCTAGACAATATATTTTCCTTTAGTTTTATTTATTTTTTATTTTTAGGATATATACAGTAGTGTATGGAATCTTTTAACATAACTTTGTCTTTCTTAGCATGTATCAAGCACAATATTTTATTCTATGATTTAAGTACTTAATAGCTTCCGGTGTAGGGTACTTTTAAAGTCACTAATACCATATTTTTGTATTGAGTATTGAATTGTTTTATGACAGAGGCGTAAACCCTGACTTTTTTAAATGTTGTGTGTCTCTTTATGCTTGTGGAATCCTAGCAATAGGGTATCCAATATCATGACAGTAGACTCTAGCTAACTCGAAATGCTAGTGCCAACAATTTTTCTATGAGCCACGTTTAGTTCAAATTGTTTGAATTAAATAGAGGCCATTCTTGATCAAATTAGATGTACTAAGGTAAGATAAATTAAGTGAAAATGTTAGTAAAGAGTTGTGTGTACAGTCTTTGAAAACTAAACTTTTAGCAATACATGACTCTTGTATTTGCACTCATTATTTTTTTAATACTATATGCACAAGCAGCGTATGAAGTTACCGGTTGATGCTAAACCAGATATGCCTAACTTTTGCATCACAGAGGCCTTGTATTTTGAGAAAACTTGAGATTTAGAGGTAATATTTTACTCAATGAGGTAAAATAGAAATGTAATTTAACTCATCTATCGAACTTATAAAGTTATAAAGGTAAAATTGTGTCTTTTGTCTTAGTAAAATATAACCTAAAATCTTTACTTGCACAGGTTTTTCCACCGTAATTGAAAATATAGTAGCTTTAATATCAATGATTTCTAGTTATAAACTCTTCAGTTAGGGGGGTCAACTTACACTTATTCAAACATAATGTTATACTAGCCTTAACTATTGTCAATTGTTTTTTATATTAGACTTTTAGTCTGCAAAGCTTTAAAATAGGCAGCAGAAAATGCTTTTTGTTCTTTTGACAATCAGGCCTTACTTACAAACAAATATATATAGCATTTGAATAACTAGCTTAAGTTAGGCGTAAGATGAGTTTTGAGTGGCTTAAGATGTAACGACAATTATATAGTGATGGGTCGGTACAAAAATTTATTGATAATTACTGTCACCAATTTCAGAATATCAAAAAATCAATAGCCATTTTCGTACCACTCAAAATAGAAAATAACTTGGGTGTATTTTTCTGAAAGAAGATTGTGCAGTTGTCTAGATGTTTAATTGTTAATCAGTTAGGAACCGTTACTGATACCAACCTTGAAAATGTGATTACTAATTATTAATTATTTATTCACTTTATGTTATAATTAAGTAATCAAAGCTTGCAATGTACGCCATCAATCATTAAATATTACTGAAATATAAATGGTGGGGAGGAGGGGGTAAATGAAACTCAAAAATCTAGGCAATGGCTCTCTTCAAAAATCCCCTCCAGGAGACGCCCCTTGGATTTATATTGACTTTTGACGATTGAATTATTATACCAATACCAATGTTAAATAATTGGTAGCATCGACTCATCTTTACTTACACATGTATTTGTTGTAGGCATAATTTATGTCCTGTGGTTCCTTTGGCATTTACTAAACTATCTCTCTCATTTTATACTAAAAGAAGATGTGATATTTTGTGTCTTAACATGTAGACGTTTCTATTATAGCGATTACGTGTGATCAAACTAACAAGCATTTAATACTTGCCTTAAATTGTTACAAAATTAGTTTTATGAAAATTGGTTTTAAATTTGATTTAAGCCAAAGCACTTAAGTAAGGCAATGGGATGATTTTGTTGAATCATAGTTCAAAAACATTAAGGTACAAACTACAAACAATTTTTTTTATTTTTGTTAATTTTTAAAAAGTACAGTAAAACCTCGATTATTTGGCCTTTGACAAACCGAACCCTCCAGTAAACCAGCTTGATCCCATCAATAACATAAAACTAAATCATACCCTGAAATAAATAATATGTGATTTCATATTAAAGTACAGTAGGGTTCACTCCTACACTAAAACTATTTATTGCTGTTTTTTACATAAAAATCAGCCCATTAAAGTGCCACAGTTGCTGATAACTTTTTGCAGAGAAATGGCTCTATTAAATTCAATGATGGTAACTTTAATTGATTATTTTAAATTCTCTCCATGTTCGCCGGGCCCTAAATCTAGTATACCATGAGTCAGATTTTTGAAGTTCTACTGTATTTTTAAAAGTCTTTTTTTAATATGTCGTTAAAGACTATTTATATCACATTAGGCCCTATACTACTTATAATAACTAACGTTATGATTATATAATTATATAAAAGAAATATATGTAAAGTTATTTAGTTATAATAAGGGGATGGATTTTGATAGTTAGTTTTAATGATGGAATTACAAAGTTTGATTAGATTTTTTCTGGTGACTCTTGGAGAAGTAATTTGCAAAACTCTTTTAGAAATAAGAAAATTGCTTCACATCTGCTTCAAAGAAATACACTACTCTATAAAATCAAATAAGCAAATAAAATCATTAGATTGTATGTTAGATTATGCCATCATTATCTACCTCACGTTCAAATAGTTTGAAAGAAGTGATCAAAATATAGGTAAGTTGTAGCAAATCGTGGATTCTAACGTCTGAAGTATTATTTAAATAATTAAGTATAATTAATGTATTGAGTTTTTGGGTTATACAACTCAAGTTATTGTGTGATTTTACCGTTTTGTATGACTACATTAATATAACATTAACTTTGAGTTAATTTACCTCCATTATGCTGTGAGTAACTTGACAATTTTATTGCTATATTAACCATAGCGTTTATATTTATAATAGCCTACGTTATAGTTATGATGATTTTTTAAAAATCTTACAGATTTGATTTATTTTAATAATATTTTGGTTGTGAATATTGCCAGGCAAATATGTTCTCTAAAACATGTGATATTTAGCTTAACACGTTCGCTGCTGAGCGCTAGATGCCGGGACGGCGCCAGTTGCTGAACTAACGCTCGGCCGCTGCGTGACATTGCCACCGATACACTGAATCACAGTAAAAACAACAGTAGTTATACTGGATGGCAATGTTCTGCAATAAAACTGGCTTTGGATATAGTACTAAGTGATTCTGATAGATAGCAGCACTACCCAGGTTACAGTCAGTAAAGTAGTGTCGCTATCTAGCAGGAAAGAGGTAAAACAAAGCCCTGTTCCAAACGACCCTGGTGGTGATTTGGGAAACTATATTTTTTATTGTCAGAAAAGTACGTCCGTACGAGCTGCAAAGAAATATAGAACGCTTGTGACGTGCTGGCTTATCCATAGCAACGTTAAACAACAATGAACGGTGACGTTCTGGAACGTTCTTAGCTCCTGGCGCCGTGGCCCGGCTGACGTTCCGGAACGTCCGTAGCAGCGAACGTGTTAATGTTGCTTTTGCTAATCATCAAATGTATTTTCTTAAAGCTTTTGTAATTAAACTGAAGAATAAATGTTTAAAAGTCAAAATGTTATTATTTTACTACCCAAATTGTTACTATAAATTCACATTAGATTTAGATTAATCCACAACTTTTTCTGTCATATTTAAATTTTCATAAAACATTTTATGAAAAGTGTTACAGTAGTTTAGTGCGACATCTATCACTTATTTTTCTGTAATTTCAATTCAGTGAAATTACAAAAATGTATGTTTATTGATTTTTGTCAGTTGTGTATTTCCTAATAGTTTTTTTGCTGATGTTATGGTGAACATAATTTATCATAAATTTCTCACATATTTTTTATGAAAGTTGTCCATGTTCTAGTCAATTTTTGTTTTGTGACTTTCTATAGAAATCTTATTTGTGTTATTTTAATAGTTTTTTTTTAACAGAAATCTCTAGTAGACACCCTAGTATTTTTTAGGCTCTCAAGAGTTTGGAGGTTTTTTATAACCTTAAATTCACCTGTCAACATGGGACTTTAAAGCGTGTGAATGGGACAGCCTTGGAGGAACCGGCTCAGAAAAAGAATAAACTTCATTAATAATTAATGCCTCAACACCAGGACTTGTCTAGTGCACTACTCCTTCATTATCCAGGTAATCTAACTGAAATCATGTTTTGGAAACTTTCTTTGAAATTAAAACACAAGTGAAATCACATTGGACCTTACTCACCAATGTAAATCTGATAAGTGGGCCTTTGATAAGATGGAAAAGATTATAAGACATGTGGATAATCCCCATTCTATTGTCAATTAGTGTTTTGTCGTCTACGAATGTTGAGATTTATGATGTCCCAAGTGATGAGAAAACATCACCAAGATGGCTGGGCGATGTACTGGAAGACACGGACATCTCTCTTGCAAGGTGGGTACAGGTCAAATTAATTTGATCACAGAACACATAAATACAACCAGCCTCTCTTCAAGGTTAAATTTTGATCTTAAATATAAGAAAATATAAAATCTCTTGAGTTTTAGCTTTTTTTATTGTAAATATTTAAATTCAGTTTAATGCTCAGCAAAAATGAATAATGCTAACATTGACAAATAATACTGGCAAATCCATTCTCATAGTGTAGTAGTTTCAAGCATAACTTCTAGGTTGTAGCAAATTTCAGTTGCCGTTTTCAGCAGTTTTTTTTTATGGCTTTTATAAACTGTGAAGTGAAGACTTTGTAACGTTACTGATTGCCAACATGTTTTTTGAAGATTTGGGTTAATTTTTAATTTTAAAACAGGCTTGTAGTCCATTCAGTTTCAAATTACAATATAATTATTATTTCAGCTTGCTGTCACTGCCGGTGGACGGAGAGAGGGTAATGTTTGCTCTACAGTTTGTGTTGGGATACCAAGGTCTGTTAGAACGGCTTAGGGATGCGGCTCGAAGCCGAGACCCTCGCACTCTCCAGACCTTCAGACAACTAAAGCAGAGAGGCAAGTCTTTACAGCACAGGGTTTGGAAGATGTAAGCTTAGGAAATTACGTAAAAGCCACCTGTATGAAAATCAGTGTCTTGAGAAAAAATTCTGGTGTGACGGATTCTTTTTGTCTTAGTCTGGGACGTGTCAAAATGGTAAACAATCACTTCAGTACACAATGCAAAGCTTTCATCTGTACATAGCCTAAGAAATGACTCTGCAACTCTTTGTCTGTTGACATTTTATTTTTGTTTCATTTTAAATTAAATTTGAAAATCTAAACATCACTGTAAAAGTTCCTAGCCTAAAAAAAAACAATGTAATTTAATCCAAATAAACAACATAAAAGTATGTGTGTTTAGTAGTATGTGAAGCTGAGGAAGTAGAAGTATGTGTTTATTTATTGCTGTTATTTTATCACTACACAGATCAGAAGGTCTATGGAAAAGTTTCATTTTAGAAAAAAAAATAACATGAATGTATGTAAGGATGTAAAACATCTGCATTCTCAATGCCTTGCCTTGCATCTGTTATACTGTTACAAATGGTAAAATTAGTTTAAATCAAATCAGTTACACAGTAAAGACTTTGAAGAATAATTGATTTAAAACTATTATTTTCCATAACACTACCATGTGAATCTTTGATCATATTTCTTACGCACAAAAGTAGGACATTCACATGAATCCTTTGAAAAGTATTGTGTGTCAACTTGTAGTAGTGACTGTCTAACTTTGTTTTCTTTTTCAGAGTTCCGACCAATCTTCATGGATCAGTTGACAAGTTTAAGCATAAAACAGAAAGAGCTTGGGTGAGTTAAATCGATTTGGGATTCTTAAATAGACACGTTCTACTGGATGGACCATTGTACATTTATATAATAAGTAAGTAGGGTTTTTGGATTAGTATGATGGGTATTATTGAGTTTTGAGTTTGATTATTCATCAAGTTTATTCATATAATACATGGCGATATTGTTTTGCAGATGGAGTAACGAAGACATGGACACACTTCGTACTGCTGTACTTAAAATAAAAAAATTGATGGAAGAATTCAAGAGTGCCATCACGGATCAGTTGTTGTGACAAAACAAAATAATGAATAGAGAAGAAGAGTGAAGTTATGAAAGAATTTCATCAATGTACCAACTTCTTAAATTTGTACTATCAGGAATTTAATGTGTTAAATAGGAGTTTTAATATTTAACTATACACAGATCTTTGACAATATCAATAAGAAGTGGAAACTTTTTTTACAATATTGTGAGTTTCATTTTTGCTTCCTTTCTTGCCAGGGCCGTAGCGTAGGACAAGGGACCGCCTCGGAAGTGCCGACTTTGGGGGCGCCGCAGGTGCCATGGCAGAAACGGTACAGAAATTGGAAAAAGATATGTTAGATGTACATGTACATAGCGTAGAGATGTGCGTGCGGCTCGGTATTCGAGCCAAGCCAAGGCTAACTTTCAAGCTCGAGAGATCAAGCACCTAATAAAAAAATCGACCTCGAGGCGAGCTTTTACGACCGCAATGTTTTAACTATTTGCCGCGATCGCCTAACCTAAGTCCACCCTTAGTAAATCCACCGGCCTTCCCTCATTCCCTACAGTTCAGCCAAAACTTCTGTGTGCGCGAACAAATCGCCACTAGTACATTCGGGTACCAGCTATTGACAGTGCTAAGGGTGAGTGAGTAGCAAGACACAAATATTTTCAGAAATGTACCCCTGCTAACCCCATCGCCAAGAATCTGGTTGCGCGCACAGGTACTTTGGCCGAACTGTACCCAGGGACGCTCCATATAGGCTAGAATAGGACAGAGTAGGAAAAACATATCAGATAAATTAAACTGTGTGCTTTAGTTTATTCGCTCTATAATAATGTCATGTAAGTACTAGAAAATAATGTAAAATTGTATAATAATTGGTAAATAAATACTAGAGGTTTTGTATATGTAACTTTAAAAATGTATTTTTATAATTAGAACAAAACATAAACATGCTCCCTGTAGCAAAACATTGAGAAAGCTACATATTACAGTTGTGTAAAACTACATAACCAACAAAGGGTGTTCAGCCTATCAAAATTGAAAGTTAAAGGTTATATTTAGTGAACAATATTTCTATAGGACTACAATGATGTGTCTAAAATGTCATGAAAGGGTTTGCATTTCATATGTCAGTCTGTTATCAATGATTTATTTTTGACCATCAAGATTGGTGGTTTGACACATTGATTGGTTATTCAACTGAGTCTATTCACCCAATCATGCAGATTCAATAGCAATTCTCTATTATGTTTTTCTCTTGTACCAAATCAATTACTGCCACTAAAGAGAAATGTATGAAATTAATACAGTTATTTGTGAATTTGTAGTTAAAAAGAATGATATTGTTGGATTGAAAATATTTCTAAAGCATCTTAATAATCGTTTATTCAAAGTTTCATAACTAATAGGAATTTCATATGTCAACCCAATTCACACACAGTATAAAAAATTATTTGGCTCAACAAGTCTAGTACTCAGGTTCGCTGCTAGTCAAGTAACATTTTGGTTTTATTGACCTGTCATCTTTTTTCAAACCACTTTTTAAATAGATGAAACAGCTGGCGTTCTTACCTTAGGAAACATCTAACCATTGACATCAGATTTACTAGGTTACTCTACACAGTGTATAATAAAGTTCAATCAACCTTTATTGGCAAAAAAAGTTAAATTTATCATAACCGAAACAACGGACGAAGAGAGAGTTTATGTACAAGATCACGCTCATTTAAATTAGTTATTCGCAACAGGGTTATAATATAGAGAGTACAGGTGAAGACATTAATGATTTGGTTCTTTAAATCTACCTAGTGCAAAAATATTTACACATGTCTTATAGAGACTAAAATCAATTGCATTGCTTACTTTTCTCCCCCTATATAGAATATTATGGTGATAGTATTGTTTTAATCAAAATTTTAGAGTTAGAGTTTTGAGTGGATATATCTGTTTTGGGTCACTTTTCCCCACTATACATAGTATATGAAGAAAGTATTGGTTTCGTCAAAATTTTCATATTTGTTTTGAGTGGATATCTCCGTTTTGGGGCCCCTGAACCCAAAAAAGTGGTTTTGGAAGTGGTGTGTGTGTGTGTGTAGATGTGTACAGATCTACAGACCACACTGTCATTCGATTTTGATTAAATTTGGTACGTAGGTACTAATCCATTATATCTCCAGGGTTTTTTTTCATTTTTTCAAAAGATTTATTTTAATGGTGATTTGTCATTAAAATAACGGAAAAATCATATTTTCTCAAAAACTGCCTGAACAATTTTCATAAAAATTTTAGTATCATAGAGTCCTTCAAATTCTGAACAAAATAGTACAAATTCCATTTCCGTTAAAATTACGATTTTGAAGTCATTGTAACCTATGTTATTTCCCCATAAAAACAAAAAATTGTATTTTAGAAAAAAGGCCAGTTTTGATTAAAATTAGTGAGTTATGGTCCTTAAAATTTTGAACAAAATGGTACAGATCCCATTTCCGTAAAAAGCAAGGTTCAAAAGTTATTGTAACTTGTTTCATTTCCCATAAAAAAACCTATAAAATAACAAAATATTGGATTTTAGAAAAGCCGGGTTTGATTAATTAATGTGTTATGGTCATCCCTATGAATATCATAGTTACCGGCACCCATGCCAAAGGTTGTTTACAAGCTTATACAGTACATTTTATTTTTAAGTATCCATGGTTTATGTCCTCTTGCAATCAATCGGCTGTGTGACAGAATCTAAACTAATCTGAAAGTAAACTAGCAAATCTGTGATAATAATCAAAATAGTTGGACTCTGTGTGCAAATGTAAACAAACAATCTAAAATAGAAACAAATGTAACGGTTGACCATATTGTTGTAAAGTCATTCGATACAACCATTAAATTTAAGGTTGTGCCCTTAGAAGAGGGTTTATTGGAAAACTATTATTCCTAGGTATGTTTCAATCGGCCTTTAAATCGATTATGCGATTGATTGATCTCAGGAATTCCGGGTTTCTCGAAAGTTCAAAATCAAAGCGTTTTAACTATGATATCAGAAGTTTTTAGCATCAAATTTATGAAGAATGAAAAAATATTTACACGGACAGTAGGTAAATTTTTCGGCGATATTGGCTGCACTGGAGCGCTCGATTTGGCGGGAACGAGAACTAACTGTTGCTGTCAGTCAGTAGTTTCTGGCGCGTCGTGTCGTCTGCATCCCGGTTGTGTTAAACAGTGGAAAAGCGCCTCAACCGGGGTAGTGAGTTTTCCGCTATGATTTCAACGTACAAAAGTGGTGTTTATTTTACGTAATGTAAAAATATCAGCGTCAGTGAAAATCTCAAGCCTTTTAAATAACAAGTGAAACGGTAAAATATGAAACGATAGTCAGTGTATGTCTATGTATATGTTTACATATGTGCTCGGAATTACTGTTGAGTAACGAATACGAACAATAAGGTAGTTTTGACGTGCTTTCACAACATGCCTAGTTATCCTATCTTGACTAATTCTCTTTCTTGTAAGTTCGACTTGTAAACGCTATCTAATCAAACAGATTTTCAAAGGTGCATTAGACCGGAAAAACACTTACGTATACTGTATAGTGTAGTGTATACACCACTGTGCTACGGCTACGATATTGTTGACGAGCAGCAAATGATAAATATTTACAATTAACTACATCTTGTACGTGTATCACAACTTGTCTATTTGTCTAACACTTGTTGGGTCGAATTGTTTAAACTATTTCTTACCAAATAGATTGTCATAAGTGTATTTACCTTGTAAAAGTTCAAATACAGTTCAAATAACTGTATGTTTAACCCACTAAAAGTTCGAGATACCCCCAAGTCAAGTATCAATTTTCAATGCGTATCAGTATTTATCGTGACTGAGGCAAAATTTTGAATAACCTTTTGTGTAAGGAATCCATAGACTAAGGGGAATATATTGCCGAGTGAGACATACATTCTGAAACTTTTAATCTAAATTAAAAAGGGTGAATAGGTTTACCCACGTTACACCTTTTATCGCAATAACATGTGAGGTGCTGCAGAGTTCTGTGGACATGACGCGTGTATTGTGTCCGACATGGGGTGATTGACGATGAGTGTCATGTCTAACGTGACATCAGCCGAGGTGGACGTGGACGGGGTGAATCTACCCTACACGGTGTGCGAGGTGGTGGTGGCGGTCGTCGCCGTGGTCGGGAACCTCCTGGTGATCCTGGCGTTTCGCAGGGAACGTCGCCTCCGCCGCAGGACTAACTACTACATCGTCAGCCTCGCCAGTGCCGATCTGCTGGTAGGCTTGCTGGGTATCCCGTGCGCTCTGCTGGCCTCTGTGGGTCTGCCCAAGCACAAGCACGCGTGTCTGTTCACCGTGTCGCTGCTGGTCGTGTTGTGTACGATCTCCATATTTTGTTTGGTCGCCGTCAGCGTGGACCGCTACTGGGCCATTCTGCATCCCATGGGGTACTCGAGGAACGTCCGCACTAAGACTGCGATAGGTGGGTGTCGAGTTCGTGCGTTTCTTGGTGAAGCCTGGGGGGTAGGGGGTTAGAGTGGCTCAAAACCGGTTTTGTAGGGGCTTCAACCCTACCACCAGGCTTCACCAGGAAACTCACGAGCTCTAGCATGTTTTGTATCTTGTGGTTAGGTTAGTTGAATCATTTATTGTCATTAGGCACTGGCAGTAATGCAATAGACGGTTTTACAGACCGCAGTGTATACAGACAAGATTTTTAGGATTAGAAATTGTTCGGAAATAATTATAGGACACGATGGTTTTGAATTTGAAAACCTTCCTGGCCTTAAGGCTATTAACTGAGTACGTAGGTGGTCGGAAGGGGTGCGTTTGAGGGATTGGCTTGGTTCAATTAGATCGGTTCGTCTTTTAAATGTATTTTTTGCATAGATGACCAAAGCCAAAACAACAATAGTCTAAAAACACTAAAAAAATGCAAGCTCTCATTTGGTTAAAACTGTTTAGTTTAGTTAAACGTCCTAACGACCTCTTTTCCTATTGCAACATAAGATGAACTTTGCGTTTGTTTCATATTCTGCAGTCATGGGGTGCGTTGTTAACTGAAGTTTTAAGTTTAAGAAAGTGAGCTCTATGTATTTAATATTTTTGGGGATAACCATAGACAAAGTAATACCATGTCTATTGTCTGTGGTGAGGACTTAGTTCGAACATGACCCAGTAGAGAGCGGCATTATTTAATGGTATTTTCCAACGGTCTTTCAGTGGTCAGTCTGTATGGTCTATTGTCTGTGGTATAACGCAGAACATGCGACAGTATACAGTTTGAAGTTAGTTAAATTACAAGAAACAAATGCCTACACAATACAACGCCAACGCCACAGGTAAACAATCCTGAAAGAAACATGTCTTGAACCAGTCAGGAGATAAAATTTAAGGAGTATGTCAAATGCTGGCTTGCTTGCTATCGATTTTGACCACTTACAGCAGTAATGTGCGTGTAATGGTACACATGGTGAAGGACTATAGTAGCCTCGGGACGCCGCGCCGATTAATGGCCACAAGTATCCGCAATATCCAATCCGAATTGTAGCTATGTATCTATTAAGAGACATCAAAGTAATTGTGGTAGAACTTTCACTTGAGTTTCTGAATTGTTAAAATTCCAAAGCTGACCTATATTTTAGATTCAAGTGAATATCGCGGTGAATAGTTTTTTCGTTTGTTTCTGTTTTTGTGATAAATTGGGTTTATTTGGGGTTTTTGATGTTTTGTTTTGACGCTTTTACAAGGGACTGAAGAAGGATACGGAAGAGGGAGATAATGTAATTTGACTCTGGTAGAACTTGTCTCGACACAGAGAAGTAAAGGTACAGCTAAAAGTGGTTTGGCAACTATGTAAACTGCTGAATGGAAAAATAGCATTGGCTTGGATCAGTGCAAATATACTTCTCATCCTATAAGGCCTATTAAAATAATCTGAAGACCGTTTTGGTGTTTTGATAATATATTGATTACGTTTGAGTGTGCCGGTACGGCTGGTACTGATTAATATAGTTCCCTCTTATTTTTCGATTTGTTCTTAAAACCTTTCTCAGCTGGTTCGTAAGGATGATTTAAATCTACATGGGCGTACTCTGTTTCATTTTCATGTATAGTATGCATTCTATAATATTACGTTCTGGGAATAAGACAAAAAAACATAAATACAGTTGAAAAATTTTTCAAAGTTCCACCGAGATTGGATTGATTAAATTGCATAAATGACTATCAAACAGACAGAAGCATTTCATTTTATGTTTGTACACTATCTGTTACTGTTGGTTATTTCCATCGGTTAACACTAATATGTTACAGGCGAGTGAGAAGCCATTGATTAGATTGTTTGTATTGTTGGTCATTTACGTTTCCTACACTGAAGAACCCTTGTAACTGTTATACACGTTAGTTACGTTTTACAAACCTCAATATCCGTTTTACAAAATGTTATCAAAAAGAGATTCCATTAGTATCTTATATACGCATAAAACTAAATTTGTATCATGGATGTTTGCTCTTATTTATCAAACCATCCGATTGAAACGAAATATTGGAAAATAGTTCTACTATTTTCAAAGCATGCTTGGGAAGTTTTCTGTCTTATCTCCGTTTCGATATCAATCTATGGCTATTAGAGTGGTTTGTATTCATATAGTAGGCCCAACCCCTAGGACGTTTCAAGTAACCGTGTTTGTGTTTTGTGTTAAGCTTATATGAATCACTTATATGGTTTGCCATGTATACAAGAGCACCATTACGTTAGTTTTGTTTTCATTTTATGTTCGTTTACTTAAAACAACCACACACCTAATTAATACAAAGAAAATTGAAAACTTGCGCGATAAGTGATTTCAGCAAGTTTGAAAAAAAACTATAATAGTATAATGTGACTTGCTGTTTTCATTACAGCTTTAAATTGATTTTGCGGTATTTACTTTTTAAAAACGTATTGCACTGCAAATAAATGATCAATCTACGGTCAAAATCCGTTGGTTGCCCGAAACCCCTTTAAGCAAGTTGGGTCAGGTTGTATTATTAGGGTAGCATAGTAATTTCATTCGACGTGTATTAATACTTTCGAGTACGAAGAAGAAAAATAACGTTAAAGAATTAGGTGCAGAATTAAAGAAGTGAGTATCTATGTATTTTCAACTAATTATAATGCTACAATATAATTATTATCAAAATGTAAATATACACAATTTGACCTTACATCGGAGCTACATCACTCACAATACATGTTGAGGTCCCTTATGTCAGTCAGATCGTACCTTGTAGTTGCTCATGTGACTATTAGCATGCAATTGCCCACTCATTTTCCTACAAACATAGATTCAGTTTTCCTCCAAGTTTATCCTGTATCCTGCGTGTTATGTGGTATTATGGTGTTAGCCTGTCTGCAGCTGGGGTGTTGCGAAGGAAGCATTCAGCACGAGTCTATTGTGGCTCAGTTGTAGACCCATTACTTCATTAGGATGATGGCTTGATGATACTGCCAGGACATCAGGACCAGGTACTTTCATGGTCAAGCTCGCCACATTGCGAGATCACAACGAATTGCCTACGTACCACTGAAATATCTCCATAGAAGTTCACGTGAACTCTACTTGGTGATATATAAATTCTTAATGAGAACTCTGGAGAAGTAGGGGCACACTATTATGAAGATGGGGAGAGCTATGGTTGAGACATTCGCATTTTATGGTGGACATTGTGAAGGTATTTCGATCAACGAAGATAGAGGAAAATGTGAAGGTAACGGGAAAAATGCGAAGAAAAAATATAACTGTGCTGGTAGGAAGAAAGTTAAGGAGGTAGAGAAAATATCATGACAGAATGAATAAAATTTTTAATGGTAAGGGAATTTAATGAAGATATAGGTAGCTTGTTGTGACGGTAGGACAAGTTTGGTAAAAGTAGGAATACAATTATTGAGGCAGGGAGAATATTATGAAGTAATGGATACAGTTGTGGTGGTATAGGAGAACGAACTGAATTGTAGGTTGTTGTGAACGTCGGACACGTGTAGTGAAGATGTGGAACGAGGTGTGGATAATAAAATATAATTTTGGAGCTTGGGAGAATTTTGTAGCAGAAATGCGTTGAGGTAGGGAGGAAATTTTGCATGAAAATCAAACTTTGGTTGTACAGAGAGAGCTTGGTTAAGGTAAAGAGAATTATTGCGAAGCTAAGAAGATTTTGTTGTCTCCAGAGGACGTATTTTAATCCTTTTCTTTGGCTGGCAACTTGATAATAGTAAAACAGCGAACATGTGACTTCTGTGGATATCGAATGATGAAATATAAACTTGTTAACTGTTATTTATCTCGAGTTCTTTTACTTAAGCTTCAATGTCGGGTATGAACAAGAAAATATTTCTTTTTACAAATTACTCTTTTATGTCATAACGAGCGTTAGTCTAACAGGTCGTACATTGCTGAGAAATTTACCAATTAAAAGGTTACTCGACACTCGGGTGGGGGGGGGGGGGGTGAAGCGGTTATAAATGTGCTCCAGCGTTGGTTTTACAGCATAAATACAAACAGTTGAAACGCGATCAACACTTTTTCCCCTGAATGTGAATAAATGTTCGAATAAAACTGTGAAATTGTCAAATATACGCGAAACTTGTTGGCAAGTGTCTTGATTTTAGTTGCAAGTAGGCATTTAATCCTAATGTAAGATCTGAAGATTTATTTTATGCGTGTTATATATATGGTTACGTTTTAGCGTGCAGACGTCGATACGGGGTTCTCTTATTTTATGATGCGTTATTTCAGTGGCAAATTTTGCTTTAGTTAGTAAATACATCTTTTTATAGTTAGACTTAGGAAGGGTTTATTAGAGATGTTTGAAAGAAATAACTAACGTCGAAACGCACTCTGTTTAAACTCAATGGAAACATACCTTGAACTTAAAGCTGATCAAGAGGAAAATTCAATTTGATGTAAAATGCGATTTTGTAATGGGACAGACATATTTTAAACTGTCTTCACCAAATCCATAGGATAGTAAACCCTAAAGATACTATGTACAAGCTAAGGTTATAAATTCCCTGTTATCCGTTGACAATCACGTTTTCACATACCGGTTTGTAGAAAAATGCATCACAACAATTTCACTTTGTAAAAAAATATAGATTATGTCACAATAGTGAACATTCTTTACGAAATCTTAAATACTCGTAATTTTGTGAGTTTATTTGACGGTAAATAGGAAGTAAAAATTGGGTGTTGAGAAAGGTAAAACGTTGTCAAAAGTCATACAAATCAAACAATTTGGGAAGTCAGTCAAGTAATAAGAAGCGTTGTGCGTGAAGGGGAGAACAGCTGATTTGGTGCAAGTGAAGTGTGAAGTGTAAAATGAAGAAGTTTGTCTGAGATAGATAAGGCAGGGAAGACGTCTGGACCATCTGTCTTAGGCTGCGTTTACATTGGAGGCACGCTTGGGCAAGTAAAATGGCGGCGCACGCTTGGCCAAGCTTGC